CAAATCCACTCTGTTACAAGGCATCTCTTGATCAGTCATCTGTGTATCGTCATCGATACGGCCGCTGGGGTCTAGCCCCTTACAGGTCCATGCTCCACATTCGAATTCAAACCCCCGGGACAAATTGCTGGCACGACACAGAGATGGCACGATCAATAGCAGGAGTAACGGGGAATTACGTCGGTTTATCAAGAGACAATGGGCTGTTACCGTAGTTTGATGAGTATAGGATAGTGAGATAGATGGCTTCTTCGCCCGTACTGATCATAGCGTCACAACGATCTTGCATTCTGAGATTGTACTGCTTAATATTCGTATCACTTTTGTATCACTTCATATATATCAATCAATTCAATTGCGAGCGGATCGTGTTTCTTATTTAAAACGTGATAGTTGCCATCAATGTCCAATCAGTTCTGAACGCCTAGAATCAGATTCTTGATTCCATCTCCCCTTGAAGTCTTTTCCCACGCATCCGTGGCCTGCTCAAACAGTGTTACTGACGTGATTAGAGGCTTCACATCAATAAGACCATTCTCCAGCAACTTCACCGCAAGTTCGTAATCACCAGCACCATACCTGAAACAGCCCCGCATCATCAACTCCTTCTGTCCCATGGCAACGATGGGAAATTCAATTATTGGCTTCCCAAGGCCTGTCTGAACGTACTTTCCGCCAGGTCTGATCATGTGTATGCCAGTCTCAATGCTGGCTGTTGCGCCCGAAGCTTCAATGACCGTGTCCACGAGGCCGCCAGTAGTGTCGATACCATACTCCACAAGATCGAACTTGTTCAGCAAATTTTCGGCGTTATCTTCGGCACTGATATCCATTGAGAACAGGTATGTCTCACACTTCAAGAAGTTTGCTGCGAATTCCAGTTTCTTCTCCAGGATGTCGACGATGATGATGCGATGAGCCCCGAACTGACGTGCCACCGCTGCACAAAACAAACCAATTGTTCCACTTCCCATCACCACCACGGTCTCGCCAGGTCTGATATCACCGAGTTTGACAGCATGCACTGCGACTGCGATCGGTTCCACGAGCACCGCTTCATCAAGTCCTATGGTTTCCGGTATCTTGTACACAAAGTCCTCTGCACAACGAAAGTACTTGGACAATGTACCTGGGGTATCTGGCGGCCCTGGTGCCGCTGCAAAACGTATATTGCGACACAGGTTGTAGGTGCCAGATTTGCAGGCTTTGCATACACGGCACGGGAACTCCTGGCTCAATTGCTACCCGGTCACCGGGCTTGACGGTCTTGACAGAAGATCCGACTGAATGAATGGTGCCAGAGGCTTTCGTGACCCATCACGAGGCCGGTGGATGGATTCACCATCTTGCCGATGCCACCATGGTGCCAGAAATGGACCTGCGAGTGCACATCATCAGTCATGCTCTTGCATAAAGCGACTATAAAGGTGGAATTTCTTGGGATAGGACCGAAGGTGTCTCACATCACTGCCGCACACTCCAACATAATTGATACGAATGATGACATCGTGTGCGTCGACCAGCTCTGGTATGGGTCTATCTTCGATCTTCGCGTTGTGTGGACCATAGAGAACTACGGATGGATTCTGCATGTTGCTTTTGGAGGGATATATATATATAACTCGAGATAGATGTCTCAATCAAGATAGAAATTTGCCAGCTTTTCGGGTCACGTGACGTGAATGAAAGATGAGGAATTGATCTTGTAGAATATCTTGAGAAACCTGAGGACTTGATCTATTGAAGTACTTCACGTCGTAAGAATTCTACAGTGATTGTCGTGACAATTGTACCTGACCCGTCCCAAAGTGGGAATGTAGACGCGTGTAGCCAATGTTCCCCGCACCCCAGGCTTCCATCGTCTAACGCCACGCAGCTGATCAGGAAGACATTTTGAGTATTGATCTTCGAAACAGGTCTTCACTTTCAATTGTAATGGGTCACTCCAGTGTTGCGATACGAATATAGATGATGCGAATGTCGCTATATATAGCCGCATTGAGTGAGGATGGCCACTAGAGGGGTAATGGAGGCGCGGGTAGCGATAATCATACTCTTTATCTCTTATCGGCATTTGTAAGGGGAACGTCAGTGGACGGTTTCCTGTTCGCTGGGAGGGATAAGGCTCGTGTTCAGCTACGAAATCACATGATGACGCGTAGCAAGCGTGATTGAGTATTTGCCTCTTCTTGGCGTGCTTGGTTTGACAATTCCGCTGCCCCTCATTCACAAGTCCGTCCTAGCAAGTGCAACTCTGGGACTCTTCCTCCACCCCTCATACCGCATAACATCGCAAGCAGCACACCCCTTTCTTCTATCCTTGACCCCAATTTAGCCAAAGCATGGATCAATGCGCGAAATGCCAGAAGACAGCTGCTGATTGTGGCGCCGCCTCACTCAAACGGTGCGCCAAGTGCAAGAGCACCGTCTATTGCGGCCGCGATTGTCAAAAAGCCCACTACAAGGCACACAAGGCAGCCTGTAACAAGCGGGCTGCTGCCGCCGCCCACGTCGACGCCAACGCCGAACACAGCGATAACTACTCTGCACCACGTCTGATAGATCTCGAAATGCATGTACCGAACCCATTCACGCGACTCGACCAAGGCAAATACCTGCACGATCGTCCAGAGAAAGACGTCTACAAGCTTCTCATCGACTCTTTCCGTATGCGACAGCAGGACGACGACCAAATGGAGGATAAGAGGGCCCCGAACAGTGTTTACACCGGAGCGGCCTCAAGCATTGAGCCGTTCCGAAAGTATCTCGCCCTGGCGGCTACACGACCAGGGCTTCTTCCGCCATGGTGGACAGCTGAGAAGCAGAAGGAGTGTGAGGCTTTCGGTGAGAGTGGTGCGTGGCAGGATCTACGCAAAAAGGTCACAAAAGCGCAGGTTATTCAGCACTACGGCGACGAGAAAGCACCGATGCAGTTGAGGATGGTAGCGGAGGCAGTCTATGGCGTGGGATCGCTTGGTCAGAGTGGGGCCTCGATGCGGGCTATGTTGCGAAGCATGGAATCTGGTGGACCTGGAAACGGAATGCATGCGAGCATGATGAATATTAACCACATGTTTGGACGCGCATAGTGAATTAGTCAGAGCGATGATTGTGTAACATCTAAAAGTTTTGTCTTTACGATGAAGTCTCTATCTCTTTGACAGTACCATGGTGCCTATCCTTAGCGTACCAAACTGAAGAACGATCGCTACATGATATTGACGAGAGCTCTTCAGTGTGTTTTCGACTCTTGCCTCCCATGACAAGAATTGGCCCTCATTAGCTAGCATCACGAGCGCCATCAAACCACTGCTACAACAAATTTTGAGGGTGTTGGTAGGCCTTGTAGCACTAGTGCTGAAAGTGAAATAACTATAACTGCATTGTATTCGACTGATCTATCCCCCTACCGAAGGGTGCTATGGAGGTGTATATGATCTGATGCGAGTACGGCCGAAGTAGGATTGAGTCGGCTGTTGGGCATCATTAGGCGGCTGACGTACCTGCTGGTACGCATGATCCGACAGAGGGCGAGAGCCTTGATGATTAATTAATATTACATATACTAGTATCCACTGCCACCCGTCATTGTAACGACAAGAAAAAAAACCCTCATCCCCTCGCTCAAAAAAAGTCTACACTGCATGCAACCTCATACCCCTATATTCGTGAAAAGATCCATCTGGACCACAAAATATATTTCTAAAAGAAGAAGGAAGAAAGCACAAAAAAAGAGAAAAGAAAAAGGGGATTCAGAAGGAAAGAAGAAAGCGCCAAGTATATGCAAACCAACCGGATGACACCTCAAAACGCCACTCTGCAAGCCAAACGACCTCATCAAACACCGTCGACATCGAGCATCCTAGTCAGCGCAAGCCAATCCTTGAACTCATGCCCACTGTCCCTCGGGTTCGCTAACTTCTCGTTCACAGCCGCCAGGTCCAACGCTGTCTTGTCATCCTTTTCTCTACCCACTAGTCCCGCTTGCCCTGAATCCAGTCCGCTGTCCACACGAGGCGTGGGAAGGCGTTTCAGCGTCGTTGGTACCGCGGCAGTTGATCGCTGGCTCATCTTGGTGGAAAAGTCCGTCGTGAAGAAGTCTGGACTTGCGAGCAGCAGCGCGGGAGTGTTGGGAGAGGGGTGGTTTGCGGGGATGGGCTTGTTGGGCTCTTGTGTTGAAGTAATGCGTAGGCTAAGCATTGATGATTTCCTCATTTTGGCGCTGTTGTCGGCAGGTGTGTTGGTGCCTGTGGACTTGGAGAAGAAGAGGGAGGATTTGCGGAAGAGGGAGTATGATTTGCGGTTTTTGAGCTGGGGTGGTGTTTGGAGGGTTTCGGTGGCGGTGGCGGCGTGGTCTTCTGTGTGTTTCTCCTGGAGAAGGGCTTCTGCCTTTTCTTGCTCCTTCTTGCGGTGTTCCTCTTGTTGTCTCCTTTCTGTTGCGAGTGCCTCTTCATGGGCTTGTTTGACTTCTGCTTCTAGCGCTGCAGTTTGTTCTTGTCGTCGTCGTTGATATTCTTCTTCTCTCTTCTCCTTCTCTTCGGCATCTTTCAGCATAGATACAATCTTCTCCTTCTCTTGCTCTTCGAGGTCCTCTGGCACACGTTCTAGCGGTGTGAGACCCTGTACGTTCTTCATGCTGGCCTTTGCTTCCTCACGGAGCAATATGGCTACGACCCTCTTGCTTCCACCGACGGCTGCCAGGTGCAAGGGAGTGTCCTTAGTCGAGTCTTGAATGTCTACCTTGGCGCCGCGACGCAGCAAGGTATCCGTAATCTCCCAATCACCAACCTCAGCTGCGTAGAATAGTGGTGTTCGTCCAGACTGGTCGACACAGCTCATGTCGGCACGTTGCAGTGACAGCTCCTCTACGATATTAACTCGGCGGGCTTTTGCTGCAGAATGAAGAGGAAAACGTCCAGCGTAGAACGGCGATGCAACGGATAGGTCCGCACCTTGCGTCAGCATAAGTTTCACCGCAGCGATGTCAATGCCTGGGCACTCTTCGAGCAAGAAAGAGAGAGGACGTAGTGTCAACGGAAGACCGATCCTGGAGGAGTTTGGTGACTGCGGCGGAGTCGAGCGTCTTGAGCTGCGGACCCATTCCGCATTTGGGTCTGATCCAGCTGCCAAGATAGTCTTGAGACCTTCCATCAAGTAATCTGGTGACATAGGTGGTTGAAGTGGGATGTGGCGTAGGAAAGCCCATAGCAAAGATGATCCCATAGGCGACTTGGGCAAAGCATTGATGTCCAGACCCAATGAGATCATCTGCTTGAGGCTCGCGATAGGAAATGCCGTGAAAAAGAAAAATAGTCCATCGTCGGCCTCGGTCGGCAATCTCCGTAACAGAGCGGCACGTCGTTGCCACTCGTGCTGAGCGAAAATTTTGAGGATTTGCTTGTTGGTCTCCACAGAGGGAGACATCTCGGCGGTCTCGGATGTCCAGTCTTCGAAATTGAACGTAGCACCATTCTTGAGCAATGCTTCCACGAATGCGGGCTTGCCTAGTGTGACGGCGTAGTACAATGCCTCGCGCTTCTGGTGATCCTCGTGGCCCGCGCAGTTCCAGCTCGCTTGCCGGTCCATCTTCTGGACTAGTAGAGCTTCTACGACAGGAAGTCCTTCCTCAGGGAGGGTCTTGACAGCCAAAATAAGTGACGTTGCTCCTGATCGGTCGCGCATACTCCTGCTTACACCCCGTTGACAAAAGGGAAATGTCGCTGCGGCGATGTCTGCCCATGTTTCAGGTTCGGTCGGGGTGCTGGTAGCAATGTGGTGTAGCGCGATCAGGCCGTCTGTTCCCCATGCATTGATGCTGGGAGCTATCGCAAGGAGCGGAACAACAGCCCATTGGTGGTTCTTAACAGCAAGAAGCAATGGCGTGTTCTTGTCCTTGTCAACGACCGCAATGTCCGGACGAGCTCTTAGCAACAAGCGTAATGTCTTCTCCAACCCGTTTGCAGCAGCGAGATGCAGGGCTGACTGCTCGTTGGCGTTGGTCTTGCTGCGATCTGACACCTTGACCAATGAGAGCAGGTCTGGTTCTTTGTCTTTCTTACAGAATGTGGAAGCATAGAGCAAAGGCGTAAGTCCTCCAACGTTGGTTTGGTGTGGGTTTGCTTTGTTCTTCAACAGCATTTCCACACGTGACTTGCTGTGTGTTGCAAGGTGCAGCGCTGTGTTTCCACCCTCATCTTGCGCATCAACATCGAGGCCGTTGTCAATAAGCAATTGTGCGTACTTTGTGTTGTCGAAGATGGGTGATACAGCGTGATGGAGTAGTGTCTTGCCGTCGGGGTACCTTACATCAGCATCCGCACCTTGCTCTAGCAGGGCTGCAAATAAAGCGGACGTTTCTTGTTCATGTGCCAACGGGCTTTCGAAAATAGCTTGAAGTACAGTAGACTGTTTCTTGTCAAGGACCTTGAGGTCGATGCCTCGTTTTAAGAGAGCGTTGACGACTGGTGCGCTGGCGCAGTCTAGGGCTACGAAAATGGGTCGGAGGCCGCTGGTTGTTTCTTGATCCGGGTCCGAGCCTTTCTCGAGGAGCATTTCAACAAGCGCTGCATCGTTCCTCTTGATAGCCTCTACAAGAACCGTCGACTCGGGGTCGCAGGCTGCAGCAAAGATATCTGCGATGAGGTCGTTTCCAATGGAGAAGCGACCCTGAGTGTTTTCCACGTGCTTCAGCAGCATCTCCTTTTCCTTGACAAGCTCGTCGCGCTTGTCTCGTGCAGCGTTGATGATTGCCGCCGCACCTTGGATGTTGTTGGCCTTCAAAGCTGCTTCTGCTGCTGTTTGTCCCTTGACGTTGAGAACATCGTAGCTGGCTCCATGCTTGATCAATGTCATGGCGCTTGCCAAAGATGCAGACTTTGATGCAGCATAGTGCAGAGGGGTCTCGCCAGTGTCGTATGTCTTAAGGTCCAGATTCGCTCCGTAGGGAATGATGAGCTCGACCAAGTCGTTTCGTCCATTCTTGACGGCCAAATGAAGAGCGGTTTCGCCGGTGTTCTTGATTGTAGCGTTTACGTCGGCACCAGCTTCGAGGAGAGACTTTGCAGTTTCGACATAGCCGCTAGCAAAGGCAATGCACAGTGGTGGTTGGCCGGTGCCAGTGATGTCGTCTGGTGATCCGCCGGTCCGTAGGAAATGTGATAGAGCGGCCTCGCGTTGATGATACACGGCGTAATATATCGGCGTCCACTGCTTGGATGGTTTGAAAGCTCCGCGTTCCTCCGGTGTGCCTGCTGGCTTCCCAAATCTGCACTTGAGGACTTCAACAGAAGTCTGAAGCGTCGAGCCCTTGCGTTTCAACGCGGGCGCTTTCGCACTGTCGGATTCCATCTCGAGGTCGATTCTGCGTATGGCGGGCTCCATGTCAGTCGAGTTTCGAGCAAAGAGACAATGGCAAGACGGGGACTTCATGATCTTGAGCGGGCATTAAGAAGCCCAGCAATTAGTTTAAGCACAGGTATATGGAAGAACCAGGCATTCGAGGGCATGCAGGGTTAAAAAGAAGGGTACTGGTCAGTCTGTAGAAGAAAGTACACCTGCAACAGAACGAAAGATTGACAGGTACACTACGGTATACCCAGACCTCAGTCGTCCCAATCGGGCATGGTAGAGGAACGGCGCCGGCACGAATCGACAACCTCATCGCCAACACTTGTGTCATTTCGCCCCGCATGGCGCTACCATCTCCATGGCGCTTTGCCAATAGATGCAAAAGATGTTGTGCCTTGAACTCAAATCTGCCAAAAGCGTTTCGCTCTTGTCCTGCATTGGACAGAGGGCACACACCGACCTGACTCGCTTTTTCGCCAACGGGTACGACGGTAGGTCTAAGATGACTGCAACACCGCATCCGTGCAGGTACATCGTCTCTCTCAATCAATCAACGTGCGGTGAGCACGTCGGTGGCGCGGGAAAACTGGCGGTTGGGTTGTGCTTGGTGGGATCGCCGGGCAAATGAGAGAGTGCAAACTACGTTGCAAACGGATCCCAGAGCGCGCAATCAACTGGAATTTGTTGTTTCGGACAATCTGCTTGGCACTCACTGGTGTGGGTAGAGTTTAGCCCAGTGCGGCATGAACCTTTCAGCTAGGCGGCCCACGTGTTTGTGGCTCCCGGTAGTTCAGGGGTATAGGTACCACCTCTATCAAATTACGCTTCTTGTTCGAGACCACGTGAGCCATTAGAAGAATTTCTCTGAAAACTGGCACCTCCATTCTGAAGAGAAGGGCATTGGGCGTTATACGGGTTGAATATCACAACAAGAACTGGTTGGGGAGCTTGTCCTGAGCTCGGTCTGGCAGCGGTTCGGTGGGCTGCTAGTCGGCGTGGGGGAGATCGTCCCGACCTTGCCAATATATCGGCGTTCCGAACATTCCAGCCTCACCAACATGTTGGGGCGAATCTCAATTGCTTCGGACAAGCGGGGGACAAAAAGAGAACATGAAACAAAGCCACCGTCTTTGATTAAGATTACCGTCGCCACAGTGACGATCAGAGTAGCACGATAATGACAGTAAGTGGGGACACCAAAGAACGTCCCACAATCCCATGCGCAATCAACCAATTTGGCACCGTCCTCCTCTTGCAACATGCACTACATCGCCTTTCCCATACAACAAGTTTACAATTTTATAAAGCGTCCGTGGTTGCTGATCTCAGCCGCTGCTCACCCAGCAGCACTCAGCAACACCCAGTAACTCAAAGCACCACTGCCTAGTCTACCTCTTAGAACTTGACCGCCAGATTCCATCCTATCTGTAGTGCACGACTCCAAACAAAACAGAGTGAGGACATCACGTAACAGACCGCGGTCCAAACAACCACACCCCAATAATGCCCACCGCAAGCTTGGATAAGAGCACCTGCGATGGGAATACCCGTGAGCGTACCGAAGCTCACGACCGTGTAGCAAGTAGCGTAGTATCTCCCATATACGTTCGTATCGCAGAGCTGACCGACACATACCGGCGTCAATGAGATGTTGGAGCCAGAGGCGAACCCGAAAGTGACTGCGTAGACGATCGATAGTGCTTTGATAGTAATGGCCTCAGACTCAGTTGTCGGCGTAAGCAGAGAGGCTGGAAGCCAAAACACTAGAGAAGTAGCCGAGCAAACTGCCAGTGCAGCGATCATACTGTTAAAACGGCCAAGCTTGTCGGCTAGGAAGCCTGGGACCCAGCGGCCGATGCAACTCCCTGCGTTGAAAATGGCAAGGAGCTGGTAGGAAAAAGACGGGCCGACCGCTCCTGTGCTAGTAGCAAAAGTGGTGAGATAGGTTATTGGAACAAAAAGTGCCCATTCCATCAGAAAAATCCCGACCGTCAGCAAAAAGTAGCTCTTCTGGCTGAAGATTCGGAAGTCGGGCCACACTGACTGACCAACTTTGGGTGGCAAGCGAGAACGGATGAGGATGCAGGCCCCAATGCAGCAGAACAGTGTGACGAAGCCGACGATGCGAGTTGCCCATGGGAACCCCACCGAAGGCAGCAGCTTCTCCAATGCGAGCGGGAAAATGACACCGCCCAACGAGCCTCCAGCAGCAGCCACACCAGTCGCATTGCCACGCTTCACGTAGAAGAAATGGCTAATAGCTGCGAATGCCGGAGTAAAGATCAGCGACGTGCCGACGCCTCCGAGTACGCCAAAGACAAGGAAGAAGTGCCAGTATAAGGTGCATAGGCCGAGCAGAAAATTCGATAGGCATAGTAGAATACTGCCTGCCAGTACCAGGAGCCGCGGTCCGTGGGCGTCAAATATGGGACCAATTTGCAGTCCGCAGAAGAACGACAAGAACACATACATGCTGAAGATCCAAGAGATGGTCGACTCGCTGTAGTCTTGTAGATAGTGCTCGGAAATGTACGCGTGGTAGATACCGACTGTGTTCATCATACCCAGCGACGATATGAGCCCTAGGAAAGAACCCAGAACGACGGACCAAGCGCCTAAGCCGCCTTCCGGATAGGTTACCTCATCGTGGGCAGTAGTTGTGATGGATGGAGAGTCTTGATCGAGAGGTTGGTGGCTTTTTTCATCTCCAGTTGCAGTGTTGTTTGGGTGATTCGCCTTGAAGTTGGCCAATGCCGGGGCATCGGCGGTGTGAGTTTGGGCACTTGGGCATGGTGAGAGCGTGTCCGATGGTGGAATAGTGAATTCGGCGTGGGGGTAGGTGTTGACTCTTGCGAGATTGTTATGCGGGTTGATTAATCCTGGCGTGCTGCCTTTTTCTTCGCTGCTCATACGAAGTGCTGATTCGGTACCCAGAAAATGTCGAGTATGTGTAATGACGTGCGCGACGTGCGGACGGTTCAAGTTGCCGAAAAAAGATGCGAAATCTCCTGTGGACCCCCCAGAAAGCGTCCTCTGTGTCGCCTAAATGTTTTCCAATCAATAATGTGTGCGAAAATCGTATCGCAAGTCGTGGTTCCCCAGGCGGTGTGGTCTGCACAAAAGAGGATGCCCGAGGAGTTTAAGTACAACGAGATGAGGGGAGGGGTAGACGGCCATGACAAACAGACCCACTCTGCCGCTTCGGCTACGTGCCGCTTTGCGGTATCGCCCGCTACCGACGATGGATTTTTCGACCAAATCTTCCCGAACCGGGCTATGATTCGCCCTAGACGCCGAAGACGGACGACCACCAGGATAGTGGCGGTGAAGTCAGATGCAGTTGCTCGTGAGAGCTTCGTACCCGGGATACAACAACATTTGGAGACGGGCTCGGAGCAGAGCGTCGTCATCATCGTTCAACTTCCTGCTCGGGTTACCAATCTGGTCAAGGATATCGGTGGCATTCTTTCCGGGGTACACGTATCCGAGAAGCTCTTCGGCAAGGCCTTCTATCTTTGTAGAGTCATTGGCGGCTTGGAGAATGGTCAACCAGATCTGCACAGGAGAGGGGATAGATTTTCCAGCGTCACTAAACATGGAGTCATATCGTGTGTGAATGTTGTTGTCTTCGGTGTATGGATCGGCGGGCATCATGCTGACCTTTGCTGTAGTCGATTGGGTCGGCTCAATGCTCTGCTGAAGCAAGTCGAGAAGCATCTGTGACTCATCTGGAGGGCCTTGGTCCCCTCTGAAGATATTGTAGCTGTCGTTCGACGGACATGCCTGGGTAGCCATGTATAGGAGGAGCCAACTACCACGGAAACTCCATCGGGCTTCATGTGATGCTTTGAGGACGCGAGACGCATACGAGGCTTTGAGTTTGTTCTGCAGGAGCTCGTATAGGGCATTGCCGCCTTTCTTGGCACCGACTTCTGCTACCGAGTGGCTGTCTTGCACCGGCTTGGTGGATACACTGCCCTCACTCGCAGTTTCGGTCACCTCGCTGCAGTCTTGACGGCCTCCCGGGATCGCTGTTGTGCTATCGGACTCTACCTCTGGGTGCATCGAAGCATCTGTCGCAGTCCTAGAGAAAGCAAACGTGTTCTTCAACTTGGCCGTGGACTTGGTCCGGAGGTTTCGAATGTCGCGGCGGAGAAGGGTCATGGTCCATGGGACAGTGCATTGGGGTGGGGGTGACACCATGATGAAGGAGATGAGTATGGATGTTGTGATGAGGGAGATGATTAGGGATGTTGTGGCGAAGAAGACGAGAAGAGATGATGTGGCAAAGGAGATGATGAGTGCTGTTATGATGAACAACTGTGTGTGCGTTAGTTGAGCTATTCGACAATAAGCGACATGGAAACACTGACCGATAGGAGCATATGCTCGACGCGTGTATGGATGAGCTGTTGTGTGTGTGTGTGTGTGTGTGTGTGTGGAAGAGATGTTGGATGAAGATGCAGTGATGCAATGGTGCGCAATTGCGTGCGTGTGTGGTATGTATAGTGCTATCGTAAGTGGGAAAAGATGTAGCAGAGTGAGATACAGTTGCGCGTGCGATTGCAGTGCAGTGGGAGACTCTGGTGTACGTGTTTGGTAAACAGCAGTTATTATATGGGAAGGGGGGAGAGCAGGTACGATACGCGAAGCCTAGTGTGTTTGTTTGCTTCGACGTAAGTTGCTCACTGGCGCGTTGGGGAAACTCTGCACGTGTTCTGAACAGTCGCGAGGAGCTTATGACGTAGAAATTATTGTAGCTATACTCACAACAGCAACTTCATACGGCTCGACCTTGGATACAGCTCTTCCTGTCTGTCTCGTACTTTGTCTCCTCCCACATTAATCACCCCTTCTACCCAACACACCTAAAGCTTCCAATCAGTGACGTCGCCAAGTTTCCAACTCACCTCTTCCAGCCACCCACCCACAGCCCATGTTCCCAAGTTCTTTGGAAACCACGTCTTCTCCCCATCATCCTGCTCTTTGGTCTCATTTTCATGCACTTCAACCCAGCAGCCCCTTGCACGTGGTGCCGACGATGAGCAATCGACTGCGCGCCACCTATCTGTGCCCACCAGAACTGCCTCCGCCTTCTTCGGATCAAGGTCATATTCGTCCACAGGCGGACCTTCAATCGCAGCCTTGGCAGCTGCCTTGTGACCTGGATGCTCTCGAATGGGAGGCTGGGCAACTGTCAAACTTATTGGCATGTATTTCGTGTTTACAGGGATAGCTGGAATCCATTGCCATGGCTTGAGCGTGCATGCGAAAAACGGAGCTTCGCCATCACCGTCTGTTGTACCTGGTGGAAAGACTTGTACCGTGAGCGACTTTGGTGGAGTTTGTCCTTGCACCGTGGGTGGTGCGGAAAAAGAGAAGCGAGCCAAGTTCTTGGGAATGTTCCAGTTTAGACGGCCATTGTAGGTTGTAGTGCGCTGGGAGACGTAGATGCGGGAGATGCGCAGTGCTTTCTTGGGAATCTTGAGTGGTCCGTCTGCTGGATGAGGAACGGTAAAGCTGCCGGGTACGATCATAAGCTCATCGTAAGGCCCTACGGAGTGATTAGAGATGAACTACGTTATTATTTATGGGACATGAGCCCAATCTTAGTAGTCATGCATCTGTGTGGTGTAACAAGACATCAGATGGGATTCCATCGCTTCCGCTTGTGACACGATACATTGTCAAGTTTGAGGCTCGTGAATTCGACTAGACATGCGATATGCGATAGTATGAAATGTCACAAAGAATGCGGCGGTATCTAAAAATAGGAAACATACCAACAGGCGTATCGCTATACCTGACGATGATGACCGCTCCCAGTCCACCAACGAACTCGCCCATGCCCTTATCGGCCCACGCAGCCTCGAGCGGGTCGTAGACACCCTTCGGTAAGTCTTTCAGCTTCAGAAGCAACGTGTAGCATTCGGCCATGAGGTTCCATGGCGCTTTGGCCCGGCGAACGGGATGTTGCTCGGGCTCTGGGTCCGCATGGAAAGTACCGTACGTCGACATGGCACGATGGTATGTCACTGGACCGGAAAAACAAAATACACAAAATATGCAGCTGCAACAGCAGACCTAGGTATCTTGAAGTCGTGCCTGTGTCTCTCCGAGGTTGTAAGGCGGATGACCTCGGAATCAAATTGCATGTGAGATTGAGGACACCTGTTGGCAACATGCTTCGTAAGCGCCAAGTAGACTCACGATCACGACGATGCAGCGGGGTTGAAGCTGTACTGTGCATGCCACACAGTAGGAAAGACGACACGAACAAAGGTTGCACATGGACGCTGTTGTACCTCTAGTGCTTACCTACGTCGGTAGTCATGTCCAAGTACACAAGTGACAACCAGAGAGAGATTTGTTGGAAGGCGCCGACGACGTGGAATGATCTACATGCCACGGGTCGTGCATACATGATGAAGCGAGAAAGGCATTTTATTACTCCAGGAACGGTGGTCAGCACGCGTTACACACCAAGCGGGTTTGCCTCGATTCCAGAAAGCTCAGAATCGTCCCACAATATTCGCGACATTGGTTTAAGGAAATCTTGGTACCCATGTCTTCAGGTACCCTTGGAAAACAGTCATCAGTCCACGGCTCGCGCTTGTTCCGTCTGCCGTCTCCAGAGTCAAGACCCTAGTCGCAAGTCTCTCGTCCAATCACGACTCGCTAGGCCCGGATAAACCTCATTACCTGGGCGGATCGATGCTTCCTGGCCACCTGCCGCCCGCCTTAAGGGTCTCTTGTCTCGTGCGCACGTGTCTGACTCGCATTGTCGCCAACGCAGGGGCCTTGTTCCCGTTAGCATACAGGCCAGGTATGGTCGGTGACTGCGTGTCATGTATCCGAACTGCTGTTTATGAACTAGGCGTTGCGGAATGCCGTTTATAACTAAGTCACCTTGCCGTAGTTAGCCGACGGCATCGCCGCCAATCGAGCCTCGGTTGGCTGGGTTCAGCTAGAACAAGGCAATTGGCAATGGCAGCAAGGTAGCAATACTCTAGTTTGGTCTGGACAAAAAAAAGCGGCGAATGCAAGCAACAGCAAATCGATCGTCACGGAGCCGCATTACCGACAATGTGGATAATCGTCGAGTGGCCGTAAGTGGGGTGCCTGCACGTACACACAAACCACAACTACCCTGGCCAGGCTATCCCGCCCAGTCGTGCATGCGAACTCAGAAGTGTCTCGCAGTAGCCGCCTCCACTCGGCATTGCCAATAATGCAAAGTGCTTCTTAGGTTCTTCCATGCCATACGGGTAAAAGACCCTAGCTGACTGCCCTAGGTCCTAGGAGTGTAGGCACGGAACATTTGCAAGCGGTGTGTGTGAAGTCGGAGTGGGAGTGGAGTTACCTGGGGGTAATAGAAACTCCACTGATCCACCATGTTGGGCATACTTGCACCGCGTTCGGCGCTAAATAACATGATCGGATATTATGTCTTTACCGTCTTGGATTGGATTTCCTGTCTTGCACGTGTTCAATTTGTTGTGATCAAGCAAGTCGAGTCTGATAATTTTTCTGCTGACCACGCTTGTAGCCACCTTGGCACAATAGCCGAATGAGTACCTGAACGCACGCGACAGGTCTGCCGGACCAGGAAACTTGGTGCATGGGCACCTGGCCGAAAGCTTAGTAGTGCAGTACCGTAGTTGCGACGGCGGCGAACATCACCAAGCGAAGTCTGTCATACTAGGAACATGCTGGTAGAGTAGTGCCATTCTTAAACGACGTGGCTACAAGAGAAAGAAGACGAAAGAAGCGATTCGGAGCGAAGCGTCATGTTTGTAGTAGTGTGGTATTACGGGACCGTCCTCCCTCCCCCCAATTACACGGGGGGGCCGTTGGAAAATCCTCAACGTCTATGAACTATCTCCATGAAAACAGAAAAATACACTTGTAAAACCAAAGGACAGCGTATAAGCGTGAACCTTTTTTGAAAACTTTTAGTTTGTGATAGTAACGCCACAACAGACCCAGATCTAACGATTGAGTGAAATCAGACGACGACCCAGGGGATATTCCGCGAAAACACAAAACAGGACAGGGCTGCTCGAAACGGCTCTCCTGCAAACGATGTCATCCTGCCAGGCTCTGTGCCGGTCAAAGGAGATGCACAACTCTAAGGATGTGCAGAGATTGAAATACATAGAACGGCCAACGAACAGTCTATCCAAGAATCAGGCCTGGCTGGCTTGCTAGATGTGTTGCTGATGGTCCAATCCAAGAAACGCCAGGTGATGCAGAGATAAAAATTGAATTCAGTCATGACTTTTCATGTTGCTGGCCAGCATCAGTCGATAAGGAAAACAAGGTCTATAGACGAAAGACGCAAGCTTGGTCGCGATTGTTGAACGTTTGGGTATTAAGAAGAGGACAATTGGGTGAGACGCAGCAATAGCGACTGGGAGAATTGAAGGCATTGTACGAGCTTGTGCTCTAAAACATGGAAGGGTCGATGCCACCCATTCCGGCTCCAGCAACATTTGCGTTTTGAAGATTTTGGAGAGAACCCGTCAGCCCAAGCTTCTGCATGGCCAGTTCAGGATTGCAGTGGGGAGCGTGGGAGCGATGGTACTTGAGACCGTTGAGGTTCTTGTATCGCTTGCCACAGACCTCGCAGCGGTATGGCTTCTCCTTCTCCATGCCAACAGTTCCCGGGTAAGGGATGGATGTCAGGGGGTCGACAATGGAGAATGTGCCGTCGTCGTTTTCCTTGAGCTGCTGGTTTTGGTGACCATGCTGCTTGTGGTACTTCAATCCATTCTGGTTCTTGTAGGCCTTTTCGCACCCAATGACTGGGCATCGGAATGGCTTGACCTCCTCAGGGAAGGGGAATTGGGGTATGCTTGCGCCATTGATGAGCTGCTGTTCTCGTAGCCTCCTCGCCATTTCGCTCTGGTCATTGCCGCTGAGCTGGTAGTTCTTGAGGGCGGCCTGGAGCTGAGCCTGGTTGAGACCGGCGCCTTGCTTGCTGAACAGACGCTTGCCTGGCTGGTCAATGGTGCCGTTGTTGTCAAAGGCGCCCATGCCAAAGTTGCCGTTGCCGTTGCCAAAGTTCATGCCCATGGGCATACCCATGTCCATGCCCATCATTGGGTTGAAACCGCCAAAGTCCATGTCGAGCTCGGCAGGTGTGCCAGGGTGTGATGATTCGGGCGATGTCAAGTTGTGGTTTTGCATGGGCATCGTGCCAAGCGTTGGTGTGTTGACGGATGAGACAGTAGGGTTGTTCTGGAGGTTGAATTGCTGCGAGGCAGAAGGCGTCGTGGGCGTCGATGTTCGCATGCCCTGGTGGCTTTGCATGTTGTTGGCGAGGTTGACATTGACGTTGAGCTGCGGCTGCTGGTTCTGGTTCTGGTTGAACTGGCTCTGGACGGGATATTGCTGCATGGGCTGCTGCTCTTCGATGGGGCCGAGAGTCTCAAAGTTGATGTCGTCCATGTCCATGTCGTCTAGCGAGTCCATGTCCTGGACAGTGGACAGGTTGGAGCGGCTGACGGAGCCTATCCGCTGGCGGGGTGCGCCTGTGGAGCCTGATCTTGATTGGAAGCCGTTCTGTTGGTTGTATGTCTCGCCCTGGGTCTGGCTGGGCGCTATTGAGCTGGTAGGGGCGCCCGATTGTGATGTGAAGCCATTTTGTGGTGGTTGTTGAGGGCGGGCAGCGGGTGTGTTGGCGTGTGTCTCCTCAAAGTGCTGGAGCAGGTCGTGCAGCGAGGCCAGGGTGAGGCCGCAGCAGGTGAAGTCCTTCATAAAGGCCGCCTCCATCTTGGGCAGGTACGATGACGAGTGGAATGAGGGCGAGTTCTGGGCGAGGGGAGCAGGCGAGGTGCCCATCATGATGCTGGCCGAGTGTTAGACATGGTAGGCGCTGACAGAAGGGTTACATATAACTTACTCATCACGAATCCAGGAGCCCACTGAGTGGCCGCCCCAGCTCATGCCACCGGCGAAGCTGCCCATGTTCATGCTCTCGCGCCGGCCGCGGTCCTTCATAGTGATGGGACGGGCGCTGCTGTTTCCGTAAAAGGAAGAGCCGAGCATGGTGACGGAGGGGTGGCGCTCACCCATGCCCGGACGAGTGCCATTGGCATGGAAGTCGAAATTGTTGGGGTTGAGCAGGCCCGGTGTTGTGGCGAGGTCGGGCTGAGCCTCGGCCTGCCTCAGAGCAGACGTCAGATTAGAGGTTTGGTTCTGTGGTGAATTGGAGCCATAGCGTGGCGGGGTCTGAATGTCGATGGGCGAAGCAGTCGCCATGTCTGCGAAGCCGCTTTGCACGCGCGGCTCCTCTGGGAACAGCGGGAAGCTGCAGTCGCCCGCGTCCTCAAAAAGCACGTCCGAGTCGGGCTGGTGGCCGGCCACAAGCTCTTGGGGCTTGCGGTGCCAGTGGTTGAAGAGGCTCGCGCTCGGGTCCTTGTTAGTACGGCCAAACTGCGGCGACGAGGGCTGTTCGACAGGAGTGGTGATGGGAGTGCTCGCTGCGGTAGATTCGCGCGGCGAGTGGGAGAGAGGTGGCGGATGCTCGTAGGAATCCAGCTTCACGGTGGGGGAGAGAAAGAGTCTTGAAGACAGGCAATGGGGGAGGGAAGGGGAGGGGAGGGGAGGATAATATGGTGGTGCGCCGACAAGTGCTTAGGCGCGGGTTTCAGATGACTGTGCGGTTGGTGTGGCGTAGGTGGGTGTGTGCGGTGTGGCTGGGGCACAAGTCTTTCTTTTTGAATGATGCGTGTTTTGCACTGCAAGTTTGGCAGTAGTTTGGGTAGAAAGGATAGCGCTGGTAAATAGCCGTCTTTCAAAATACACAAAATTATAGTGAACTCGTTCCCGGGGCCTGGGGGGCTATATGTTGGCGTGGAAGCGGTGACGAGGTTAGTATGGACGAGCGGGCGGGCGTGCTTGCAGCTTGGAGCATCCCTGAAAAGAGGTGGGTGGGTGCGGCCAATTGCGGGCAGGCGCTACTGTGCCTGTATGCGTCGGCGACAGCAAAGGTGCAACTCTGACGAAGGGCGATCGCTGACGATGTGACGAAAGCCACGGCTGGGGTCCCTTAGTCAAGTGCGGAAGGATCTGGCAGATGCGGTACCGTCGTCGATTGCTCGCAGCTCAGCCTGGTTGCAAATTGAAGCGACAGAAACACAGTCATGTGCTTTCGCCTTCTCGTACGGCACTGGCGGCCGAGGCATCTGCATGCCATGGTTTGGGAACGAGAGCACGGCCACACGGTTGCTCTGGTACTGGTACGCGCCCCTACTAGAGCCGGAGCGGTAGTGTCGAGAGCGTCGTCGAGTGTCACGCCGTCGTGCGGTGCATATACAAGCCCACCCTGGCCACCAGTCAGTCCAGTGCCAGTGCCGGCGGTAGCCTCGAGTCGACCCAGCACGGCTTCCTAAGATGCATCGGTGCTACATGTCAACATTCCCAGTCCTTCTAGAAGACGATTCCCTTTTGCCTCATGGGAAGTGCCGCTCGGCCGACTGTCTGGCCTACCACTCAGACTACTGTATTGCCGTCGTCTCTCTTCCACGTGGCGCAGCCAGTCCGCGACCTGGAAGCCCGCCACCGCTTTGTCCGAGATACAACCGGCGCATCATTCTGTTGGTATTGGTGATAGTTGAATTGTATACTTGGTCAAAGCTCATCCGTCCTCCCTTGTCGTCGCAGCCGACTTCACCTGGCATCATACCTAGCCAGTACCGTGCATGCTTGCTGTAGCTTTCTGCGAACCGCCGCTGACGCCCAAGCGCCCTGGTCTGTAGGGTATACTGTACATACAGTAGTCCTTTGGTAGTACTCACACCTTTTCTTGTCTGGGTCCACAGTCCATATGCACCACCATATCCACCACTGCCCTACTGCCCTACTGCCCTACCACTACCACTACAGCAGGCTGTCTATTCTACCTGCAGCCTTGGCGAGACGCCAGCAATCCCCCCGTGCTTTCACTGTCACTGTCGCTGCATGCGTTTCGAGACTCGGCCGGGTCGGCAGAATGCATCTGCCAGCCCGGAGCCCTCTCGGCTGTTTGACCCTCTTGGGCCTTCTTACACAAGCACCCAACTAACAGGCCGCTGCTGCCATTAGCCTGTCCTTTGATGCGCCCTGTATCCTACCATACCCCCTTCACATGTCCTCGCCTCGACGACGACGGCTGCGCGTCATGAGCCCACCTTGCTAGCGGCTTGACGTGTGTATCAAGTCGCTTCCCACTCCACTCGTCAAAACATGAGCAAGAGCAAACAGACCTGGTCGCGCCAGCTACCCCATGGTCTGCCGTTCTGGGGTAGTCATCATGTCGCTTGGGTGCTTGCGTGCTTACTTGCATACCCTCAACACCAACCAAGCCTCTAGCCCACTCAAGACAAAAAAGGCCCTTAGCGACGACCCGAATTATCCTCGTAACCACCACCACCACTCGACTCGTCTACCCACTGCGCTTACCCCCACGGATGTCGCCCTTTAAGCCTCACTTTGCCGTGTTGCTTCATGTGGCTCCTAATTCGAAACAATGCACGCTGTCCTCGTGATTACTCTCCGAAGACCGGACACACTTTCCTGCCATACATAGGCCGGCCATCCTTGCAACGGCATGTCCGCCCGGTGCGCCTTCCTCGACGTTGTCACTGTTGTTGCCTTCATTGGACCCTGCAGCAGCTCCCACGTTGTGACGCCTAGAAAGGGAATTCCGCCCTACACCGTCACGTGTTTCCAATCTTGCACATCACCATCCCACCCGTTGTGTCACCATGTGTAGGTCATCACCGCCTCAGGCCTCGTGGAGAAGCATTGCGAAAGACGTCGTCGTCCTCGTCGTCGTCGCGCCATGGATTACGACGATCAGATGACTCAACCACTCGGCCCTGGACGCCTGCACGCCTGCACGCCTGCGCCGCAGCCATTGTTGAGCACTGCGCCAAACCACTATCCCAGTGACATACATGCTGACCTTCGTGTCGGCGAGGCAGGTTGCGCCTCCGTTGGGACGCGGGCCTTCCGCTGTCGCCTAATGTCAACGCCGCCAAGTGCTTCACTCACGACCCGCGCCCAACCGGTGCTGTCTCCGCCATGTCTGGATGGCGACGTCATTCATTTTTTGACATGCAGGCAGTTCCGATGCGATTAGACACCAGCCCTTCGTCATGCACGACACCTTCACATCTGGTTCGTTGTTGCGGACACGGCTACGCATCGTAAATTGGCCCAACTCTGAGCTCCTCTTACAGCAAGTCTAGCGAGCTCAAGTCCGAGTCAGCATGATCCTCGATGACATTAGGGATGACAGTACCTTTCGTGGCTAGCATGCTTCACCGCCAACGACGCTTCGTGACGTGCCAGCTATGTCGACGTCTGCCATTCGGTAGCGCCAATCTGTGCATATTCTGCTAAGCTGTATCTAGATGTCATCGTAAAGTCTATCTGCTAGCTCTCGTCAATATCCAATCTTCCGCACGTGTTGGCCCTTGAGCCTGCTTCATTGCGCTCCTTGGCTCCCCTCTGGGGTTACCTCGCTATTCTGAAATCATACACATTGCAATACCAAGAAGTGGGGTATGATTCATGTGCTCAACCGCCATCTGTCGGATTCCAATCACAAAACCTCAAAAGTCAACAGTCGCTCCTTGTCGGTCGGCCTCCAAAAAGCAACGAGCATGGCTAGCCAGGCATCCGTGGAGAAGACTGAAGCCGCTCTCCCTGCCCCATCCTCACCCACTTTCCGCTCGCTGGCATTACGCGGTCTGCATTATCTTCCTAATCAAACTTCTCGTTGGAAGCTATTCCGTCTGCCGTCAGATACGGCTGCCGTCAAGCGAGAGCCAGCAACAGCACGACATCGCCTATGCCAGCAGCCCGACCCGCCCCGCTGAGACTCCAGATCTCGGCTGTGACAATATCGAAGATGGGTGGGCCCCACCAGCATAAACCACCTGAGGTCCCTGACTTTTGAGACTTGGCCAATTTCAACCACCGGATAGTCGCTAACGACGCCTCACACGCCTCAAACGCCCCAAAGCTCCGATGCACTTTCCGACACGCGCTCTCCACTATACCCACTCCAAGATGTCTTGCATGAAGCTTTCATACTTGTGCACTAGACAATCTGGCCCTGGGTCGGTCCGAAGACGCCTTTGTCACGTTACCGAGCCGCTAAACAACCACCAAACAGTGCAAAGTGACAACATATGCAGTTTAATGCTGTTGATTTGCTTCATGGGTTCTACACGGTATACCACATCTAGAAGTCCGCCCATGACATCAAGGAATTCGTACCCGGAGCGTATGGGGCGCGGTTGCTGCACATTTCGGTCCTATACGGTGATATCGGCCCTTCATCCATGAAAGACACGAGCAAACGATCAGCCGTCTGACGTCAATCCCGAAGCAGCGAAACGCTTTCGCATGCCACAATCCGAGGGTTCTCGCAACCGTTCATGAACGGTTGCAGATGTGGGGTCCAACCGTTGAGGTTCAGCTTGCAGATCTACGATACCTCAGCCTCAGCTGCACGCGTTTCGGGGAAATTATACACGTTCAACATGCAAAACCGCGTCATTATGATGTTAGAGACGCGCCAGTTGTCACCCTGAACAAGACCCTGGCTAACCAAGCAGTCATGTCGCTACTGCATAGCACAGCACAGTATCCGCTTCCCCGTGAACGCTCCAGGCATCCGGTATCACAACCGATGGCCCTCGGGACGAGCTGGATTGATTCCAAAGTCTGGAGCACAGTGAGTGACGATCGTTCAAACCCAATAGAGCAGGTCATGCACATGATTTCACCTCTGCCCAGCCTCCACATTACGCATTTGGAATCCATACGTATCGTCAATGTCCCAAGATCGGATGCACAGTGATGCATGAGCTTTTCTTGGATTTCGTCACACACATGCGGATCCGTATGTCCCATGCATGATGGCCAGATGGCCAAATATGGAGCCTGTATGGGGCTGGATATGGGGCCCGGATACAACTCCATGGCTGCCGGTTTAGTAACGTGGCTTACGACAGCGAGCTGCATGGCCTTCGGTATCCCCCCTTTCCTATCAATTTCCTAGTATATAGACCGGGCAATGACTCGTTTGCGGTTCCGAGTTTCCGATGTCAATCATCAGGGTTACAACGCTGTGTCACTATGTTAGTCTTCGCCGTTATCTCACGAGTCGACACGGAAAAACTGCGGGAAAGTTGTCAAAATATCAAGTTTTCTTGTTCATTGCTCCGAGTTTCTACGTCAAGTTTCTCTTTGTACATGACCAAAACAGAAAACGGCTAAAATATCCACGCCGTATACTAATCACCTACTTGCTGTTCCTTGTTTCTGATCTTTTCTTGCCTTCGTATGCTCATTGAATACGCCGAATACGCCCACCAAACGAGCGCAGACCCAAACGGACCTTGGAATTGCCGACCGACTCAGCTACACTGAATCGCCAAACCATCCGGCCCATTTCTGCGATGGCTCAGCTACTAGGCCGATGCCGATGGCGATGGAGGCGTACCTGCAACCCACTCCATAGAGCCATCTAGGCTGCAGGCAGTCACGATGGACCGGGACGTTGATTTGGATGCCGAAATCGCGCCAATTCCGTCTTCCTTCCTCCCGGGAGTCGGTGGTGGTTGCTGCATAGAGGCGGAAATCCTGCTCAGTCAGATGAGCACATGCGGTGATGTACGGAACTCCGTCGTATTCCAGCTGGCGGCGCTATCATCCGACTCCTCGGCGCTATCATCAGCCACACGTCGTTTAGCTTCGAATAACGCAATCAGCTCGTCGCAAGATGTCCACCAGGTCGTTTGCATGTCTAGTTCAAAATCTAGTTTTGCTAGGAGTCCCTCGGGTGGTAGCTCCGGTTCGAAGATCTTGGGCAATTGCTTCTTAAGCATGTTCTCGGCTGCTGTCCATTTGCCTTGACCGAGTGCCAACTTGAAATCGTTCACATTAGTACCCCGGAAATTCGGAATCTCGCGAAGCACCTTCTCGACCAAGTCTGTTTGGCTACCACTACCGGTAATTGCACACCATACAGCCTGATAGAGCGCGGATTTGATCGTGTACTTTGCATTCTCGCTACCAGCTTCCATCAAGGCGGCGGCGTAAATTTGGCGGTAATAATGGTGATTCCACGCCATGGATTGGGGGGTGCGCAGGTCGTTTGCCCAGTCTGGGAACCAGTCGTTTCGCAAGAAGACAGGTACTGCTGCTGTACCGATGCTACGCGGCGCGGCAATTGCATTGTCCCAGTCAATGATACCCGTGATGTTGCCCTCTTCCTCGACGAGGATGTTTTGCAGGTCGAGATCATTGTGGCGAATGGTGAATGTCTCATTCTGTTCTGTAAAAACAGGCAGGTTGAAGATCATATGGAAAATGGCTTCGGCTGCCATGCAGAGTGTCGCGCTTTCACGATCGTCACAAAGGAGATAATCGTCTTGAAACCGATCGACTAAAGATATCCGTTGGTTCGTGGCCTAGCGTTCACCTTTAAAAGAGTGTCTGGATAATTTTCGTGGACGCAGAAAGATGGGCCTACTTCTTCCAGCGAACCGTCTGGATTGAAAATCGGCATTCCGATATGCGGGAATGAGAGAGTCTGAATCTCCAGCATGATGCGAGCTAATGAGCGAAGAAATCTCAGACGCTTCTTTTCCATGACTGCGCTCGGGACGTCAGCCGCCAGATAGAATGGATCGAAACCAAACTCTGGCGCCTGATTAGACAGTTGGCTACCGTCGTCCCACATGGTGTCAGCAGTCTGGCCGGGTAGCTTCGTCATGAGGATGTACGGGAAACCCAACAGATTATCGTGACTGGAACAGTAGGCGATGACATGAGGCACTGGCGCCGTAGTGTTTTTGCGGATGTGCTCGATGAGCTGGGCCTCACGCTCCAGTACGTAGGCATCGTTTTCAGTCCATTGATCGGTTGTCGAGTGTCCTGGAACCCGTACCACATACTCAGTGACGTTTTCCCCGTCTTTGACTTCGACGAATGTCGCAGCGTTGTAGAACCCATGCTTTCGACCCACTACACGAATGTCCTGGATGGTGTCGGTCATGAGTTTGGTGATACGGAAAAGCTCTACGTACTTTGCTTCAGGAATGGTATTAGTGATCTTGAAGTCACAGCGGCGATGGCCCCAGTTATTGTCGTCGTCTTCGTCGTCTTCATCACCCTCATTGTCACCCTCCTCGTCTCGGACCTCTACAGTGTCTTCCGAGGTGGGTTCTGGGGCATCTTGGACGATGGGTTCTGGCACATGTGTCGCGATAGATTCCGGGACACCTTCCATGGTAGGTTCTGGCGCATCTTCCGAGGTGACCTCGAATATTGTAGCAATCATCGCAGTACCAGTGACAGTGTCGTGGCGGTAATCTAGCTTGAACTTCTTGCAAACAGCTTTGAAATTCTTGCGCATACAGTCTGAAAGAGGGAGAGAGTGTTCCGTTGGCGCAGTAGACTCCGAGTCTACCAGTGAATGGGTCATAATCGTCTCTTGAGAAGAGGAAGCTGCCCGACAAGCAGTGTCGAAAGAAGTGGTAGTCACGTCTTGGGACGATGACATGTGGCCAAAGCTACCAGCAATCGAGTGACAAATACGTTTGCCAAATTTGGCAACCTTGCGAAGGCCGAAAGCCATGCTGCCGGTATTGAGGTTTTACGTTTGCTTGTCGAATGTGCAATAAACGGTGCGTTATCTCAGTGGTTGTGTGTGATGGATTGAAGTGTGCGCGATATGAGGTGTGAGGAGGGTAGAGCGGGAGTGGGAACATATGTTAGGAGGGGCTGAACTAGTGCGTGAAGCATGAGAAGCGTCGATTACATGGTTCTGACGAGGGCTTCACCCAGCCTTTTTGCTCTTGCCCTAGTGCGTGAATGAAGACTGAACAGTGTTGCGCACAAAGAGTTCGTGGGGCTAATCCTGGCACGTGCGTGTTGTCGGGGCTGTACAGCCAGTTTGAGTAAACAATGTGGAGGGAAACTATAGTAATTGTTTGTTGAGTTATGATATGGTGTGTTTAGATACGTGCTGTCCGCCTTGATCCAGATACATTACTAGAATGTATTGGCGCTTGGCTTTATAAGAAAGCTGATATCACTACGATTTCATGGCTTCATTGGTTTATGTTCGATTTCACACAGTATGCGCCGTACAATGTTGAGTTCTATCACAAGCTTGAGACGTTTCACTCGTCATGAATACTCGCCTAGTCAGTGCAGGTGTGAAGGTACTACACCCGCCACCTATGCGACTACAAGGCATTCGCGACTATAGCCGCACAGCACTCAAGCGCTACAGGTCCGGCTATCCACTCTCGCCCATCTGTCTATATAATTTTCTCCCCGCTCAGATGTTTTACGACATCAACCCGCACTCCCCTGATCGCTCGACCACCAGCTCCAACTAGACCAGAATCCAACACCTTACAATCTCCAGCAAGACTATCGACACCAGCATTCAAGATGCCCCACGTGTCTAAGCACAACAATCTGACCAAGAAGGGAAAGAAGACGGCGACGGCGACGGCGCCAGAGCCAGAGCCACCAGCTCATTTGGCTTTTCAAGAAGCACACTACAACGACGAAGATGTGGTGCGGGACTTTAGTGACCTACTATCACGAACGTGTCGAGTTTGGAATGATGGTAGTTTCCATTCGGATATGATGAACGGCGGAACAGGTGCCATGTTCAACAATGGCCATCACATCCCCGACGGCGGAGCAAAGACGCGTAAGTCGTTCGCCAATGGTACATTTGCATTCTGCCTTGAGTGGGTAGATGTGGTCTTCGACGGGAAGACATATCGGGTTCGGTGTCAAAACCAATTCCTCGTGAAATCAGATCAATGCACTCAGCACTCAAAGATCGTCCACAAAGATCGTCCCAAACGCGTTCTGTGCATGCTTGGTCGTAGCGACACGTTAACCTGGGGAATATTAAAGGAGGACGCAGACGCAACTCCGTTGACAGGTGAACAAGCCAAGGCAAAAGCACAGAAGGAGTGCACCGATCTACAGGCAGAGGTTGATCGCCTCGATATGTTGGGAGAAGATGTTACCGAACTTCGGGAGGAGCTAGCCAAGAAGAAGAAAGCTTTGCACAAATGGAAAACTGCACCAGCTAACGAGGACGCAGCCCAAGCGGAGCGTGCGAATCCAGTTGTGGGGACTATTCTGAGTTCCCGTCGAGGTGCTAACAACTCAGCGCCTGGCAATCCAGTTCTGGATGCTAAGGCAAAGCGGAACCCAAATGACAAGAAGATGACTCGTAAGACAAATCAACAGCCTATATAGTTCTTGCCAGAGTAGGTGCTTTCCAAGATGGGGAATTGTCTAGACATCAAAGTCTTCTCCTAATGCCGCAGTGGTCTCGACTACAATCGCCTAGCTGCCCACGGAAATAGCAGGACTAGACAAAGCCTTCCCTACATGACTTCCATTCCAGTCTACGCATACATCGCGCATTCCCCACGGCCAGTCCACGTATACACCGCGCATTCCCCACGATTTCCCTATCTATATACCCACCTTTCCTTTGCTAGTATAGTGTTGGAGTTATCAAGGATCCGATATTTTGCTCACACATTTGTTGTGTGAAAGCAGACGGAGTTCAGCTCCTGCTCTGTTGATGTTGGAGAAATTGTTGTTGATACCCCATGTCGCCGCGTTCGTAGAACGGTCAGGCATCATAGACTTGCATTTATAGAAGTTAAATAACAATGATTTATTCCAAAGCCACCACTTATTATCTGAAACTTACAATGAACCTGTCGTGATGCGGACGAGATTCTGATAAGCTATAAGAGTATCATATGAACAGAAAACGACCACATGGCTTAAAACATATAAAGAGTAGTCCTTGAGAAGCGTTTATAATTGCACATACAATACATTGTCTCCCTAAACCACCACCGCCATACAGCACTCACACGCCATACCTAAACTCGCGCATCTTCTTCTGATAATACCAAGTCGCCAAAGCACCCGTCGCACCCAACGCAATCGGCACCGGCGCACGCCCACCCGTTTTAACAATGCGAGGAATCGCAGAACCCATTAGCAACACACTATTGCCCAGCGCGAGCTCAGTGCCATAATCCTGGTTTTGCTTGATGCGGTAGCCTACCAAGTCAGCAATCGTTGCCACAAAGAGATTTCATGTGGTGAAAGGCGGCTGCCGAGGTCACGAGCACCAAACCATCAACAAGACCTCCGTGTTCCCATGCGGTGGAATTTCGAAATGGGACGGTGTTCAACATACCAGCATACGCATACGATATACCCAGTCCAAGTCCTGCGACGAGGCTGGGTGTTGAGCGTGTTCGGAGATAACCGGCTGTTCCTCCGCAAGCCACTACACGGGCATCGTCAGACCTACCCACACGCAAATGTCCAGCGCATTGACTTACGTAGGCCCGCTAGTGTGAAGGAGGGGTGCTCGGCCATGATTCCTTTGATTTTTGGTTGATGGGAGAAAGCTTGGTGAGATGGGATTTGTGAGGTTCAGGTACCTAGGTGGGTTGAGGTTGTGGCGAGATCTCCGTGGACACAGATTTGCCAAGACATTATGAGATGGATGCATTATCGTGGGGGGCACCCACCTAGCTTACTGGTATGCGTGATCGATATATTTAATGTTAGATTTTGTTGCATCTTCAAGACATATGTTTGGGGGTTTTTATCGTTCCTGATGAAATGAATACATTATACACTAAACGGCACCAGCACTGGTTTCCATGGTACCGGCAACGAGTACGCGAAGCATCGACAATGTTTAGGATCAACGGTGTATTAGTTTTTTCAGAATTGAAGACTGGGTATCTTGCATCTAAAGTAACTAGGATGAATCTCATCATGAGACTGACAGATTAAGTATGCTGTGGATAATTTGATCGTGACACTCAACGCCGAAATTTGAAAAGAAAAAGTGACAAGTCTCTCTATAGCAGCCGTCGATGAAAGGTCCACGGGATTAATGTATATCGTCCCTGCCTTTGGAATCCTCAAGCGATAACCGAGTGGCTGATGGTACATCTGCTCGTAGATGGCGCAAACGCGGTATAATCAGGTGGCATCTCTTCCCTGATGCTGACGCTGGCATTCCTGCTCGCCTCAAAACTTGGCGGTGCAATACTCCTTGGCACAAATATTTCCGCTGCAGTCCTAAATGCAGTCTCCTCCACACTCCTCACCCTTGCGTTCTCAATCCCGGTATCGCTGCCTTCGGCGCAAATTTGGACGGGAACTTTGAGACGCAGACTGGAACAGCCATGTACATGGAATTGTAGCGCAAGGGTGTAAATTCGCGAAATGAGACAACTGTGAAAGGTAGGAATGAAATTTCTCGTCATAGAGAGGGTGATGGGCACAAGGATCTGGGCTGTGTAGAAGGTGCCCTTTTTGTAGTCCTTGGACGCGGGAAGGATACCAATGGCAAAAGCTTCTTCGGTTTCACTCGTCGTTGAGCAGTCGCTGATTCCAGAGTCACGACGTAGGAGAGATGCAGCAGGAGGGTTGAAGGTGGCATCATGCTTTTCCCACTGCGCTGATGCAATGCAGAGGTTGGACAAGGGCGCGTATTCGGAGTAGAGACCTTGGGATAAGTCGAAGCCGAGGCTCGATCGTACTGGGAAGTTTTGCCTGGGACTTGAGGCGTAATAAGTCGCAACCTTTATCTTCGTCGACAGTGAGCCTAGCTTCGGCGGGGCAGCAGTCTCCTCTATGGGATCAAATCGTAGTACCAGCTTGGCCATGGTGCCTATTGATCTGCCTTCAGCGGATCGAGCTCCTGAAATGACCAGAGGGGGCGGCTGGACGGTCTTGGCTGACAGGGTTCCAAGCTTTCCCTGGAATAGTCCCTTCTTGACCGTCTTCTCTTGTCGCGGTCGGTAGTCTTCGTTGTGGTCAATGGTCAGTGGAGGCTGCTCGGGAAATGAAGGCTTGACGCGGACTTTCTTTGTCTTATCCGCGAGTACAGTTAAGCCTTCTCCCCCGCGCATGTGCGCAATCTTGACTTGGATTGCATATGTAATCTTAGACATGTCTGGTGCCAGATCATCGAGCAGTGTGCTACCGAAACCGGCAAGGTCAGGATCGCCAATGCTGGGTGGTAGCAAGAGATGTTGTTCGCGGACTTGATCTGAGATGACGTTGTGTGAACAGGCTTTGGGCAGTAACTGCGATGGGATTGTGAAGGTGAAGGGGAATATGTACGCCTTCCCAGCTTCAAAGATTCTTGGGGTTGGAAAGTTTGATTCGTTTATTGGCTGTCTAAGAGTCAAGAAACGGTGCTTTGCCTCTGTTCGTCCTGTCATAGTCGGCGTGGTTGTCATCCTGTCTACGTACACTTGGCTTGTACCTGGGCTGTGTCAGCTACCAGTCGCACTCATTAAAGTTTCTCAATAGAAAGACCAAAATGCCAGGCTATACATAGCTGCGTTGCACGATGGAACCTTTCAGCGGTGACATTGTATACGCCGGTCCATGGTTGTCTTCTAGAAGCACGGAAATAGCACTAACTTACCAGTGAATGCAATGTCAATATCTTCGAAGCGTGTATCATGCGGCGCGGTAATGGTGACTGTACCGTTGAGGGTGTCCATTGAAGAGTAGCTTGTGACAAACTTCTGTTGGTGGCCATTGCTGTCGTCCAGATGGATGACGATTTTGGGCTGGCCATGATGCGAAATGTTGCGGACCTTGTAACCTATCTGGTTTCCAAGCGCCTGCATCCTGTCTGGCTGTACAGAGACGGAAGAAGCTGGAGAAGAAGGCATGTCGAAACGTTCTCACCAGCAAAGCAGAAGACAAGGCGGGGAAGATAAGATATGTTCAATGCGGAGAAGTGACCGGGGTAGCGATAGTACGAGTTAGAGCAAGGGATTGAGGTGGCAAGCGGAGATAAGGTTGAATCAAAAGCCAAAACAAGTTGGGCCTAAGGCGATCTTATACATGTCATCTGCATACACCCTGGCTTGAGTCATCCCCAGGCGGCAGAATACGTGATGTGAAGTTTGCTGGCTGCAGGATGATGCGCTGGGGGATGCGCTGATGGCTTGCTTTGCCGTCGGGCACGCGGGACCTTCAGTTGTCCATTCAAGAAGCCAGGCCCTTTATGCCGATAGCGCCATGCGTTAAGCCTAATCGAGCGACAGGTTGTGCTTTTCTCTGGAAGCCTACTACAACCAAAGAACAGCACCCACATGAATAGCGGTCTCGAAGGCGTCTTTTACATGTTTGCACCGTTCAATGGAGGGTCACGTTAGGCTGCAGCGTCAAACAACAGTGTAGCAGTCGTCTTGCAGCAAGTCGAGCCTCCAATTGCCCTGTGTGAAGGACAAAGACGGAATGTTTGGGGTGACTGCCAACGCTAAGAGCATACGATGAGTGGATATGCGGTACGATTGGCTCTTTTGCAAATTTTCAGCGTTATGCCGTTAAATAGTAGAGTCAATAAAAGTCGCGTTTCAATCTTTGACGCTGCCATCGGCGTCCTCCGATGTTGCATTTGCAATGGAATTTTCTTTCAACTTGGAGCAGGAGGAGTGCGCAAAGACCACCATGGTGACCTAACCAGGCGTCTAGGCCGCGTCAAGAACATGTCGAAGTTTATTCGTAGGGCGCGCATGAGAAGGGCGCTGGTGATTAATCAGCATGGCGGCCTAGCATGGCAGCTGAACTCCGACTAGTCCGGTATGCCGACATGAGTCAGCCATGCAATTCCGAAAGCAAGCAACTTTCCCATTGTGTCGGCAATAAGCAATACGCATGCACTGCTGGTCAGACAAGGTCTGATGATGCATATTGAATGCTGAAGGTACAGGCCTGGGATAAATACTCTCTGTCTAGGTGGTGAGTGCAAGGCCTTGTGTCGGAGGCTCCTGCGGGGGAACTGGCAGCCCCTCGGCGAACGTCATGGCATCCTCACCAGTCGCCCATGTTTCCTTCACACTCGACTCAGAAGACAGCAGAGATTACGTTCAACAGTTGTTACATGTACAATTCACTGCATAAGCCAGACACAACCTCAAACGTGTACAGTAGGGGTAGCATGACGATTGCACCCCGCCGCTTACTCATTCAGTTTGCCTTCTTCCTGCCACCTTGACACTCTCCAACGCGCCCAAACGCGCGCACACAACCGAACATGCCAGTTGATAGACACGGTGACTTGATCATCATGGCCACAGTGCAAGATAGTAATAGCGCAACAATGGTAGATGGCCAGCCTACGCCGCCTGCCTCGAATGCGCCGTCACAGCACCCATCGCCCTTGCCGCAGCCACGAAAACACCCACTCAAGCCTGGCGGATGGCGCGAGTCCGACTTGATCCAGTACCTAGACCACGGTGTCAATAGCATCCAGAAGCGTGTAGATAATCGTATGACCAACCGGAAGCTAAAGCCTGCGCCAGGTGAAGAGGAAGGCTACAAGGCCTTTTGGGAAGTTGCAAAGGATCTTGATGGGCTGGTAGATGTCGTATGGGTATCTGGGTCTCGTATGCTGCTATTCTTCGCTGGTGAAATGGGCGCTACTGACATGTCTGTAAGCAAACCTCCAGATTCCCTACCTGCTCAACTTGGCCGTCCTTGGCGCCGAATTCCTCCCTCTGTTCGCATCCTCGACGCCATCCACACAGGCCACCTTCCGCTTGCTTTCAAAGCTAGACTACGCCTTCTCATCCCTGCTCACCGGTCATGATGCCGCGACTGGCGACCAACTACCCGGTTTCGAGGGCGGTCGCACCGTCACTACGACAGACAAGGTCCGTCTGAAAGGCATTGTTGATCGTACACGCCTCACCGTCACGCGTGTGGTAAGCAAGGAGAGCGTTGTGGGCGACGAAGATTATGTTGGCGACTCAATGGATACAGATACGGAGAAGGAAACAGATGCGAGTGGGCGTCAGGCAACTGTCACGTTTGAAGGGTTTGAAAACAATGAAGAAGACGAGGAAGACGACGAATGGGAGGAGCGCGGTGTGGCAAGTATATATGAGAAGACCATCGGCCAGCTCGGCGACGTCTTGGGTGGTCCCCCGATTGGCATCATAACTGACGACTGGGCTGTCAATGGCGGCACTGAGCAGGAGAGAAGCGGCAGGGGGTTTGTAGAGTCTGACGGCGAAATGGAGCTTTGACATGTAAGCTTCAAGTTTGGTGTTGCACATGTTTGCCATTGCATGTCACATGCACATGTAGAATTGCATGCTGGTGGGTAGTTCCTAGTCTTTTCCATATCACATATCTCGGTGCCCTAATGTACGCATGTGTCTTTCTCATTCGCTTCTGCTAATCTGCCGAGCGCTGTACCAGAATTGGCCGTGGGCGGTGAACAGTAGGGAGTGCCTGCCCCCGCCATAACCACTCAAAGCACGGCCATCGCAACCAGAACCGAACAACTCTCCCCCCTTGCAAATTCGGAAGGCGCGACTCGTCACCTGGGCCCCATCTAGGTGCTCTCACCCTCGCCCGCAGTCATGCCTACCTACTTTGCGCGTGGCATAACGGCGCGTCTAGCCGCAATGCCATTAGAAGACACCACTACGAGCAACATCATATTAAGGAAAGGTGAAGCAGCTAGGCAGCAGGCCGAGGCGTCAAAAGCAAAGTTCCTACAAAGCAAACTGCTCGCCGAAAAGCCGGTGCCATTTCCAGGCGACGAGAACAAGTTGCAGCTCAATTGGCTGGGAGGTGCACCTTTCATGCAAGTTCGTGCCGGCAAAGACCTCTTTGCCAAAGGCAGTGACGCAACAACCGAAACCACACAGCGTACGTACTAGGAAGACCAATTGACAGCACAGCGGCTAATAGACACTTGTGCATGCAGCCATCGACCTCATGCCTTTAGCACTGATACTCCATCTGCATCTCTCTGACAAGTCGTTCGTATCTGGACTGCAGGACCAAAAGACGTCCCTCAAGATCGATGTCTTTTTCAACGGACAGCTCTCTGGATGCCGATTCATACCCGTCCACGATCTGAGATCTGGAGTTCAGGGTCTCCACCAAACGTTTTCCGGTACCAGGATCGACTTCCTTGCTGAGCGACCGTGGATTTTTGTTCCACCCGAGTCGACCGCAGTCGGGACTGTGAGGAAGAATGACGACAGTGACAACACTTCGACGGAAGAACGCTGGCGGCAACTATGTCAGGCATTACAGAACGAGGCATGCGAGCGAGGCACGAATGAGGCGGGAGAAATCCCCCCTACAGCACATTTCTTGAGCGCCCTCGCCACCATGCACCCGCCAGACCAAGTGTATGAAATGCAACAGCTAGGTAAAAAGAAGTTCGGTACCATCGACATCATCGTCACTGCTGGAGAGGGTAGGAAGATTACCGATGGCGTAGGCTACCTGAAGGCACCGCAGCGCATGGTGGACACAAACTATCCATTCGAACCAACAAGTGATAGTGGCGCGGAATCTCAACATAAGCCCGAGTCTGTGCCGAAAGTCGTCCATTTACATGTCGATGAGCATGTCGTTGAGTTGTCAGAAGAGCTCCGCTCAAAGGCGAAGGGCCCCATGCCTTCAGTGTCTCCGCACGCTCATGGTGACTTGCAGAGAATGTCTACCCGGGCGACTAACGGAGCACAAGAGCTATCTTCCCCTGGAATTGGAAAGGTTTACAAACAAGTTCCAGATGAACAAGATGCATACAGAGATCGAAGGCATAGAGTTCAATGGCCTGGTGTGAACCCGACTAGTTTGATTCAAGATCGTCCTTTCAATACTTTTGCACCACAGCTCCACCTATCGCCTCACAGTATGCAGCCATCAGATGCAGCCGTAGAAGGCGCAATGTCTAGCGGTATGAAAAGCCATATGACCCCACCATTCAATGTTGGACTATCTAGTCCCCTCGAGCACTTTCCACTAAGCTCCCATAATTTAGATCGACGTACTCACACCCCGTTGTCGACTGTAAGTACGGGAGCCAACCAGGTACTGTTCAGTTCCAGTCCGTACACAGTGCCATACTTCTTGCCAAAGCGACCAACTGCACATTCGCTCAACGCCGACTTCCCGGCTCTGAGCTACTCTGTACCCCCCATGATGCCCGGATATCGCGATCCAGATGGCATCGAAGTCAGTGCCACAAATCCGCGTTCCTGGAACCATTCGCAACCTTCCATGATGCAAGATCCCAGAGTCCCGCTTGCACCTCCCTCACTGTTCCATCGCCGACCTTCGGGGGCATTGCCACCTGTAGGCTTATATTCCGTACCCACAAAACCGAAACGCAGTCTGTCTCCTCAGAAGAAGAGTGATTCGAAACGGACAAAGAATGTGGGCTCACAAATTTCTATCAGTCGACTGGAAGTCAAGGGACGGAACGGGACAGTTTTGATCGATCGTCGTTGGACTCCGGCAAAGATTCTCAGTACAACGTCGAGTGGACCTCACAACCATGACGATAGAACTTCAACAACTGTAACCACTGGCAAGAACTCAGGGCTGACTGAGCACGATCCTAGGCCTATGGAATGCAGCAGGTCGACAGAGAAACCAGTATATTTAGATTGTCCGGCCCCAACGCTGGGTGGATGTAATGCTGTCCCCCCCTCAACCATTACTGAAGTCAAAGAGAAACATAGATCACTCAGAGCGGGGAATTCATCAAAGCCATTTGCGGTGACTTCAACGCCAACGGAAGCAGATACAGATTCGACAGAAAAAGCAGGCAGCTCTGAAGCAGACGTTGCAGAGTCTGGTAGCCTATTGACTACACACCCTACCGAGTGCGTTGAAGGAACTTCTGAAACTTGTCCTGCATCAGAAACCCGCATAATGGGTGTACAGGGACCCAAAGCAAATCCATTTTGGTTGGAAGACCCTGAGATAATGCTAAGAGAGGCCTCGGCTCAACGACGAGCTCGACAACAGACCAGGCAAAGCAACGTTCAACCTGCAGCACCGACACCCATGCCCATAGGTTCAGTCAAGCCTGACTCAGCGATGTCGGGATCTGTCAATACATCCCCCCTTTCTAGTCTGCACACCACGCCCGATATCGACATGCAAACCAAAGCACATACCGATCCGACCAAAAAAGCTCCTTCGCGTTCGACCAACCCTTTGCCCGAGAAGCAATGCGACCGACAACGAGAGCTCAGGCCCACACGCTCTCATACCATGCAAGACCCATCTACCGCAAAACTCAACACCACGTCCCAATCTCGCGTTGGAAACCCCGCCCAAACTCCAGCGAAGTCCGCATCGAACAGAAAACCCCAGCCCAACATCACTAAGCAACCTCGCAGCCCCAAGCGCCTCCAAACAAACGACAATCCAGCTGTCAACCAAGACTGCGTCATCGCATTTGCGGAGAGTAAGGTCAAGACTAGCACACAAGGAGTGTTGCGACAGATCAAAGGGGAGAGGTCGGGGGTCTTTACAGAAGAATACGTTGTCTCTGCGATGCGGTTCTTTGTAGAAGCTTGAGTAGGGGAAAAGAGTGGAGTAGGATGGCACGATGAGGTTTTGGGATAGTTCAATGATTGAGCTTTATGATGATGATTTCAGGCTTCCTGTGTGTCGCAGCAGCGGATAATGTATAATGTGTACTTCCTGTCGAGATGGACATTTTGTAAAGTATTAGAGCTGTGCAATTAAATCTTGTTCGTTACATGTATGCAACGGCCACTTTTGCAGGCCTGTGGATATTTTCCACATGCGATAACTGTCTAGGGTAGGAGTTGCACGTGCAACACTTGACATGCGGGGCTACGCCCTACTCACCACGACCTTACCATCCTCAGGTTGACAACTACAATGATTTTGAATCGGGCGTTGTTCTTCTGCGATCTTCGGAAGGGTGTATGGAATGGGTAGCATCTTCGCCAGAATGGACATGCTACTAATGTTGGATTGCATCCCAAATGCACGCGCATGCAAAGGGGCTGCGGGCGTAAGTGGAGCACGGCACGCGGCTCGCCATATGCAGTCTAATATCCACGTGCTGAACAGGTACCGGCGGATATATTGCAAAAGAAGCGGATAATCACGCCGCCGTGCCTAGCTTTGCTCAAAGTCTGGTGTGTCTATCATTCCGATTCTTATTTCCTCTCCACTAAAATGCAACATCTTCAACTCACATAGCGGCCTCTAAGCAACATGGCTGCCAAGCCTAGTTCTCAACTACTCCAATTGCCGTTGGTTATTCTTCGCATTGTCGTAGAAGATGTACGTCCCCGGGCAGTTGCTTCACGACATTATTTTGTTCTGATCAATCACTTTTGCTAGCTTTACGAAACTGATCAGAATGCCTACTCCAACTTTCGCCTCGTCTCAAGAACATGCCGTAATAGGTCCGAGTACTTGCTCTTCCGCAACATTACGATCGATGATCGCACCGCCGTTAGTCAAAGCCAGTCAACAAAAATACTAGAGAAGCTCAAGGATAGCAATGGGGTCACTGGAGAGTATATCAGACATCTAAAGATAGGCCCTTTTAAGGACGAGGACAGGTTTGAGATAGAAATCTCGCCAATGCTAGTGGGTATTCTAAAGAACGCCCACAGCCTGCAGGACCTCACCTGGAGCATGAATTGCGCGCCTCTACCAGTCATGCTCGATTCATTTCACGAATGGCACCCTTCGGCACATCTGCATATGATACTCCGAAATCGCAAATTCAACCCCCTCAGCCGCGATATACTTTCTTCTCCTCAACTGTACACCCTTGACACCGAAGTTTACCGAATTATGCCCGATGACACTGAACGGTCGTTGAGTGAGCTGTCTTTGATTAAGAATAGCATAGCTCCCAGTCTACAAGTCCTGCGTCTTTCATCTCGCGGTGTCCACGCATACCCACAACGTGCGCAATTTGAGGGCTGGGAAATTATCAAACACAGCACATTCAATTTCGACTTCCAGCCCGGCGACCGCTTTCCTGCACTCTTGGAGTTGGCCCTGGAGGATGATGAGTTCATCTTATCAGAGGAAAACTGCGATCTATGGGCGCGCGCAACATCCTGGGAACGACTAGAGCGCCTGGATCTCTACAGGGGCGCGCCGCGCCATTTTTTCGCTTCCCTCACTAACCGCTCTACCAACCTCAAGTATCTCAGATTCTACATCAACTCGCCGACCTCCAATCGAACATGGGATCTTCATCCTTTGGAAACTGGACTTCTCGTTCTAGCAAAATTCTTTGCTTCTACTGCATCCCTCCACACTCTCGACTTCGGTGTGCAAGATCTTGACGTTCTGGCGCGCACTTTACGCGTCATACTACAGAATCTTCATGGCAGTTTGCGAAACTTGACGATAACGAGCAGTGGAGGTGGCAACTATTCAGGTCCCATCGATTTCATACCAGGAATGTTGGCCTGGGATCTGGAGCACTACATGGAAGTGCTTGAGCTAGCACCTGGGTTGGAGCATCTGGACGCGCGAATTGGCGAGGATGCAGTTGTGGGAGATTGGAAGGGTAGGGAATGCTATGCGGATTCTGGGAAGAAATGGAAGACTGCGGAAAAGAAGATCAAGAGTAAACCGAAGGAGAAGAAACAGCGGTCCAAGAAAGCGCAGAAGTTGGTGTGGTAGGGAAGTGCAATGAAGCTATTCAATACAGATTCAAGGAATGCGCAAAGTCGCAAACGTTTAACTGAAATGTGCAGGCCACACCGACACCGCTATCTTTTTATCCCCATATAATACGTGTTTGCGCCATTCCTGTTCTCTGAGGCCTTCATGGAGGCGCCCCATGTCCCCCAGGAACGTTCCTCCAGAACCCGAAGCGGCAGCCTATCCTGTCGTTGTTGGGGCAGGACCCCACCATGTACCCAACGGATTTGTCCACGCTGCTGCAGAGCTCACCGGCCTCGTTGTATAAGTAGGCACATAATTGGGAATACTGACACAGTAGTCATTGTGCAACTGTATACCAGAGCCTGACCCTCTGTTAGTAAATGATCATCTGCCGGTTCATGATGCTGGTCTCACAATCTTGCTGTACCATGGGATTCCAGGCGACGAAACGAGCATGGAGTAGACCGTATTTGTCTTCGAAAATCTGGCATGGATTTTCCAGATCTAGGGTCCTTCAGTGGGCTGAATGCCTCGGTGAACAGATAGTTCGTGGGGAGCTTACAGTTTGTGGTATTGGCCATGTCCCACTTGTTGCAGTTCTTGACGATACCTGGTTGGCGAAAGTGCATCGCTTTCGCAAAGTAGCTGTGGCCTTGGGTGAGGTCTGTCAGCTTTGTCCCGCATCAACGGCGACATATCGGATAACTTACCAAGCTTCCATCTGTCGCACTTGGCCCCAAGGCCAGGATTGAACGCCTCGAACGTCTCGTAATCCAAATCCCAAGCCTGCAAAAACTCATCGCATGTTTGTCCAAAGCTCGGCTGGTCTTCGTAGGTGCAGTATTGTGTGACGTTGGCGACGTGGAGGATGGAGGTTTGGACACAGTATGTGAGGTCGTTGTTCAGGACGCATGAAGAGCTCAATGAACTAAACTAGTGATTAGTGTTGACAACCACACCACTTCTAAATGCTGTTTATGACTTACGGGTTCCAATTGACGAGTTGGTCGACTGTGATACCGTAACCCTGGGCAACGGCTGCGCATCCTGTGCTTGTGCCGACGTCGGTAACGTTGATGTACTTGTCGCAATCGAGCCGTGTGCCTTCGGCTAACTTGTATGTCCAGATATCGCTGCCGTTGATCATGCCGCTAAAGGTCGGTTGCGGTATGAGAGAAGCATCGACTCCATAGAAGGGCGGGAGGCTTTTTCAAGTGTTAGTTTGGTGATCCACGGGACGCTAGCCACAATAGAGAATGATAAAATAGCCAACTTACGTGACCGATGGAGTTGGTGTTGCTGCTGAAGGACTAGGGTTCTTCCAATCTCCCCCTGGCGTGGAAATGCACACTAAACCCCCAACAAACTCTCCAATCCTCTTGCAATCGGAGCCGAAGTCACGGTTCCAAGTAGCGACCTGAGTCCATGTCGATTTATTCGCGTCTGCGACCTTTGCACAGGTGTCGCCCTGTTGTACGAGTCGGGTTTTACACTTGGCATTGGTAGAAATACACAAAGTGCCAGACTTGGGGAATTTGACACATGCTGCTGCAAGTTTGTTGGCATCAAGAAGCCGGTCAAGTGTCAAGGTTGGGGAGAATCATGTCGTATTAGAGCTATCGGAAAGAGGTCTATATACGCAGTGGGAAGAGGGAGTGAAGGAGCTAGGCCGTAAAGGTACTAGCGGGTAAATGGGTGGCTGCCTGGTCGCCTAAGGAGGAGCCAAGGGATAAGCCTATGGCCGACACGATATAACGCTAAATTTAAGTAGGAAGAGAGGTCACGTGCCCTAACCTCTGTCGGTAATTGCTTGAACCCTAATTCACTAGTGCATTTTCTTACTTTACGCAAGATTTTCGTCGTATATAATGTACTAGAATCTCAGCGACAGTATACGTGGGACCTTCATTCGATAATATAGTAGTTGAGGCCGTGCTGTGGAGTCTTTTTTTTTAAAAAAAAACTCAAGATAAAAGGTGCTTTCTCGGAGATATTTAGGCAAAGCTCTCTGTATTTAAGAGTGCGATTCAGCTGAACACCTAACCCTTACTCCTAAATACAATCCTAGTACTAAACCTTTCACTAACATTGTCCAACACCTGACACTGCAATTGAAATACTACGATGACCCACCAGGGTACAGAGCTTTGGGGCACTCAGGCTTAGGAGTAGGGCCGATGTGCCTGCAATACCCCTTTGCTACAGGACCTAAATAGTAACAATGATCCCACACTCCTAAGAGGATAGTTAGTTTAGATTTCATCAAAAATTGATATATGATTTGGCTCACCCTCAGCACCACATTTGTCATTATTGCAACCCCGTTCAGTAGCAGGGAGATGAATTTCGACGTTCCCGGCGATGCCGGTTCCACAGAGCTTGTTGCCACTGTTAGACAGATCAGTCCATCGGGCCCTTCCCTTGACCTGACCGATATAAGGCCTGAATGTGGCGATACATGGATGTGAGGCGTCGCAAGTAGCACTGTAACCGGTTGCAACGGCATTACCCCATGTGTATGAGAAACCAACGCTGATATCGATACCCTTCCAAACGGATGCAACCTGAACTTTGTTAGCCTTGATCGTGTGCTGATAGATCGTAATATTGTAGACTTACTGGGCCAGCACCGGTAGTAATTGTAGTGGATACTGAGTAAGAGTACGTCGCAGTGAACGTGTTTGAAATCGAACCAGGTCCGCAAAGAGGAGACGACATGACCTTTGTTTCTCCCAAAAACTTTGACCAACTGACATCGATCAATTGCCAAGTTCTGTGTGTGCCACACTCACAAGGGTTGTCGGAATTGCATTGCCTCTTGTCTAAAGAAGATCTTTTATAGTCAGCAGACGAAGGTGAAATTAAGAATAGAATTAAGGTCATACTCTAGCTTTTTTCCATTTAGTTTCCCGAACAGTTCCTCAGAAATATCGTAACCGCCAGTGGGGATTTTATAGACTATACTTCCATTGTGGCGAGTAAGGCTGCAGTTAGCAAGCTGAGGAATTAGGATTTCGTCGCCTCGGCCGGTATCGATAGGTTTCCCAGAATGGATTTTGGAAATATCCCACTGGAGTTCTTTCCAGTCAATGTTGGCGCTCTGGTCGGCGGGTATGGCAAAGGCATGGGCTCCTCCCCCAAGGGATAAAGCAACAAAGATAAGATTAGAAATAAGCATCTTGAAGTGAGCAATGTAGTAGTGAATGCTTGAGATGTTTAGAAGAGTTCTGGTGGATTTAGGAGCTCTTTAGATAAAACGAAAGCTCGCCAGCCCTTCTAAAGATGTCTTCATCTATCGGCACACTAGCTAATTATCTTCGAATTTGTTCTCCACATCAGACACCAGTTCCCGACCCCACCCAACCCCATCACCCCACAGACACCCGGCCGCGCCGCCCCAACCGTATAGAGTCTTGTAGTCGTGGACACTCGCGCGACATGCCTCATTACCCTCGATTTCGCCGAAATTGTCCCTCAAGGCTAGCATCCTGTATGTATATCTTTAATAAGGAGGTAATCAGAAATCCTGTCGGTTCTTCATCGGAAGACCTTATTGTGACAAGTTCCGAGCGTCTGGAGCGGTTATCACGACTATTAATAACACACATACACGGACATTGCACGAATCACTATGTTCATGAATGCGCTAGTCGTATTCTACGTATTTCGGAAGTCTTGTGACAGTACTTATTATTCCAGTACCGGCCCTACTCAGCGCAAATAGGTAATAGTCAGGATCCTACGTTGGTATGTTTCGCACAAATCACTATGTTCTTATGGGTGTTTCTCGAAATACCTTGAGCCACCTGGATCTGGTTGGCTTGGTGGCCAAGAACATCAACTCCTATAGTAATTTGTTAGTAAATCGATGCAGCCACGCTTTCTAACACCCACAACGTATTTGAAGTTCATTGTTTGCTGCGATCGCCTCTACTGACTCGCGTTTTTGGTGTTGCAATTTTCTCGAGCCCATCTCATCGCGATGCCAGGCACCGGCCACCGCTTGCAGCCCGCTGTTCTCCAGGCTATCCTCGACCGAATTGCTGCCTGCGAAAGTGATCGAGCCATCTCTAGAGCTACAGGTGCGAGCCGTAACACAGTAGCAAAGCTGAGGTTGAGCTTAGAGTTTTGGGGCGTGCCTTATCCGCCGCGCTGCGTTCGACTTGGGCGGCCATCTATACTCCGGCAAGCTCAGCGCGAAGGCCTTCAGGCATACCTCAATGGCTCACCGGGCGCATACATGGATGAGATGAGGGACTTCTTGTACGACGAGTACGACGTTAGGATAAGCCTTGCGAGCGTTTACCGAGAGCTAGAGAAGATGAGATGGTCTCGCAAGCTTGCAACAAAGCGGGCAAAGGAGCAGAGTGAGCCACTCCGCCGCCTCTATCTTGCCAGGATGGCGCAACACTATAAGGCGGAGCAGATCGTTGCGTTGGACGAGAGCGCCTGCAATGAGCGTACGGGCGACCGCAAGTATGGCTGGTCTCCAATCGGGGAGCCGGTGGAGCTATCACACAGCTTCAGGCGATCAGAACGGTGGTCGCTGCTGCCAGCCATGACGATAGATGGCTACATAAGCTATAAGATCTTTCAAGGCGCGATTACATCTGAGATCCTAGAAGACTTCTTAGAGTTTCAAGTGCTGCCGTTCTGCAATCCTCACCCAGGGCCAGCCTCAGTAATCGTGCTTGATAACGCCTCCATCCATCGATCAGAGCGTGTACGGGTGCTTTGCCAAAGTGCTGGAGTACTCCTTGAGTATCTGCCGCCATACTCACCAGATTTCAACCCCATCGAGAAGAGCTTTAAGCAGCTCAAGGGGTGGATGAAAAGGAATTCAGCGCAAGCGGAGAACTTCATTGACTTTGGGGTCTTTCTTGAGTATGCAGCGCAGCTGGTGTGCTGTAATATTAACTGCAGAAGCTGGTTCCATAGGTGTGGCTATCCCTATTAATTGTGCTTTTAAATGGATGCCACAGTACGTTTCTATAGGTAGATGATACCATACAAATGCGAACGATTACACCTTAATGCGCAACCCACAAAAGCGATTTAATAATTCTAAAAAAATAAGAGCTATTTCTATACATATAGAACTATCTTAGGAAGTTAACCTGTTATAATCGCATAACGTTGTAGTGTTGTACATAGGGCTATCCAAATAGACTATTGTTGCAGCGCATTTGAAACGCCTGAAAAACCTCAACACTATAGCGGGCACGGGCCGCTGTCACCAAAAACGCTCAGGCCACTAAGCTTCAAGCATTCTCGCCATCATCCTCCACAACACTGCTAGACGGTTCAACCACCAATTTCTTGCGCGCAATCTCTTCTCTTTTCTTACAACGTTCGACTCGTCTCCAGTTACGATCTGTGAGACCCTGGTACCCAGCTTGCCATTCTTTTGCAGTGTTTTGTAGCGTGAAAAACCAGCCAGGAGGCTGCTTGAAATGCTGCGTCCACAACTTCAAGATATCACCAGATGGCTGCATCAAGAGGTTGATATCCATAGCTCCGTCTGTTGGAAGGCCTTGTACGATCGTACGGTGAATAACAGTAGCTAAGGTAATCTTGTGTATTGGTATTCTGGTGTATGATGATTCTACGAATGTGGGGGCTACGAAGGTATACATAGCGTTGGGTCCGAGTTGGGCCGAAGTAGGATCGAGGCGGTACATTGGGCCTTATTAGGCGACACACCGTGTGTATGCCGACACCGTCAATAACAAGAGTCTTATAAAGCTCGTTAATGTCCTCTCCAACTGTAGGAAATTTTAACTTAAGGTAGTTAAAGAAATTACTAGTATGCTCGTTAATCTCCTGCTCATGATCATATCGGATAGGCGCCCACTGAGATGCACTAGATACCTCAGCTCTTGTTATCGTTGGTGCAGCTGCCTGCAAGTTAGACTCCTGTTGAGGTTGCCTGTTCATCCGCTCAAGCTGTCCAACGATGAGCAGTTTTGTTAAGCTTTTGATATCATCGTCGCCATCTCCAGCCGCCCGCAACTTGCGCGTTTTCTCATGCACCCGCAGGTCCTTTGCTCTCAAAATTGCAAGCCGTACATCATCAGATGGCTCATCGTACGTTGCCCTTCTCGCTGTAATTGCTCTTGCCCACATGGAGATAATGTTGCCGTTGACAAAGAGGTGATCTTCGAAGCGCGCTGGCTGCCTCGCTGTTGGCGCCATCCAGCAGCAATAAGGATAGTTCTCGCAATGGGTATCTGTACAGCGCCATCTATCCCGGATAGCAATAGCATGCCCGCTACCTGCTTGTTCAGCTGCTATTACACCAGCAAGCCCCTCCTCTTGAATCACCGTTGCGGTGCGTCGACGAGGACCGTCGACAACCGTTGGCAACGGCTGCTGCTCCCCTGGAATTTCAGCCAAGATGAGCTCGAAATCGACGTTTACTGGCTCGCTGACATAGTTATCAACCTCTACAACAAGGCGCTGAAAGCTATTCCACGTTGCATCAACACCTCGCCGCAATCGCTTTATCGCGCGCTCGCGTTTGGCCTGCTTAGCTGGGTAAACAACAGTGCAAACAGATGAGATCTTCGCTCTTTTTGGCCGTAATTCTGCAACAACGTCATCTACCCACTGCCATAGGTCGTCGAAATGCAGCGAGTACAGCCGTACGCCGTGCTCGCTATCGGCAGCTTCAGGAATAAAGTGTTTCTCCATATCACCACCAAGGCAAGCCCTCCACCTAACGCGCAGTACAGGATTAACCTCATCCTCTAGCGCTTGCGATGAGCGAGGCAGCCATGGAGTGCCTTCTTGACGTCGGTACGCTGGCTCTCCCTCATCCTCAACACTACCGGCAGCGCCCTTAGCAGCGATCTCATCCTCATCCTCAGGCAGCGGATCGCCATCTCCATCCTCGAAAGTATCCTCATCCTCGCCAACGATATCTTCAGCTTGCGCGGAGGCAGCTGTTTGGGTGGCTTGCAGCTCAGGCTCGGACAACGGGCTTTGACGGCGCGGCGGGGCAGTCGCTGGAGGCGACGGCAGCGCCTCACGGCGGACACGTTTAGGCGTTAAATGGGTAGGATTTTGTCTAGTTGCTGGCGCTCTACGCTTCTGGGAGGACGGGTTAACGCCTTGATCGAATGGCTGCTTCGGCTTACGCTGGCGCTTGGGCGGCATCCCAACAGCAGCTAGATTGAGCTCGCAACAAGCTCCACACAAACAAAACGCTATACACGAACGATTTAGAGTACAGGACTAGCTTCATGGGCTTCTGGAGGTGGGAAACGGCTGCTGCATTAATTTACTAACAAATTACTATGGGAGTTGATGTTCTTGGGCACCAAGCTAACCAGATCCAGGCGGCTCAAGGTATTTCGAAAACCACAATAAGCGCGCTAATCGTAGTCTACGTATTTCGGAAGCCTCGTGACAGTACTCATTTTTCTAGTAACGGCCCTTCTGATATCGAGTGACATCCTGCTTATCAGAGCTCTTGTTTCCGTGATTGTGCCTGATTCGCGCATCGCCTATGCGCGCGCTCGAGCCACGTTTGATCGCATAGGTTTCCCTGTGAGTTTGTCAAGATGCAGGGGCATCTTAGATGTTTCAGCGAAGACTACCACGCATATGTCACTAGCTCTACTCGTAGTGTTGGCAGTTTTAATCATCTACAAGTTTTGTGATAGTTACCTAGGTATTTGGCAACATTGCCGGAAAAGCTCAATAGTGATTGATGGTACTCGAGGTACGTGCACGAAGTTGGTGTGTGCTTGGTTCGAGGCAGCTAACCCAGGAACCTCAACGAACACCACATCTGCGCTTACGACATATTCCACTTTACTAGCGACTATCTTATAAGGCGTTCCCTAAAGCACGCGCGCGTATTTCCTCTTAATCTGAGATACCATCATGTATTTTCCTAATAATGCAATTTGCTTAACTGGTTACAGTAGGTATAGGTACTGTGAGGGAGCGAGCAAGTGACATTGATACTTTATGTATAGTTTTACATCATGGATATTGTGTAAATAGCTTAAGTCAGAGATTTTCTTAGAAATATCTTCCTCTCTTTGTAAGCAATTACTTTACCTAAGTCGCACTCGATCTCGTTCGTGCTCTTGTACCAGCACAGGTGCTATGCGCTCACCTGACGAAGGCGCCAAAGAACGGCATAGTTCAAACAGAAGGTTATTCGCGAGCGCTTGCATCATGCCAAAGATCCTATAGGTAAGGAATCAAATTCGGCAACATATACACCAAAGGCAGTTTATGATAAAACTGTTAAAAGCCATTAGGAACAGGTTTCATTGTTATGTAGAAAATTAAACGACTCTCCCATTAACTGATGGTAAATACAAATATCCCCGGCTAATAATGCTTCTGAGCTCCTTCTCCATTCCGTCAACTTATGCAGCGAGGTCCACACATTCTACCAAACCTCCAGGTATCTAGCAGTCGACCGTCTTTTCCGAGAATCTGCCCGCAGGGATACTTGAGTCGATTCGCCAGGTATTGTCCTCAAAGGGTGGGATATAACTCGATATCCATTCCGAGTAACGCCAGAATTGAACGAGGCAGTAGCAGCGCTGGCCCCTCTGGCTACACGGATCGCAGAATGTAGAAGCAGTAATATCGGTACCAAGACGGCCCTGATTGTCGGCGTTGTAGATTAAATATTTGCCCGGCATCTGATTGCAAAGGTTGCGATGGGCGCCGGCGTCGAGTTCGCAGGCATAGGATTTGGTTCTGTAAAAAATCTGCCATTGTGTGCATGCGGAGGCAAGACCAAGGATGTTGGTAACGAGAAGAACGGGCAAAAGAAGTTGCATGATGATAGTGCAGCCTGTAAATTTTGTTTGTTGTGTGGGTATTAAGATAGAGGAGGCTTTGATCTGATATATATATATATATATATATATATGTGATTTGAACGAGTTAGTCATAGTTAACTGTGGGATGTGTATAGCTTATCTTTACGCTATCTCAAGGCGACTTTTCGGCCTAATTTAGGGGTGATCAGTGTTGGTTTACGAAGGAGCTCCCGAGGTCGTTCCTCCTGCTAGGCAGGGTCTAGGCGAATGCGGGGGACACCCTAGCGCTTAAAAATACGAGCTCCTTCAGCGCCCACTAGTAGTGGCGCGAAAATGGTCTTGACTCACGCCCAAGGTCACATGCTAGCAGGATGTCACATAACATAAACCATTGGATGTGTATAGCTTTATCTCTACACTCTCGCAAGGCGCGTTCTCGGTCTAATGCAGACGTTGCAGAGTTAATTCAGTTTTGATGTGGTGTAGTTGGGAGAAGCATAATACGGACCGAACCCCACAGACGATATCGCACTGGCAGGGTACCACATACACGTGTCGTTGTATGTGCAGTCGCACTAGCATGGCGACATATACGAAGGAGCTCGTATTTTTACAGTTTTAGAATGCGATCCAAATTCGTCTAGATCCGGACGTTTAGAAAGTACGAGAGCCTTTGGAAACGGTCCATGTATTAGCCTAGTGAACTTTACACGGCTTTTAGATTTAGACTATATGCGTAGACGCAGCCAAAAACCCCGAATATTCCGGTGGATTTTTAATTTGATAACATTGCGTGGCTGTGGTGCTTAGTAAAAAAGGTTGTAGTTGCACCATTACAAGCAGTAAATACTAACAGCTTAGCATTTGAGAAAGCCCGAAGAGAAATGTCACTCAAACGTTAACGAAAACGCTTCTATCAATACATTACTTGATGAGGTTACAGTCAATCCATGTTTAGATACATCTATTCCTAAAAAAGTCGCAGATGACGATGCAACTGCACGTCTGGAATAGTTATAGTGTGATCTTGAATTTGAAGAGCTAAGCATTTTGATTATGCTGGAAAGGAACAACTAATGAGCCTACTGCTCCGCTATAACATTGATCTCCGGTCATTACTGCTGCCATCCATTCGCTCCACCCAACGGAGTCCTCACATATCCTCCGACAATAGAACCTGATTGCCGGTATTTCGGTAAACGTTTAGTCGCAGTCGATGTTTTTGTGTCCCTTCAGAAAATTAGAAAAGCATCAGGAGGAGTTTAAATCAGAACTCACAGTATCAACCCAGCCATTGGGTACCTGGTCTGGATCGACAACTCCCCAGCCACGGGGCATCGTTGGCCAATACTGTGTGCCAGGGTCGTACATCCATTCTCTAAAACGCCAGGCGCGGACAGTGCAGGTGCAGGTCACCTGACCATTAGGATTACACGTTCCGCAGGCAACGGGGGTGTCGTGAGTAAAGTCGCCGCCCCAGAGTCTCGAATGGGAGTTGCTATAGTCCCGCATTCTTTGCATGATGGTGAAGCACTCGCTATTCAATGTATCCACGTTCCCCCCACATTTCCAGGTTTTGTTCCACTCTATGTATTTCTGCCTGCAGGCCTCCGTTGAGGGGCCGAAGGCGGCGAGAAGAAGAGTAGAAACAAGAATGAGAGGCTTCATGATGATGAACGCCGAACGATAGGAGGAGTGTAGAAGGTGTTTAGAAGGGTAAGTTTGAGTTCGAATGTGGCAGCTTATGTAGCATTATAAGGTCGTGTCAAAGTAGAATTTTAAACACTTATTAGTTCATAAAAGGGAAATAGAGCGACAGTCATAGATCTTAAAAAGGAAACTAGCACGATAATCATAGGTCTTTAAAAGGAAACTAGCGCGATAGACACAGATCTACAAAAGGGAACTAGAGCGATGATAATAGGGCTTTAACAGGAAACTAGCGCGATAGGCAAAGATCTTCAACAGGGAACTAGAGCGATAATCATAGATCTTTAAAAGGAAACTAGAGCGATAAACATAGATTCTTGAAAAGGAAATAGAGCGACAATCATAAATATCTCTGAGAAACACTAGTAGAGAGAGGTCTATATAAAGGAAGCAACTGCTACAATTTGTCCCCGCTATCATCACACACATCTTGTTCTCTTGATATAATAAGATTCCTGCTATCATGCGTCAATCCATTCTTACTTTGTGGTTTACCACATTCTTCACTTTGTTCGTACCCGTTCTCAGCTGCTACCAGAGATTATATGTCTTCTACAAGGAATACCAGAACTGCCATGAAGCTCAGGCATGGGGTCTTGATCAGAAACTCAAACTGGAGTGCGCAGCGTTAGGCCAAAAGTTCAAGGACCTGAACGCGAAACCTGAAATGCAGCAAATTTTCGGCCGCGACATCACAGCCGACATGGCTGAAACTATTACTCTGCCTGACGATAACCCCAACTGCATCGCTCAGCAGTGCGTCGTTACTGCCTGGAGATACCGCGAATGGCAGACCAACATGGAGAACAAGGCACTTCCTAGCGTTAATGGTTGGCGGTTCAACCACGCTTTTTATGCACAGAAAGTCGATTGCTAGGGTTCGAGCTCAAATCTCCTCCTTTATTAGCATCGGGCAACTAACATGAGACGCAGAAGATCACCACAATCAAAGTCAATAGGCTAGGGGTTCTCTTCGATCGCAAATTCGCTACGTTGATGTAATCTTTTAGGGACTTTTGGATACGGTAGTCTTGGGGGGTCGCCTCGGATTAGATGTACCATAGTACCAGTGTCGGTATCAAAGTCAACACATGCTTTTGCTAGAATGTTATTCGTCTACGTCAAGACTTGCAATATGGACCGTAGCGCTTTGGTACTATGTGTCAAGCGTCAAGGTTGGGGAGAATCATGTTGTATTAGAGCTATCAGAAAGAGGTCTATATATATAGTGGGAGGCGAGAATGGAGGAGCTAGGCCGTAAAGGTACTAGCGGGCGAATGGGTGGCTGCCTGGTTACCTAGGGAGCAGCCAAGGGATAAGCCCTATGGCCGACAAAGTGTAATACCTTATACCGTAATATTATCAATTATCTCGCAAAACTTTCTAATATAGCTATAGACTCTAGGTTAGGTCTTAGCGCGGAGGTTAATAAAGGTAGTCTACGCGAGTGTAAGGGGCTACGCTCAGGGAGCAATCGCACAGGTATACTGGAGTTGTATTCGATGGGGAAGAGAACTCCAAGCTATCTCGTGCTAAAGGTTATTCGGAGAGCGGCTCGGAATAACCTTCTGCCTATGGACTGTGCAGATGGTCTGAGCGTCGTTCGGACCGAGATATCATCGAGGATTCACCAACTGGGCTCCAGCCCATCACACAACTAACTAAAGAACAGCTAGAAGAACTAGGGTAAGAAACGCTTAAAGAATAAGCTAAACTAAGAGACCTAGCTATATAAGGAGAAGACTAAGCCTAAAAAAATAAGCTTAAGAGAGTGTAGCAAGAAGCACTAAGAGATAATTAATAGTACTAAGTGTCAGATAATATGGGTTCTGATGAGAGTGATGATGATTTGGGTTCAACGTGTGTATTGTCGTGTGTCTTGCAGTCTTGCGAGGGATGAGGTGGAAGGTCCGCCCTGTCCTAGTCCTTCCTGGGACTAGGGGTTCTATGGAACGTGCTATCTTCAACTCCGCTCCATTCTACCAAATACTAACTCATATCTGACACTAAGAAGTAACGTAAGCTATACTATGTGATGGGCTATAGCTGTTACGGATCCATAGACTCGCTCGGCCCATGGCCCCCATATCGATAAGATCCTTATCTTATCGGACTAGCGCCTTGGCGCCCACAGCATAAGTTCGGGCTCACAACCTAGATAGCTCGATAGCTTGTATCTTGTCAAATCCAATCTTTCTTGATCGATCCCTCACAAGAGCCCAGTTAGTGAATCCTCGATGATATCTCGGTCCGAACGACGCTCAGACCATCTGCACAGTCCATAGGCAGAAGGTTATTCCGAGCCGCTCTCCGAATAACCTTTAGCACGAGATAGCTTGGAGTTCTCTTCCCCATCGAATACAACTCCAGTATACCTGTGCGATTGCTCCCTGAGCGTAGCCCCTTACAAGTTGTTCTTTAAGCGTCTCTTTGTAAGGAGTATTCGAACAGGCATGTGATGGGCTAGACCCATGTAGGCCTACTTGTAGGCTAAGAGAGCAGCGCAGTCATGCCTCCTACATAAATATCGACTACGCAAGCTGAATCGCGTTGATTCAACTTGTGCATGCCTTTTGCGCAGGCGTGGTGCATGTAGTCGTGCCGCTAGTCTTATAGACTCTCGCCCCTTACAAGGCACTGAGATGTAGGTATAGGCTTGTATTAAGACGAATCCTCGAGGAGCAATCAAGGATCCAGTGAGATGCTATATACGACTATGGCACGTGACTGTGGCTGGCTCGGGCCGATGGGTCTCCGAAGGGTTCCCTGAGGCCTACCGAAGTATGACCCAGCTGGAGTATCGTGACAATTAACCTGGTGTCGCTTAATATATCAATTAACCTAGCCTTTTCTAAGCTCCTTTTTCGCGATATTTAAGGCAAAGCGTCGTATTATAGGCCGTGTAGAAGGTAGGCCTTGCCTTGTAAGGCGCTTAATATAGCGTAGGAGCTCTAGCTCCTACTAGGGGTGGAGCGCTTTGTGAAGGTCGTCCGAAGATGATCTTGGGTTGGTTCTCGGGGATAGAGTGATGCGATGGACACGAGGGTGTATAGCACGATTGGTAGATCGATGTAATATACGGGGAGTTGAGAATCAAGTACTAATCCTTAGATTTCGAAGTTGAACACAATGAGCTATAGAAGCTCATTGCCTAATGCTATATACCTATGGTGCTCGCTGTCCTCGCTCAGAGGAGTCCGAGGATTCCTCGGTGGCTGACGCGCGAGGAGTACTCCTCGGTGGCGTATGTACGAGGAGTGTGCCAAGACCTTTCCTCGTGCATGCCAAGCCGAGGAGGTCACGTGATTAAGTTCCCGTGTCACATATGGAGGGGTCAGCTATCCCGCCGACGCTCCTTAACTTAACCGCCGTGCCCCTTCCCACAGGTTCGTAACACGCTTACTAGTTTTGAGCTGTCACGAGAGGCAACGAGCAGGGACACCAAAGCTGACTTCAGAAGCTTGATTGGATATGCTACGGACAATACTCAGGTGAGGCCAAGAGGATAGCTAAGGAGCAAGTTATGCGTAGAGCGAGCTGAAGATACATACAAGCGGTGAGAGGAGGCACGTGCGCATAAGCGAGTGTGGCAGGGGAGACGAGAGGATACCGTGACATGAGCTTTAGTGCTGCATGAGGTTAAGACGCTTCGGTGTCTTCGGCTAAGCGCTGCGTAGCTGCAACTATAGATAGCTGCTATATTCCTGTATGAAAAAGGTTCTCCTGGCTTGCGCGACTCAATCGCTTCAATCGCATCCTCAATTGCTCCCATATTAGTAGAGTTATGTCGTTTTGAAATTGTGTAGTTGTCAGGGTTCGGTGTTCGGGTGAATGGTCACGCCGGGTGGATGGTTAAGCCGGGCGCCTCGGTAGGGCCGCAGAGCTCGCCGCTAAACGTAAAGCTAAAAAGCAACAACGCGACGCTGCAACCGCACAAAAAGCCCGCGATAGAGAGAATAATAGTAAACGAAAAGCCTTATCTGGCACTAATAAATAAAATACGGAGCGTCGTTATGTTGTTAGTGTTACAACTTAAGTTGAAGCTGCACCGGCGCCGCCATCTCCTCCGCCTAAAACAACAATGCGCGGTCGTCAAATCCGTAAACCAGCCAAATATAATTAGTACAAGTTGATCGCAAGTATCTAATTACTTTAACTCCGAAAAATCTCGCGATAATAGCATTTGTGGGTGGTTTAAAAGCTTCATTTTTCTAACAAGCCCATTTTGGGTTGGGTGGCTCACCCGGTGTCCTGGCTCACCCGGTGTCCGTGCACGGTACTACACACTTTCGAGGGTAGCCGTGCAATGCCATCGCAATCTCAAATTGACACGAATCCCTTGTTCTGCTACACCAGCGGGCGATGGCTATAAAATGAGCGTAGGCAACTAGAAGCCCGATATCGACGTTTTAACGTGCCTAGTCTTGAGCAAGCGGCCTGTCAAGCCGTCGGCGCAGACAGGTGTGTATCATTTAAGAAGATCGGCGAAGGAAACTACAATAAGGCATATCGCCTTAAGATGGAGGACGGCTAAAAGGTCATCGCTAAAATTCCACATCCTAATGCTAGCCTACGACTACTCATCACCGCTTCGGAAGTGACAACTATGCAGTTCGCCAGCAGACTTCCCAACAAGCAAGTCAAGTCAAGCCGACGGGTCAGCTTGGCTTGAGCTTGATTTAGTGTTGAGGAGCTTGGCTTGATCACATAATCAAGCTGGTTCTAGTGGCTTGCTTGAAGCTTGGCTTAATAGCTTGTTAATCTATAGTTACAAAAGTTCTTAGTGTTAAGAGTTATGATAGTCGCCACCCCAGCTCTTAAAGTCGTACAAAAGCTCCATCTCATCGTCCGTTATCACCCCTTTAGTAGCAACCTCGACGTCGCCTAAGCCAGCTCTTTGCCATCGTCTTACGCACTGTATAGCCGCTAGAAGTTGCGGTTTTATAGCACGGCGACGCGGCTCAAGGAGGTCGCCAAGCTCACTAAACAGGCGCTCACACTCACAGCTTAAAGCTGGGATAGAGAGTACGTCAAGCGCAAGCTTGCTAAGGTTAGGGTAGCGATCGCGCAGCTCTACCTAGTATTTAATAGGGTTGTTTGCGTGATCGCTACCCTTCTCTGCATCGTCCTCGACCGTAGCGGCCACCGTGGCGGCCTCGCTAGCCTCATCAGGCGCGACGATCGCGCGTTCGGGCAACGCTTCGCGCAGCTGCGACTTAAAAGTATTGCCAGGTAGGCGCGAGTTGGCGAGGGCTCCGCGCGGCGAGAGGCGCTGCGACTGCTAGGAGTCTTTAAGGACGATGGGCTGGCTGTAGGTGCCTCGGGGAGCGACTTTAACGCGATTTCTTGGTGCAGAAGAGGTAATAGCAGCGCGTTTAAGCGGCATAGTAATAATAAGAAGGATAGGACGAAGGTATAGATAAGATAGAGCATAAGAGCGCGACGTAAGGTTGCAGTAATTGCTTACTAAGCTAGTTCTGCAACACCAAAAAACTATCGCAAGATCGCTATTACTGCAAAACTAAAAGCCTCACCTACTAATTAAGCTAATCAAGCCGGCTTCCATTACAGCTTGACTTGGCTTGTTAATTACTATAAGGCAGCTTGGCTTGATAGAATAATCAAGCTTCAAGCTAATCAAGCCAAGCGCTTGATAAGGCTTGCTTGTTGGGAAGTCTGTTCGCCAGGACCATCTTAAACATACCCGTCCCACGAGTTCTTGCTTGGAGTGCTACCGACGAAAACCCTGTTCAAGCAGAGTATATTATCATAGAAGAAGCAAAAGGTTCCCAACTGCATAAGGTCTAGCAGGATCTCCCCTTAAGGAAGAAGCTTAATATCATTCGTGAGTTTGTAGACGTTGAGAAGAAACTGCTCTTAATTTCTCTTATTAATTATGGCCTAACTTACTACAACAGAGAATTGTAGGCCGTTTTAACTTACATGCACTGGCAGACTAGGATTATTGTATTTCAAAGATAGTGGGATTGCGGGATGTGAGCTGGCTATCGTTACAACTGGTCCACAAGATATTGTCAGTCACGTCGAATCAACCTATTGCATTGGACCTATCACCCAAAGAGAGTTTTGGAAGAAAGAGCGTAGTAAGATGCAATACTACGGCCCCTATAGGTGTTTAGATACCTAAGATTCATAATTAAGACTTACATTAATTATAGGGACATCTTCTGCAGCATATCTAATGTCTATCGCTCACCGTGAGATGGAATGGATCAACATGTACGGGAGAGCAGATAAAACGAATAAGAATCCATAGCAGTATACGAGTCTAAAGTAGTATTCCCTAGAGGCCCATACGGCTCTATTATAGAAATTTCTAGCCGCGGCTCAGTATATTACTCCCTAGGACCTAGAGCTTGTCTCTCCTAGACTTTGGCACCCAGACTTCCATGCCGGTAACATCTATATCGACGAGCAGGCAAAGATATCTTGTATCATTAACTGGCAAGGAGCTTAGACTACCCTAGTGTTCATCAGAGCCAATCCTCCATTACTTCTAGACTATAGGATCGACATATTAATAAAGCTTCCTAAAAACTTCAAAACACTTAACGATGCCACAAAAGACAAACTCAGATACTAGGTGTCTCAGTCTATCATGATTCACACATATAAAACATACACTGCAGAGAACAACCCTTTAATATAAAAGGCTATGCGACATCCCTATAGGCAGACCCTTAAGCAGATAGAAGCTTTTGCAGGCTCTACCTAGGACAACTGACTCTTTCCCCTAGAAGAATGTTTGATCTATGTTGAGAGGTTCGTTGATTAATTGACCATTAACTTCCATCGCTGACCGTTATTTATAGCGAGTAGGAGCACTTCGGTACCAATGAACCATGCCCATATCATTTTTCAGCAGAAGAGTTACATCAACACTACCAGACTTGTCAACAATCAAGCGGCTTGCAAGCGCTTGATTGATAGCTTGATAACTATCAATCCCATCAAGTCAAGCTCGCTTATAATAATTTTTTAGCAATCTAAGCTGAGGAGGGTCAGCTTAATTGTTTAGCTTAATAGGCTTAATTGAGGTGGCGCGTGAGGCTGCTCGTTTTGCAGCAGGAGCGATTTTACGATAAGTTTTTGGTGTTGTAGTCGTCGCAGTACTAGTACGTTATTAGCCTAACTTCTGTAACCTACTATCACGTCACTTTTTTTGCTTCCGTCGCCCTTATCATATTTCCACTGCCATGCCTCCTACGAAACGCGCCTCTGATGACCTTACTCGCCCTAAAAAACGCGTTAAATCGTCCACCGCCCGCGGCACTGTTAGCCAGCCTATAGCCGTTAATAGTTAGCTATCGCCTCGCAGAGCTCTCGTAGAGGCGTCCTAGGCTTCAACTTTTAAGTCGCAACTACGCGAGTCGCGGCCTGAAGACGCTATCGTCGCGCCTACCGAGGGCAGCGAGAGGGTAATAGCAGCCTCGTCGGCAGCAGCCCTAGACAATAAGACCTTGCAAGAGGCTCTAGACGCGAGCCTTATAGACGACTTTAAGGGAATTAATTAGGGGCGTTTACGCATATATATAAAGCCGCTCTCGTCGCAGAAGTCGCGCAAGAGCTAAATCTATTACTATAGCTACCGCGTTACGCTGCTGAAGGACCCGAGTAAGCTATACTTTGTGTGCCGTTACTACTACGAGCATAAGTATATAGATACTAGCGTTAAGACATATAAGACGACGCTCTTAACGTCGTTAGCGCAGCGACACTTAGAGCTGCCTAAGCGCGGCTATAGCTATAGCTACGCTGGCAAATGGGTTGGGTATACCCAGTCTTGGGTTGGGGTTGGGTTGGGGTCGCACAGACCATGGGTTAGGGTTGGGTTGGGGTCGCACAGACCATGGGTTAGGGCTGGGCTGGGGTCGCACAGACCAAGTGGTAGGGTTGGGCTTGGGTTGGGTTGGGTTGGGTTGGGGTTGGGTTATATTTTTTGGGTACTTTAACGGAACAACACTTAATTAAGATAATGTGTACACGTTGATGATATAGTAGATACATAAAACGAGATATATTAACACAGCTAATTATCACGGTAGCGCTGAGGACGCTGGCGCTTTCGAGGTGGCAATTGACGCTCCTCCTGGACCTCTTCCTCCGACTCTTCTTCTGTAGTCTGGTTCTCCTCATCTATATCGAAGGTATGCTCTAACGAGGCTGGAAGCTCAAAAAGATCATTAACCTCGTCAATTGGCTCTCCATCCTCCCCTAATTGAGCAACTAGGTAGTCTAGACCCTGTTCTTCCTCTTGAGATATTGTATCCTTAAGAACCATTATCTGCTGTATTGTCCGGGCAGATAGTCGGTGCCTCCGACTACCAATAACATCCTTAGCAACATTGAAAACTCTTTCAACCCCAACCTGAGCAATTGGTATTGCTAGTATATCCTTCGCCACTTGGGATAGTCTATTAGCAGATGTCTATGATAAACAGCTGTGATAACTTACCAGACTTTTTCTGGGTAAACCGCTTCTCTGAAAGTATATCCCACTCTTTCTCTAGCAGCTTAGCCTGTCTAGCACTATTTGCTAATTTATACTTAGGCTGTTGCAAAAGCGATTTCTTCAGTTGGTACTTCGCGGAGCGGTCGGCTGTTCTAACGCTTTCAAGTACCTTCTCCTCTTTATCGAAAAGAGCTTTGCGTTCACGTTGAGCAATAGCACGGGCGCTACCACTCAGAGAGCCAGTATAGGGGACGCTCAAATTGATAGGTCGGCCTTTTCGTGAACCCCCACTACCTCTTTGATCTAAGATACCGTCAATCTCGTCAGCTTCACACGCAAATCCCTGCTTATATTAGCATAAGCTGTGATAAATGGCTGTGATTATTACATCGGTAAGCTGCTCCCACTCATCTTGTTCGAACCCAGGCGGAGGTTCAAGTTTGATGGCTGGAACTAGGCCTTCAGGTACGTCGCCGACTTGCTCTTTCGCGACAGGCATGGCGGGGACTGTGATAATGCGCTGTTGTAAATGGGGTGTTTTCAATGTAGTAAAGAGAGTTATTAGGTGTTGGGAGTTACTGGGCGTCAGGGGCTGGAGAAATGGGTAGACAGCATTATGCTCACCTAGAAATGGTCCGTGCGCTGCTGCCTGCGCTAGCGCGAAAACGCGGAAATTACCCAAAATGATCAACACATCGATGATTCCTTCATTTTTGGGCTGTACGCATGCGCGAGCTCGGCGTTTATCACAGCAGTTTAACACGTTTGTATGATATGCTCGCTACTGATTTTGCAACAGAAATGGTTGTATGCGATCGTGAAACAGCAAATTACGTCATGCAGTCCGTGCGCTGCTGCCTTTACTAGTGCGGAAATCGGGAAATTGCCGTCGCCCAAACTTTCCAGCTACCTAACTCTTTCAGCCTACTACTTTCTTAATTGTCGACCACATTTATCACAGTAATTAATCACATACGTCGCCTACGTTCATCATCTACTCTACTACGCAATGGCAAGGACAAAACCACGGCCTAAGGTCACCGGTAAAGCCGGCCGGGGTGGTCCCTGATGGCAAGACAGTTACTGGCGGCAAGCCGGCTCAGAAGGCCCTTGCTAGTAAGGCTAGACGTCAAGTAGCAGGAAAGTCTACGCGAAAGGCACCTGTAGCTGTTAAGAAGAAGCGCAAGTTTAAGGCCGGCAGTAGGTTATCACAGTCGTTTATCACAGCTATTTTCTAATTTAGCTTAGCTGTCGCATTACGGGAAATCAAGAGATACCAGAGAGGTTTTGAACTACTCTTGCGAAAACTCCCCTTTTCCCGCGTAGTGCGCGAATTTGCACAGGTGCACAAGGCCGATATCCGCTTTCAACGATCTGCAATCGAAGCTCTTCAGGAAGCTACAGAAGCTTTCTTAGTTGGTTATTTTGAGGGTATAGTCTATCTACCCTATACTATTTTTCATTTAATAACTTTTATAGACTGCAACATCAATGCTATTCACGCAAAGAGGGTTACTATTCAAGAGAAGGATTCTCAATTGGCTAGGCGCTACTTTGCTCGCGAGTTACTAGCTTTTCTCTAGATTATAAGATATATCTAGATACACGTGCTTAAATGCTAGCTGGCGAAGCCTCTGTATATTATAAATGAAACTAGTTAATGCTACACTGTGTTAATCTACTGTGATACTATATAAACTTTTCTTTTATTGAAATCTATATTATACATCTTGCAATTTTTTTACTATAACCCAACCCTAACCCATGGTCCGTGCGACCCCAACCCAACCCCAACCCAACCCTAAGCTTGGCGCTGACAAATGGGTTGGGGTTGGGTTGGGGTCGCAAAATTTCTAACCCAACCCCAACCACACCCCGACCCATTTGCCAGCGTAGCTATAGCAAGTCGGCCGTCGCTGCAAAACCCACCTAGCTACAACGTCTGCTTAAGGACAGCAATAATAGCGTGTTGCAGAAGGTCGCTAACGAGCTCGCTAGCTTTAATACCTAGCGCTTCTAGCTAGCAGCTGTTAGCTAGCTTATTAAGAACAATTACCCTCTCTCTAAGTTTGAAACACCAGCTTTTCGACGCCTCCTTAAAGCTGCCAACCTACTAGTAGAACGAGCGCTCTAGACGTCTTATATAAGCGTCTCCTAGTACGTTGCGCGCTTATATAAGCACCTAAAGCTGCGCGTTATCTTGCAACTGTCGCAGGCGCTTAGCAAAGTACACTTTAGCTTTAATAGATAGACGACAAAGGGCGGCAAGCGTGGCTTTCTAGGCGTCGTTGCGCACTTTGTCGATAGCAGAGGCGACCTGCAGGACTTGCCTATAGCGCTGCCCTAGCTAACAGGCGCTCACAGTAGCGAGAGGATAGCTAAGGTTATTATAAAAACGCTGCAGGACTTTAAGATTACGTCGCAGTTAATTAGTTACTTCGTGCTTAATAACGCCCTTAACAACAACAGTACTATTGCAATATTAGTTTATGTTGAGAATATCTGGGTTCAGTCCAGGTAGAAGGTGCTTGGGGGTCACATGATGTGCTGGTGTGGCAGGCACTGCCCGGTGGGCAATGGCATCCACCACAACAGCCTGAGAGCTTGACATGGGACACGAGAGTCAATACAATACGTTGCAGCCACCCCGCCTTGTCCCTCCTCCCACTCGGTTATCCATAGTAGTCATACTACTAGAGGGACCTTGTTCCAATAGTTTAAGAGTATAGTTTTAATGCCACCCACTAGCGCCTCCGCTGCGGACCTCACACGCTTAACCTTATCGGCTAGACGCTCCTCTAGGGCAAGGGTGGCGCCGCCTTGTTCGACAACGACGTACAAGAGCTCACCGACGAGCACGACTTTATAGAGGAGTGGAGACGCGTAGGCCTACTCGGCGTACTGCTTAGTATTATAAACTACATTAAAACGCCACAACAGCATAAGCTCTTTAAGGACTTCTAGCGCCTCGCCTATACTAAGCTGCTGTCTAGCGCGTTAGCGGACAATCGCAAGATCCTTGAGCCCGTTAAACCCGTCGTCACGCGGTAGAACTCGTACTACTTATGCTTTAAGCGTGCCGTAAAGCTGCAATTTGTAGTCAACGCCTACGCTACTCACTATATACAGCGGGTGCAAAGGGAGGACACATTTACGCAAAGTCGCGGCAATAAGCTGCTAGTTGCGCAGCCGTAGATACGATTAGACGGCCTTATAGGTGCTAATTAGGCAGTAATTACAGAGTATATAGACATTTTAAAACTGCTTAAGACTGCTACAAAGCGCCTCGAAGGGCGCGGTAAAAGCGACAGCTTTAGGGCTATTACTAAGATAATTCTAATATTTAAATACCTCCTTACCTACTACGAGCAGCGCGTTAATGCGTATAAGGCGGTTAACTACAACGAGCACAATAAGTCGCCTAAGGATTATATTACAATTAACTTACGCGCAGCTTAGCAGAAGGCCGATAACTACTACTCTAAGCTAGACAACTCGCCCGCGTACTACGCTGCTACAATACTCTATCCGATGTATAAGTACTACTGCGATAAGGCGTGGGCTAGGAAGCCTAACTAGCTCGAGGCTAGCAACGCTAGCTTTTAGGCGCTCTAGGCGCAGTACAACACCTCACTACGCGCGGTAAGGCTGTTAGTAGTAATCCTAAACGATATAGACGACGCAATCGATAGTATACTTAATCCTAGTACTGCTAGCAGCCTTACTAATAACGAGAATAAGTTTAAGAGGTAGAAGCGCAGCGAGCTAGCAGCTAAGAGAGGTACAGAACACGCAGATAACCCTATTAAGTACTAGGTGAGCATGCGCAATTGCTACCCTAGCCTTAGTAAGCTTGCGCTTAACGTACTCTCTATCCTAGCGTCGAGCTGTAAGTGTGAGCGCCTGTTTAGTAAGCTAGGCGACTTCTTAGAGCCGCGACGACGACGTCTAGGACCTCAAATTCTAGCGGCAATACAGTGCGTACGACGGTGGCAAAGAGCTAGCCTCGGAGGCGACGACGAGGTAGTAGAGGAGGAGGCAGCAGACGACGACAATATGGAGCTTTTGTGCGGGCTGGCGACTTAGGACGACGAAACTCAACACTAAGGCTAGCGCTAGTATAGGTTATTAAGCCGATCAATCAAGCCTTAATCAAGCTCACAATCTTAGCTTGTTAGCCCTAACAATCCAAGCTGACGCTCTCAAAAAACGAGCAATCCAATCTGACGCCTCAGCTTGGATTGGCTTGATTGTTGACAACTATGAACACTACGAAGAAGCGGGTTCTTCCAACAAGAGCCAGGAACTCTAGAAAGAGTTACGAGGCGTGTTAACTAATGAGAGCTATACGCCCAACGAGAGTTTTAGTAGAGCTATTGAGATACTCAAAGACTTGCGAGAAGTTGGGCTGGGTAGCTTAAAGGACGAGGAACGGCTTGACTTCGACAAAGAGACGCGTTGGGTAGTAGACCTCGATAAACATAGCATCTAATACTTACGCTATCTTTCTACGTGATGTCACTTCCGAAGACAGTAGCTATGATGTGATCTGGCAAACCACGTAAGCACGCAAAGCTAGCCATTCGTCTAGGCATTGAGTCGGGAGATGACGAGTTGGGGACCATTGTGGTTCAAACTCAAGAACAAAATAGTCCATGGCACCGGGGATGAGAGTGCAAGCGCCTCGCTAAGCCGTGATCAATTTTTATGTCAACGCCGGTGAGGCAAGCACATTCTGAGTATCCTAGCGGGTGCAGACAACCGAGCGTCACTGGCGGTGACAAACCTGGTGCCAGAGTGGACGAATGAGAAGTTCCTGTGACGATGGCCGGCAAATTGCCGCCTTAGAGGACATGACCTGTGCTTTTATTGCCTGTGAGTTTGTGCTTACGGCTGCCCGTAGAACTGAAGCAAACTGAATGGTTCCTTCCGGTCGCATCCAACCCTGAATATCGTCTGGTGCCCTGGCGTTATCTTGGTACACGATTGAGCGCTCCGTAATTTAGCGTTTATAGATTGCGTCTTAACATCTCGACCAACAATCGGAGGCTCTGGTGAGGGCTTGGTACAGGTGATCTAAGGGCATGTCTGGCTGCGTAGCTGTGCCGTTGCCGTAAGTAGTGCAGAGGGGGCCCGCCACAAAAGAATCGTATCATCCGGAACCGCGAGTTCCGGTGTGCGTCTTAACAACTCGAGCAAAATTGGCGGTTGTGGTGAGGGCTTGTCTAGAGGGCTGCATAGCCCGACTGGGCCGTTGCTGTAACTAGTGGAGAGTAGGCCCGCCACTAAAAAATCGTATCACCCGGAACTTGCGGATCCGGCATCATCGATACGAAGGTGGTCTGAGCTTATAAATCCGCAACAACAACAACAATCGCAGAGCATTGATCCACGGATTCAAGGGTTGATTGATCACATATAGAGAGGCCTTCACTACCCCTAGGGGCTTTCTCTACCTTGACTTAACGTAGCTCCCATTGCAAACACATCTCAGGCCGGAGCCACAACAAACACCTCCAGCGTCCTAGCACTCCGCGAGATACCACCTGACCGTCGACCACTCCTGATACATACCTAGGTACTTTCTCAACTACAACCATTGCCTGAGTATACCTAAACGACTATGGGCTCCCTATCCGCCGGACTGATCACATTGACGCTTCTGTACGTCGCCTCCCGACTATGGCACCTCAACTACAACTACAGAGTTGCACGGGCCGCGGGACTACCTGTAATTATATGCCCCTATGATCCCGACAGTGTAAGTGGTTCAGATTTTCCTTCACTTACACGCGAATGTTGAAAGGACAACCTTCACTCATTCTCGACCCCTCTTTGTACCTATAGAGAACCACCAACACTAACTGCACTTACCAAGACTCTCCATACTATACTCTGCGTACCCCTCCGCCCGATTCTCTGCAGCCTTCTCCCTGGCCCTATTTTCGCCATTGTTGAGCTTACTATCTGGGGGTGGGAGTTCCGCGATAAAGCAGCCATCCACGAAAAGCTCGGTCCTGCTTTTATATTCGTTACTACGGGACGCAACCGGCTTGTCTGTGCAGACCCATCTATGGCTCACGCTATCATGATGAAGAGAAAAGATTTTGTCCATACGTATATCACAAATAAGGCTATGGGTTTCCTGGGCGCGAACATCATAACTGTAAGTCAACGTCTTTGACTATTGTTTGCTCCTGTCAAACTCATTCAAGGTCCAAGCCGCGGTAATTGTTCTTCTGTAGCATTTATTAACGAAAAGCCATCCACTTTAGGCCAAAGATGATTCTTGGTCACGCCAACGCCGCATTGTTGCCCCAGCACTGAATGAACGCATTAGTCAGGACGTCTGGACAGAAAGTACGGAACAAGCATCTTCCCTCGCCGATACACTTCACTTGCCATCTACCACCCATTCACTCGAGAAAAGTTCAGAGGCAGTCACTGGCGTACGTACAATTGCTATGAATGTTCTGGCTCGGATTGCCTACGGCTATAATAAGCCCTTTGCTGCATCCCAATCTTCAGACCTGCAAGCTGCAAACTTTTCGTACGTAGACGCCATCGAACTCTGTACCCAGTTTCTCGCTCTAGCAGCTTTCATCCCTGGCGGCTTGCTGAGGCTACCCATCATGCCTCGTCTCCTGCAGACAATAGGCGCTGCAATGAAGCAGCTGCCTGAACTCACGCGAGACATGCTTGATCAGGAGCGCAGTAAGGGTAGTTCCACTCCTTCAAGCGGACGGTCCACCATCATGAGCACGCTTGTCCGCCTTTCAGACCAGGGGAAAGACCAGGTTTCAAGCGGAAACTCTCTCTTAGTGGAGAAGAATCAGCAAACAACTGAGGCCAGTACTTCCGGCAGTTCCTATCTCACGGAGGAAGAAATCGCAGGAAACCTCTTCATCTTTACTGCGGCAGGTTTTGACACTACCGCTAACACGATGTCTTACGCCATCACCCTCCTCGCGGCCTGTCCAGAGTGGCAGGCATGGATCCAGGCCGAGATCGACACTGTGTTTGGGGATACGCTGGGCGGAGTAGATGGGGAGAGTGCCTTGCCAGAATACGCAACTGCATTCCCAAAATTGAAGCGCTGTTTAGCCGTCATGGTACGCTAGAACTATCTCACTCATAACTTCTTTGGAGCCCTCAAGTACAGCCAGTTATTCTACGTTACATTAAGCTGACATTATACTCTTAGTTGGAGACTCTTCGCCTCTACCCGCCCGTAACCCTCTTGACGCGTTCCACCACTACACCACAAACGATCCAACTCGAAAACTCATCTACGTCTTTCCATCTACCGGCTCCAATTAGTGTCTACATCAATACGGTAGCTCTGCACACGTCGACTTCTATATGGGGCCCGGATGCGCTGGAGTTCAACCCTTCACGCTGGCTTCGACCCGTTTCTGGAGAGGGTGCAGAGCTGGAAATCATGACTCCACCACGCTGCACTTATCTTCCTTGGTCCGTTGGTCCCCGTATCTGTCCAGGGCAGAAAATGGCACAGGTAGAATTTGTAGCTGTTATTGCAACGCTCTTCCGCAAATGTACAGCTCAGCCAATAGTTAAGAAAGGAGAAAGTATGCAGCAGGCGAAACAGCGACTACTCGATTTAACGCAGGATAGCCAGGCTGGATTGACTTTACAGATGAACCGACCAAAGGAGGTATCTCTCAAATGGACAAAACGATAAGAAGTCAGGTAGCTTTAGATCAATGGTTAGGGCTCAGATTGATTATGTACTCCTCACTTCTATCTTCCTGGGCTTCCTTCTCTCCTTCGTTTCCCTGCCTGCGCTTCCCTTTTCCTCCTCTAATCTTCTCTGCTGTTCAACCTCGTTTGCAGCACGTCGTAATGCCTCCGGATCAGGTATTCCATCCGCCTCATCCTTCACTTCCTCCTCCATCTCGTTATCAATTATCTTCTCCTCGCCATCATCCTCGCTCCCTTCTTGACCCTCCTTGTCATCTTCCTTGTTATCTCCCTTGTCCTTCTTCTGTCCTCCAAGCTTCACCCAAGGCCCATGTACACCCCCAACCCCCGCGCCAACCAACGTGCCCACAGCCGTTGTAGGAATCGTAGCCACAGTCCCCACCAGCGTGCCAACTACTGTGCCCAGGCCAGCACCAACAGCCATGCCAATCCCTCCACCACCAATGCTTCCCTGGAATGCGCCTGAGCTCAGCATACGTGCCTTCTTCGAGTTGCCGTGGGCTTCGATCTCCTTGTTGTACGCATCTTGGAGGTATTTTTCGCGCTTAGCGGGGTCTTTTATCGTATCGGCAGCGGAGCGTAGTGACGAGGCCGTCTTTGCCGAGTTAAGTGCCGACTCGGCGGATGCAGCGGCTTCTCTGAGTTTATCTTCTGGGCTGTCGGATTTGGCGGCGATGTCTTTAAGCTCGTGTTCGGGAACAGAAGGGCCTGGCTGGTTGAACTTCCTGGGAGGCATGTTGGGTGATGGTTAACCGATCAAAGAAGTATTAGAATATGTTAGCAAAATCTTTCGCTGGGAGCTTTGGGAAGCCATCAAATGCTTTCGAAGGTGGCATCGTCCAAGCTGTGCTGCAATGCAGCTGTGACGTCACTCGTCGCGACTCCGCATTTCAAAACTTGGAAGACGCGTAGGACAACGCGTCAATGTTCTTCACTTTACTATGGTCGAACTTCACTTAAAATTTGACAATAAAATTTTGAGTATAAATAGATTTAGCTCACTAATCAAATTATTATCTTCCTGTCATTGGATGCCGTAGAAATAGCGTTCATCGCCCAACCATGGTTCACCCGACACGGAAACAACACGACTTATTCCCAGGTCAGGGTCCAGCCATTCTCCCAAGCTCCCTCACATGTCATATCTTCCAGACCCATAAGCTTCAATACTCTGCTAGTCTGGTTGTAGTTCATGTTTGCCGCATCAATGATCGCACCGTTGAGCTTGACTTGCTGAGCAGCTGGAGCGCCTAAGATCGTGATGTTGGCAAGCGCGTTTTTGTCCTTGTATTCGCCTTGAACATCAACCTTCATCTTTCCGTCCACGACGTTAAATGTGATATCCAGGCAGGACTCTGGCTCAAGAGACTCGCCATCATCAATGTACAGGCTACCAGATGCAGTTCCTGTGCTGGAAAGTGCGACGATGAGACCCCAAGGATTTTGACGTGATTCTGCAGTAGTGTATCCAGGCTCTTGAGTTGGTAGTACCGACCCGCCGCGGATATAGACAGGAATATGGCCCAAAGGCGCTGATATGGTAGTGTTGACGCCGGCTGCGGCCTGAACGCGCTCACCAGAGTACCAATCGAACCATGTCTCTCCATCTACGATACCCGGGAAAACACCTTTGACGGTGTCGGCCTGTGGCTCGAGAACAGGTATGACTAAGATGTTGGGACCCAGCAAAAATTGTGTGTCAACACCAGCAAGCTGAGGCTCGTTGGGGAACTCCCATGCCAACGCTCGCATAACCGTGGATCCCGTCTTGTGAGCATCGTTGAAGAGGGTGTACATGTAAGGAAGCAGAGTGTAGCGGATATGCATCGCAGTCCTCGATGCTGAAGCTACAGCCTCCCAACGGTATGGCTCCTGTGGGATAGCGGACAGCACGTTGTGGTTGCGATAGAAGGGGAAGAAGGCTGATAGCTGCATCCAGCGGGCGCAAAGCTCCATATCAGTGTTCCCGTTGAAGCCGCAGGTGTCTACTCCGAACATGGGAATACCAAACAGGGAGAAAGATAAAGCCTGAGGAATGGAGAAGAACATGTAGGCCCACTTGGAGGCGTTGTCACCACCCCAGTGACCTGCCCACTTGCCACTACCAGCAAATGTGGAACGTCCGATGATGAACGGACGCTTTCCAGGGAAAACAGAAAGGAGACCTTGATAGGTAGCGTTGATGATCTGGTGTCCAAAGAGGTTGTGAACATCGTACTCTTCCATGCCATTGGCATGAGTCGCATTAGGGCTGACAGCATGGACAGCTAAGTCAGCGCCGTCTTGTACATGGTTTATGACGTAGGGAGGGTAGTTGATGTCTCGTACACCGGGTGTAGGCGTAGAGCGAAAATAGCTGGTAGTGGAGACCGTGGGGGTGGGGGTGGACGACACTGCCATTGCCGTGGTTGTCTTGGTAGATAAGGCCTGGCTCGAGGCAGCAGCTAAAGCGGAAGCAGCTTCGGTCGAGTTGGTGATGTTGAACCCTTCAGGGTAATCGTAGATGATGTTGCCTATCTCACCCGGAAGCGAGAATGGCGGGTGAACTGGGTTGAGGGTGACGCTACCTGTGCCGCACGAGCCGACACAGAACGAGGATACCTCACTCATATCAAGCCAGAAGCCACTGAATGGCACCTCCTTGTACCATTCGGCCATTTCTTTGATCCACCACGAGGCACCGTTAGAAGACATCCAATCGGGGAACACGGTGTAGCCGGGCCAGACAGCACCAATGTAATGGCTCCCATCAGGGTTATTAAGAAAAACGCCTGAGTTATTGCCACGGGTGTAGGTATCGTACGCGTCGCTGGCATTCTGAGGGTTGGGTATATAGATGGCCGAATCGACAATAGGAACAAAGTGCTGGTTGTTGCCGTGGAGCCACCCAAAGAAGTCTGCGACCTCAGATGCAGGAAAGGACACAGGATCAACGGTGAAGTCTCTGTACTGATCCATGTAGTCGATGTCGAGCCAAATGGTCTCTGTGCAAGTGTTAGTAAGATTCGGGTACACGCTGTGGTACTGATGTTTGGATGCATTCACGAGGGCGTTTTGTTGAACGTGGCAGGATAGGCTCATCACTTTTGCACCCGACAGTGGGAGAACACTGTAGAGACTTACCCATCGGAATTTCGAAAGCTCTCAAAGTCTCAACGATCTCTCTCAATTCAGTCCAGTTGCGGTATCCCCATCGGCACTGATGGTAACCGAAAGTCCAGTACTGCTGCATGGCAGGCAGACCGACTGCCGACCTCTGGTATTCTTTGGTCACATCTGGCTGCGAGGGTCCGTCGTAGAAGAACAGATCGATGGCACCCCCTAGGGTCCTCCATGACAAATGGTCAGGCTTTAGGACAACTTCCATACCATGGGTATTTCGGTAGTAGAGACCATGGGAACGTGACTCGTAAGCGGAACCTGTGGGCTTATCATTGCTTCCGACGCTTGGCTGTTGGATTTTAGATTGCTTCAGGGGTACATTGCTGGCATTGCTGCCTTTCTCGAAGTAGCGTGTCTCCAAGTAGAACGGATGACTGCCGTACAGGTTGCGGTCGATTGGATCACCAACATCCGCAGCATAGATGGTGGCCGTGAAGTTGTTGTTCAGACGGAGGCCGTGGATACGTTCGCCAAGGCCGTAGAGGTTATAGTCTTCTGGCAGACTGTTGACAAACTCAATGAATTGATTCTCATAGATGAGCTTGGAACCCTCGGTAGTGAAGATAACATCTCCAGTGGAGTGACGGCCAACATTGAACCAAAACGATGGCTCGTTTCCCCCTACACATCTGTTAGCAAGAATTCGCATTCTCTCTGTGATAGAGCTTTTGGTAATGACCCAGCTCACATAGTAGCTACTTACAGTCGAACTTCAGGTCCGTGTCTTTGTAAGAATCCTCGGCTTGCGGTCGCGGAATAAGGTCTTCGGGGACCATCCACTGGGATTGATTCTTTGCACCAAGGTATTTTGGCACAATGCTGACGGTCAATCTTCCCTTTGCCTGGTATTCAACCTTTAAGTCAAGCTCCTCGATGTCAGTACCGTAGGCATTGCAGGCCTTTCCAGCTAGGGTCAATGTAGCACTAAGACCACGGTCACTCTTCTTGAGGTCGAATGCCTTGTAGCCTGGGCAAACTTCTTGAGCATTGACGGCTTCGGGGTCGTAGATGTTGGGAATCTGTTGGACACCTTCGTCCACCAACGGAGGAAGGGTAAAGACTGATCGGAAGGACGTCGGTGTGCCAGCGAGCGTAGTGCTCCAGCCACTTTCAGAGGGCGAAGGTATCTGGGCAGTTGTCAACGCCAAAAGAGACGACAAGAACGCAAGGCCTGAGCGCGACATGATGTCCAGACTCAGTCTGTCAAGTGCTTTCTGAAGGTCCTTGGGCAAGCTTGCGTCTGGGAATGCCCATCGAAGCCATGCTGTCTTCTTATACTCGTTGGTTTCGCCAAATGCAGCGTTCTCCGGGTCCATATTGAGCTATGGGTAGGTTATGCAGTTCCCCGCATGGAGGTAACTTAATGACGCTGTATAACGGGTACAGCAAGAAAGCTACGTGCAGGTTGCGTACATGCACCGTGCGTAAGCATGTTGCCGTAATTGGGTGATGACGAGTCGTCGCGCCGACATTGGACGAATGGGGATGTGCGGAGCGCGGTTCGCGGGACAGGCAAGCAAAAGTGCGGGGATCGCGAGGCTCATGGAGCGACGCCTTTCAAGCTTCGATGCTTCCAGGCTTGGCTTGAGGCTTGAGGCTTGTGCAGATAGCGCCTGGAAGAATCAACTCACAAGTCTAGCGTAGAATTGCGGCACAGAATACGATAGCGCAAGAATGACGATTTCGAAGAGTGGCGGCATCTAGAATATCGCGAGGATGGGGCCGGTTCGGGAATCTAGGTGATAAGCAATGATAGAAGCTTATATATACAGGTGTGGTGATGATTAAGAGATTTCAATGTCAAGCAAATGCAGGTTGTTGCGGGAAATTCATTCGTAGTTGTGGTTAGCCTGTTGGATTGGACCTGTCAACCACGTACCAAGGTCGCTGGTAGTTCCTACCTACGACCCATTGTTGCTATTACTTCTTGCAAGTCACATTTCCCGGAGTAGCAGGCGCCATCGGAAAGTATTTCGGTTAGACTAAATCTGTGTTCCTTGCAGCGTGGCAGCTCAACGGGTTCTGGGCTGATGTTTGCGTGACGCCAACATTGTGGGGTGCATATAAGTTTCCCAGCAAGAACAGAAAGTTAACATCCGACCCCGAGAACTCCCCTGTGAACAACTGACTAGCTTCATGATGTAGTGTGGGAAAGCTCATGAATGTTTGAGGTTTGAATTCGCTCATTACATTTAGTTTATAGAGGTACAAGATAGTATGTGGTCGCGACAGTGCAGTTGTCCTGCAGTCTAATACACTTCGCTCGCATTGTATTATAGACTGCAAGCAGTCTTACTCGTCTCCTAGCGTAATTCCCACATGCTTCCTGCGCGTTGCTATAGTTTGTGGTCGCACGCTCTCATTGGCTGAATGTCGGCACGCGACTTTTTGTGGCTTTGCGCAAGCGTCGGATATGACACCCCCAGCAAGTCACAACTTTTGTTGTGGACTTGAACTTCGCATGTCTTCGCGATAGCTGGCCTGCATGGTCTTGTCTACAAAGATCCATGAATGCCTCCACCTCTGCTTGTCACAGCCACGAATGTACACGGACTAGCCTTTGGATACCCAGTTTGGTCGCAATGTATCATCACAAAGGCGAATAGCTCGTGGGTCTACTATCCTCACTCCGTCGACCAAAGGTATCGTACTCGTAGGGAGTGTATTCACCATCCTCAGAAAGATAAAGTCCGTCCTCTGGCAACCAACTCCGAGACTCATGTGTATTTCTGGTCAGTGTGCTAAGCGCAGACGCGCGTAGAGAAGCCCGCACAGAGGCCCGCAAAGAGGCTCGCGTTGAGTTCCGTCCCGAGTTTCGCCCTGAGCCTCGTCCTGGCATCGCTGTTATTGACGGCGTAGGTGAAGTATCGCGCCGTGGCGGGGGAGTGTAAACAGTTGATGGTAGACGGAAGTTTGCATTTGTTGGGCTAGGAAACGCTGCGGAGCTCGGATGTAAATGTAGCCCCGGAGTCGAGTTATGCAAGCCGGGTGAAAGAGGCGCGGGCATGAGACTTGGTTCAAGGTGTGTAGGCTTCTTCTTAGAATGAGAGAGCGGCTCCGGGAATGTGGCTGTTGTTGGTGTGCGCGCAGGACTACGTGATAGTACTGACGGCGTCCCGGGCTCGCCTATGATATCCTGATACCAATCATAGGAGCGAAAACTAAGTCTAGGGCTTGGTGGCGGAAGATCAGGAAGGGGCAGCTGGGGCGCTATGCTGTCCACGATGGGGCTCGGGGGTGCCGAGTCGCTGATGGAGCTAACATCCGATATCGATACAGTGTGAACAGATCTGATCTCTGTCTTTCGCGGATATTGGGCTAACTCGTATTCTGAGTTTCGCTTCTTCAACTCCGGTGCTGGTACTGGTGCGGGTACTGGTGCTGACACTGGGGCTGGTGTTGGCGTCGGTGCCGGTAAAATCGAGATGGGTAGTGTATTTGTGACAGGAGGAACGTATTCTTCGAATCTGTATCGTGGCGTAGGAGCACGTGACGGAGTGCTGTGCCTGGGCGTTTCGGTGGCTCGAAGTGCATTGACAGCGTTCATCATATCATCATCGAAAATCATGCTCTTGTTGATGTTCACGTTGACAGCATACAGCCTCGAATCTGTCGGAGCAGTGGCTAGCGGAACTCCGTTGAGTGGAGGTAGAGGCAGTGCCTTTTCGGTCGAGTTCCGCCCATTGACTTGATATGTTGACTGCGGCCTCCTGTGCCCCATCTTCTCCCTATTTGTTTTGGCGAAGAAGTCCGGTCCCGTATTCATGCTACGCTGAAGGTTTAGCGCTCTACTTTGAGGACTGTTTGGTAATGAAGCCACCAGGGTCTTCTGGTCAGTTGCACTCGAAGTAGACCTGTGACGATTGCCCGAGGATGCTTCGGTCGATGGGAGACGTTCTCTGCTTCCTCGGAATCTTCGAAACCAAAAGCCAAAGGTTATCAATAGTGCGACCACAGCCACAAGTCCTACACCGACACCGATTGCTGCCCCCGTGCTTAACTGTGAGGTTGGCTCTGGGCCCGATCCGCCAAAAGGGGCAGCATCGTTGAGGCCAGTACATTTGGCACTCGAGCATATTTTGTTCGCTGCGCAGTCGTTATCTGTCGAGCATGACTCTAAAGCTGCTGTAGAAGACCCATGGGGCTAGATTGGATGTTTGTGTCGATTGTGCTGGGGCTGGGGCTGGGGCTGGGAGTCTTCGTCTCGAAGACAACGAAAGAAAAATCAGAAGCGAAATTGGTGGGTAATGGTGTAGGTGAAGTATCGGCACTTGAAGGATCGGGTGTAGTGGTTGAATACCGTAGTGTGCTGAATGTAGAAGGCTGTCTACGCGATGCAGTAGACGTAGTAGTCTCGTCTCGCCGTCTGGTGGTAACGATTGTGGTAGACATTATGATTAAAAGAGCGTGTTGAACGAGTGTAAACTAGAAAAGAATGGATCGGCACGCCAATGGTATGGCCGGGTATCGAAGTTGCGCAGGCGTCTTTAGGTAAAGATGGAGAAGGAGACAGTAGTATGGAACGTAGGTATATGAATGAACGTGGAGCTAGTAGAGATAGATGCTGACAAAGTGACGAAGGGACGAAGGTCCTCAGTCGAAAGAGTCCTCGCGACACACCATCGCTGTGCAGGGCGACGCGGGTTAGACCATATCTTGTAGGGTCCGGCAAAAGAGGCTAAAGTTTATTGACGATGCACGCACGGCGCGGTTGATCCACGTTCGGTTGGTGGTTTGACGATCCTTAGTGCGCAAACCAACGTCGCACCCCGTCAAACTTTCGCCCCAAACAATGTCTTTTTTCCATGACAGATGACATAGAAGAGTACGGCAGTACAAAAGAAAGCGCTCAATACGAACCGTAGGAAGGCGCAAATATCACATAGTGCACTCTCCGCATCTTGCGACGATGCAGATTCTTTGTTGTTCCCCTGGACTATCGACATGCCGGACACGGCAAAGATATTGAGTCCTGAGTCACGTCGGGCGACGCCTCCAAATATGGTACCCATGCAGTTTCAGGAGAGTAAAACGGTACCTGCAGGTACTATTTTCTGCTTCCAAGCCACTCTACAACTTGCCGTGCGCTCGCATCGGGAGGAAAGACAGGGTACCAGACGTTTACAATGGTCCCACCCTGGATAGCGAGCGCACATCTCTTGACCAGTGTCTTGTCCTGCCAGCGGAATGTTGGAAGTTTCAGAGTGTTTGCAAACTCGAGGTTCTCGTCCGAAAGCGATTCGTAGGGAAGGCGCAACCGGTCTTTGGCCTCGTTCTGGTAAGCAGTAGACTGGGTGGATAGGCCGAACACACGTTTTACGCCGAGTTTGCGCAAATGATCCATTTGATCGCGGAAGCTGCAAGCTTGAGGTGTGCAGCCTCGTGCACCAGGTATCGAGTTCCAATCGTCTGTAATCGTTTCACCACGCGCACCGGTACGTGGATAACAAAAGACGATGGTCAGGTCAGAAAAGGAGGAAACATCTAGTTGGTCGCCTGACGTTGCGAACAGGGGTACCGAGGGTACCCTGGCTCCGGTCAAGTGCGAGCAGGCTCCGTCATCCTGGGGTATGGGTAGATTCGAAGGAAAGGTTGTGTCTGTGCTGGGTCAGCGAGCGATCGGTCTTATGAGTACCTGCGTGCTACTGACGAGCCATAACTGCCGATCGTTATGCCGGGCTTTAGTTTAGCTGCTCACGCGTGCTTCTTCTATTAGCTTCTATAACTCATCTACGACTGAGCTAAGATGTAAGAGGCGTCTTCAACGTATGTTGAAGCAGCTTGCGCAAACCACAGGCCTTCTGCACAACTCGAAAGCTGCAACTTGGACACAGATTTTGGAACAAAATGTCGGCGATCTCAGTTCCAGAGTTGAATCAAGACCCGAAAGGAAAAACGTCAGCAGGGTTTGAGTTTGGTCCCAGGTGGATGCTCTGCAGACTGTTTGGTAATGTGGTGGTGTGGTGGTGTTTGGGAATGGTGGTGGGGTAAGCAGCTAAAGGTCCAATGTGCAATCCAACAGTATTGCTTTGCTGTCGGAACCGGGAGGCTGAGTGAGAGAGTGAAGAGGGTGTGAAGACATGTAAAAAAGCACAGATATGGCTCTGTTGGAATGTTCGAAATGGCTCAATTAATTGCTTGTTTGTTCTTGGACTGGCTGGTGGTGTGGTGGCTTTCGGAATGGTGGCGGGGTGTTCGGAAGGAAAGCCGAGACCGAGTGCCTCTGGGATACGCCACGAGCGAGCTATCACGTTAACGGAAAGATGGGATAGCGGCCATGCCCTACGCACTCCATCTACAATACGAGTACGGGCCGAGACATGAGGCGATTTCGAAGAGAACCGCATACATGTTCTGAAAACCATACTTCAGCTCGGCCATCACTTCTGCCATCTGTTCTATATTTCTCAAGTTAGCTCAGATGTGCCACACTTGCATTGCCAGATTGGTGGACAGAAATACTACGGAAATTATTCGACGGTTGAGCGATTAGGCGCCACAAAGTGGCGCCATATTACCACCGCAGCCTAAGATGAAAAGGCGGAGAAAAGCATCCAGACTCGCGTGCATTGGTGACATCATGAGTAATCAGGGCCCCCGCTATTGGCCAACGCGCAGCTGCCATGTGTACGGGGAGCTCTTCACTTCCACCGCTATATACAATACAACCGTTAATGAAGCCGTTACGGATCTTACGGCCTCTCCGTACTACACTCAAGTTTCACTTTAGCCCAACCAGCCGTCTACAAAGAGCTTCATTCATATCAACGACCGCAGCAATGGCCCAGGAGTTCAAGCTCAAGGATGTCACATCCCTACAGATGAAGAATGGGGAGAAGAAGGAGGTCGAAGTCGAAGGCGTTGAGGGCGGAAAGGTACTGCTGCTGAAGGTCCAAGATCAGGTTCATGCTACAAGCTCAAATTGCACACATTACGGGGCTCCCCTTGTCAAAGGTGTATTGACACCAGAGGGTCGATTAACCTGCCCATGGCACGGAGGTACGCGACACCTGCTCTGCAAGCCAAAGGATTTGACTAAAACAACACAGCTTGCTTCAATGTCTCGACCGGAGATGTTGAAGACGCACCTGCTCTCGATCCCATCGCGAAGTACGAAGTAGTCGAGAAGGATGGCGCCGTATATGTCAAGACGACACAAGAGGCGCTCAAGGCCAACCGGAAGTTCCTGAATATCAAGTGTTCATCAGTGAGCGAAGACAAGGTGCTCGTCATTGGAGGTGGTTCCGGTACGCTTGGTGCAATTGAGGGTCTACGAGGCGGTGGATACACTGGCAAGATTACCGTAATCTCCAAGGAGGGGTACCAGCCCATTGATCGAACCAAACTGTCCAAAGCCTTGCTGGCCGATATATCGAAAGCGGCGTGGAGGCAAAAGGAGTTCTACATGGACGCCTCTATTGACATCATCGAAGACGAGGCCAAGAGCATCGACTTCTCTGGCAAAACGGTATCGACCAAGTCAGGAAAAGAATACGACTACTCAAAGCTGGTCCTGGCAACAGGCGGCACGCCCAGATGGCTCCCTCTTGACGGGCTAAAAGGTGACCTGGGCAACGTCTTCCTCCTCCGCACTCTACCCGACGCACAAAACATTCTCAAGGCTGTTGGAGATAATGGAAAGAAAGTGGTTGTCGTCGGCAGCTCTTTTATCGGTATGGAGGTCGGTAATTGCCTTGCGAGCATGAAGAACGATGTGACTATCATCGGCATGGAAGAGGGTAAGTTGTGCACATGCCTTGGGTGAAGCAGTATTGACAATATCACAGAACCAATGGAGCGGGTGATGGGTAAGAAGGTCGGTGCTATCTTCCGAGGTCTGCTCGAGAAGAACGGCGTCAAATTCCAGATGAGCGCAAGTGTCGATAAGGCGACGCCATCAAAGGACGACTCATCAAAGGTTGGTGGTGTGCACCTGAAAGACGGCACTGTATTAGAGGCCGACCTTGTTATTGAGGGCGTTGGTGTTGCGCCCGCGACAGAGTACCTCAAGGGCAACTCGAGTGTGACTCTGGAGAAGGACGGATCACTGAAGACGGATGAGTCGTTCGCAGTCAATGGGCTAAAGGACGTGTATGCCATTGGCGACATTGCAACATACCCCTATCACGGCCCTGGCGGCGATGGGTCACCAGTCCGGATAGAGCACTGGAACGTTGCGCAGAACGCCGGACGTTCAGTGGCTCACACGATCAATAACCCGGGATCCAAGCCGAAGCCCTTTATCCCGGTCTTTTGGTCAGCCCTTGGATCGCAGTTGCGGTACTGTGGTAACACGGTGGGTGGCTACGATGACGTGATGCTCCAAGGCGAGCCAGATAAAGCATCATTCGTCGCCTACTACACAAAGGGAGAGACGGTTGTTGCGGTTGCCAGTATGATGAAGGATCCCTACATGACTCAGGTATGTTCCCAGCCAAGTTTAGATGTTTCGGGCGCTAACAGTATCCCAGGCGGCCGAGCTCATGAGGAGGAAGGTGATGGCGAGCAAGAGTGAATTGCAAAAGGGAGTTGATATCATGGAGATTGGGCTTCCTAACGAGATTAAAATGTAAAGCAGTCCAGGCCGAGTAGGCGGTGTAGAGGAAACTCAATGCGAAGCAAATGTAGATATGCGCAAACGAGAGACTGTGAGGCTATCCATGCAAAGGGAGGTCATGGCAGATGATGGCGGGGGTGGAGGATGTGTGGCATGGCGGCCGAGTAAGATGAAGGAAGCGATAGTAGTATTTACAGACGGTGTGACGTCAATCAGCTCGTGTTGTACAGGCTCGGCATGGAAGGTTGGGATGGCGCAAGTCTCGTAACGGTGCTCGGGAGGGTGGGTCCAGTGTTGCACGCGGGCGCCAGGTAATTTCCGAAGACGGGCCTAAGGCTTTAGGGCAGTCCCAAAGCAGATATTTGTACACACACTAGACGGCACGAGAAACCTCGTTCTCCCTGCATGCCATCTGTGCGTTTGGGAGAAGTCGAAACGTGGACAGGTGAGGGGGGGGAGAAACACAAAATACAAGAGACACATGCAGGGCACGTATGTCCGTCTCCCTTGCCGCGTCGGCTGACAGCGGACCAAGTATTGTCTTGTGGTCGTTTGGGCGTCTCGATGCCCTACTGTACAGTACCTTTGAGACTCTTGTGCCAGACGGCATCATGGACAGATGACGCCCAGGGGAAACCATGTGTGCTAGACGCTGCGCATGGCGTCTTGACGGCGGGCGAGGCCTTGGTACAGTGCTGGTGTTGTTGATAATGTTGATGTTTTTGCATGTTGCATGTTGCATGTTGCATGTTGCTTTTACGCGTCCGTGGTACGGGGCCTGCATCGAGGATAGGCGCACAGCATCCAACTATGTAAGTATATCGAGGGCACAGCGTTCTGCTTTCTGCAGGCCAGCCAGTTCGCGCCTGCGCCTGCGCCTGCGCCTACGCCTACGCCTGGCAAGGAGAGCATAACGGGCAATTTACGCGTGCCGGGTCGGTGCTGTGTGAAACAAGCAGTCATCCCTGCTACGCCTGTTTGGGCGCTGCTTGCCGTGTGGACAGTGGACATGTAGCCGCCTGATTGAAGGGCGGGCGCGTCGAGAGAGAGGTGTCGCTGCGTCGTTGCAGAGTGGGCGCAACGTGCAATCTGACGGGCAGAGAGTCGCAGTCGCGCGTCTTGGATTCCGCATTTCGCATCTAGCAGACCAGCACCAGCATTTGGCTAGCTAACTAGTAAGTAGCGACGACGTCGATGCTTTGGCGGGCTGGTATTGTGCCGGGCCCTGGTCAATGATGTGCATCTGCATCTGCCTCCTTTCCCAAGCCACAGCCTTTACCGAAATTACCATACAGTCCAACCTCAGCCGCGCCTTCTCTCCTCTCCACTCACGTCAACCCAACACGTCCAGCAGTCTTTCGCCGCGCCCGTTAGATAGCCGACGCGCGCTGTCGACACAGTGCAGCACGTCGACGTCAACCTCTGCGCCGGCAAGCCTAGCAGTAGCGGAGAGCATCGCAGCCGCAGCCGCAGCCCCAAGGCCTCTTGTCTTGTGCCCGACCAACAAGACGGAACGTGCATGTGCATGTCCCCAGGCCTTGTATGTAACTCGATCCTCCCAAGACCGTCTCAGTCTTGCCCTCGGCCCACACGGCTTCGCAAAAAGCGCCGATTACTTGAACGCGTGCGCGCGCAGTCGATGCATCAGTCGAGAGTCGGCGGGAACTAGAGCGCCCTCACATCCCCGCCATCGCCCATTCGACAACTCAACACCGCCAGTTCGAAGCAACTGCCAGCGCAACCTGGGCCCGATAACGTAGCCTACCAGTCGGTCTGCTGCTGCACTTTCCATTTCCCCAACACTCCAAACCACTTTTTTCCTCGACACCATGGCCGCCGTGGCATCGCAGCCACCCCATGGTCAGCAGTACTATCAACAACAGCCGCCCCAAGCACAACCCTCCGCAAACGCCCGCCGTCATTCGCGTCGCCCCAGTAATGGCGCGTCGGCCAGCACGCCAACCACGCCGCAGAATCACAACTCGCCCGCTGTCTCCAACACGTCGAACATGACGACGCCGAACAACACTGCGACTGCCTCGGCCGCCAGCGGCCCCATGCCGCCGCCCAGGACGTCGTCACACGGCACCCCATCGTCTGGCGCCCCTACAGGAAGCTCTGTACCGGCCGACCGCATACGCGACGAGTCATCACAGTCACGCCGACGAACCAAGGAGGGCAGCCCCCGCCAGCAGGGCGCCTCCAGCAGGTCGCAGCCATCCCACAGTCGTTCCGCCTCGGCAATTGGCCAGACGCCCGTTGGAACAAACCTTCCCCGCGAGGAAAGCGCCGTCATTAACCGCATAGTTGTTTCAGACACACAGGAAGACATTGCCCGCGCACAAGCACGCCAAGGAGACGGCGTCCATGTCACGTCTGGCGCCGACCTCACTCCCATCACCGGCCTCAGCCTGGTTGGCAGCGAGGGCGTCGACGACGGCGGTCGCGGCGCTGGAGGAAAGAGCAGACAGGACCACTCCAAGTCGGAAAATGCGAAGCGATCCAAGTTTGGCAACTACATTCTCGGCCAGACGCTCGGTGAGGGCGAGTTTGGCAAGGTCAAGATGGGCTGGAAGCGAGACAGCCCCATCGAGGTTGCTATCAAGCTGATACGACGGGAAACACTCGGAAGCAACTCAAACCGGTTGCAGAAGATTTACCGCGAGATTCACATCCTACGAGGCTTGGACCACCCCAACATTGTGCGTCTGCACGAGATGGTGGAGACGGAGCGCCACATTGGCATTATTCTAGAGTATGCTTCAGGTGGAGAATTGTTCGACTACATCCTCAACCATCGTTATCTCAAGGACGGCCCCGCGCGCAAGCTATTTTCTCAGCTCATCTCAGGTGTTGGATACCTCCACCGCAAAGGCATTGTGCACAGAGATCTCAAGCTTGAGAATCTGTTGCTCGACCGCAACAAGAACATTATCATCACCGATTTTGGTTTCGCCAACACCTTCGATCCCAACGACGAGCTCAGCGAAGAGATCGAGTACAGGCTAGGTGACAAGGACTACATCAGGTCACTAGGATTGGAAGGAACCGACGCCGCACGACGGGGCGACCTCATGCAGACAAGCTGCGGAAGTCCATGTTATGCCGCACCCGAGTTGGTTGTCAGTGATTCACTCTACACCGGCCGAAAGGTCGATGTCTGGAGTTGTGGTGTCATTCTGGTATGTCTACCTACCTACCTACCTACCTACCTACCTACTCCTCTGCGCACACTCACTAACACACTGCAGTACGCCATGTTGGCTGGCTATCTTCCCTTCGATGACGACCCAGCGAACCCGGAGGGCGACAATATCAATCTGCTTTACAAGTACATTGTTTCCACGCCTTTGACGTTTCCCGAATACGTTACACCACACGCTCGGGATCTTCTCAAACGCATCCTTGTACCCGACCCACGCAAACGAGCGGATCTGTTCGAGGTAGCGCGTCATAGCTGGCTTGCGGACTACTCGCATGTTGTTGGATTCATTACCTCGAGCAACACCAATGTGGCAGAAGCCCAGCAAGCTTCTGTGTACTCGAGTAAGCATTCACCAGATCATGGGAACACGGATGCTCTTACTAAACCCGTTGCAGAAGACACATTCGAGCCACAGCCCGCACTCGCAAGGAGTGCTTCGGTTCGCGAACCCGCAAAGCCACACACATCTGCCTCTCCTGCTCACGGCGGGCTGCAGACGAAGCGCGAGGCTATCAACCAGGCCCCTTCAGAAAAGCCAAAGACTACTCGCGACACGAAGCGCCGGACGGTCCAAGTCGAATATGTTGCACCGTCGTCCCAAACCACACGTGGCGAGACATTACCCCCCGCCGAACCGACGTCGAAAGCACGCGGCAAAGAACCAGAAGTGCCACACACCGATGGCTATCAATCCGCTTCAAGCGCCAGACCTCCCCGATCTTCAGGCGCGACTTACACGTCAACCAGGAGACAGGAGCCTCAACGGTCTGTTTCCGACTACACGGCATTTGGTAGTGCGCCCCCATCTGCTACTCGCCCCTCGACGAGTGGCGCTCTGGGTCCCTCAAGATTACCATCCCGAGGAAACTCGTACGGACAGCCGTCTGTGGCCACCGTGGCTCAGACGAACGCTGAAGGACGCTTCTCGCAGCCCAAGGGCAAGCAATACTCCATCTCGGCACCGTACGCACAACAAGAGCCTTCCGAGGCTGCAGAGCCACCTACTATTGGCCCGTCCAACTCTCAACGAGTGCAGTCCATGCAACTTGGGCCACAGGGCGCAAAGATTTCTCACAGACGGTCCAACACTATCAACGAGACCCTTGGTCGTATGACGTCCATGTTCTCGGGTCGTCAGCCTTCCTACACTCAGGATCCCAAGGAATCCTTTACATCGCAGGGCTCATACGGTTACCCTGAGGAGAAGAAGCAAAAAAGCTACCCTCCTACTTCCATGGCAGGGCCCATGTCCAACGACAATGTCGCAATGGCGGCCCCCAGGCAGAGCACCGAATCAAGCCGCCGAACTTCGTTTGGATTCTCTCGGAAGAACACGAACGCTGGTGACAACCCCAAGTCTTCTCGTCGTTTCTCACTTCTTCCGTCTTCGCTTTCCAGGACATTCTCGTCTCAAAGAGAAAGCTTGCCAGCGCAGCCTTCTCATGAGCGCCGCGGTTCCAGCACTCATCCTCGCGCTAGTTCGCGTCCTGGCGGTATGCCTTTTGGCCGCAGTGCGGAATCCAGGTCTCCTAGTCAGAGCACCCAAGGAAGCAACATGCCCGGCTTCTACGATGGCCAGCACGACAGCAACTCGAGGATCAGGAACCAACATGTCAATGCTGCCGGGCCATCTTCCGCGCCTCCAAACCAGACCCAATTCAAGGGCTACAACACTTCAGCGCCCGAATTCGATGAAAAGTTTCCCAACCCCCGAGAAGCGCATCCATCTGCGCAAGGAAACCGACCATACCGCCACCCCACCGACGACTCGGAGATGGGTGAAAATGCCACAGCTGGACAAATGTCACAATCTCAGCAGTCCAGCCAAAGGACACCCTCGAACCCCTACCCTCATGGTATGGGAGGCGAGGAGCTCAGCCAGCAACAACAGAGAAAGGGCGTTCTCCAGAAGAGCAGACGCTTTGCTGATGCATATGATGATCAAGGCAGCAGTAACAAGGGAAGCTCTGGTAGCTCTAAGAAGGTTATGGATTTCTTTAGGCGCATGGGCAAGCAAAGGACAAGCAGCCGATAACGCATCCGGCGTTTTGGAGAAGAATAGTTTTGGCAATTGCAGCGCAAAGGGCGAGGTTGCTGATGTGTTGGATCATCGTTTGCGATACAGGTCGCGAACGAGATAAACGTGTGCATGGTGTTTTAGAGCGTTCAAGGCGCATGGAGGGGGCTGTTTTTTCTTCTTCTTTTCTTCTTCGACCTTTTTCTTCATCTCTCTCTCGTCTCGTGTTCGCTGGATACCATATATTCAAGCACATGCATGCGGCCCTTGTCTCGTAACTCTTTTCTTTTCACACAAACTCTTTCTTTATTCTGCTCCGCTTCTCTCTCTCTCTCCCATGACCAGCAGCAGCAGCGTGGCGATGCTGAGGTAATATTGCATTAGCAGGCGTTGTCTATTTTGAACAAGGGCACAAGCTTGAGTGTGGGTTTCTTGTGCCTTGTAATCTTTTACCTCCCTCCCTCTCTCCTCCTCTCTCCTCTTGTTTCCGGGGAGATTTAACTGGGGAACCTTAGCTCCTCTTTAGTCTAGCTAGTAGTAGTGTAGTGTAGTGTATACAAGGATGAGTGGTCGGTGAATGGACATGTTTTGGTCGAGGGACTGATTTTGTGATGATTCTTGTCATTGCACAACGTGATATCTACTGCTTGGTTTATGTGTAGCGAAATTACAGCATGTTCTTATGGTTTTGCTGATGAAGGATTTACATAAAGAATATGCAGGGGATGATTGAATATTATCATCGTGATATGCGGCCTTGTTGTCCATCAAAGTGTTACACTTGGAACAATGAAGGAATTATTCCGTGTCTTCGCTGTTGATAACCATCGCCAAGCCTAGAGATGCGTTGAAGTAACATGAATAAGAATGACATGTTACCATTTTCAATTTACATTCTATTATCTTACGACATAAAAATAAATAAATGTACCGTCATGAACACGTAGTTGGAAAGCATGTCAATATCATGAAAGAATTACATCACGGCGTTGATAATCCTGTAGGTTAGAAACATGACAGCAACACATATTTCGACAGCAACACATGATGAAAAGATTGAATAAACGCATCGCACAAACTCTACACTATACCACCTTACTACATCTATACCCCGAGATAATCGCAAGATAATCCCCCCTTTCCCAAACAAGTTGACGCAAAAACCCAACCCCCTATATCCAGTCTAAAATGCCCGAAGCAAATCGCCCAACTGACCCATCGTACCACAGCCAAGGATTTATGAAGGAGGCAACTGACCACCCTCCTTAGTCTGACCAACCGGCAGCATAGGCTTCGTGCCACCACCCGAGTTCAAGAAGCTGAGGTAGCAGTTCCAACCCAGCGAAATGATATTCACCACCAACACCCTCATCTCCGCAGGCACGTACTTGAAGTTTGTAAACTGGACCCACGGCCACACCATCAGGTTCTTCTGGTATCCGGGTATAAACGCGTCTTTCAAGCGCTGCACGGGCGAGTTGCCCTCCATGTAGGCCATGGTGGACAGGAAGAGCGTCATGTTGACTGGGGCGAAGAGGAATTGATCGCAGGCGACGCGGGCAACGATGGTGCCGTTTTTCGACGGGAGATTGACGCGGCGGACGAGGAATTCAAACCATTTGGTTGCTGCGGGGCCGAAGATGACTGCAATATTACGTTAGAAAGGGGGTGTAAAAAAGGGGGTGAGTGAGATGCGCTTGGGAAGAGGGCGGTGAAGGGGAAGATTTGGGGGGGAAATGCAGTACCTCCGCCGTATGCGGCCATGCGACCTGTTCTCATGAGATCTTGGTTGGCAAACCCGCGCCTCTCTACTCCTTGTTGGGCCATTGTGTCGCCTGTCGCGAAGAGTACCTGTTGCGTGTCAGTCTCCTATCCTCGACAATGCTTCCTCAAACATCTGGTGCAGGCTTATCGGTCCGCCCACACTGCAATTGAGTCGCGTCGCGAAACGAACGGTCGAGGAGAAGAAACCGAAGGCATGCATACCGCGGTAGTGATACTTTGCGTCATTAAAGGCGCTGTTCGGAGCTTTGCTTGGTACCTGTCGCTTTATCAGTTCCAATTCGACACGCTCTTCTCATACACATGCTACGCACCAACGGAACGCCATTTTGCAATTGATAAAAAGCTGATGGCTTGAAAGGGTGGAAAGATGGATAAATATATATAGTTGAGGGTGATGCACACCGCCAGAGTCAAGAGTGGAGATGTAAGTGAAAAACAAAGTTCGATATTGTGGAAAGAATGTTTGGAGAGCTTGCGGGACCGATGATGTCGGTAGTGCAGCAGGGTCCACGCACCAGGGTTGGGGGCTTAGCGTTGACCCCTTGGTCCCCACCCACAGTCTCGATCGTGAACAAACTTTATGCAAAGCCGTCACAGTCGCGTGCGACAAAGTGCAGGCCTCCTCATGGACCACGTGGACACGATGTAATTTCAGACACGAGCATATTCTAAACGGAATTCGATTTCGCGCTCGCTTTGTTCATGGTGGGGTATAATATGAACAGACAACTGGTTACAAAAAGACCGAAGATGGGTGTACAGGTGGTCGTGGAATGAAGATGAAGGAAAAAAGTGCAGTCATGGTATAACCCGCTGTGTCTGCTGTGACATGGAACCCGAACCAAACCCACTGCTTTTCGAGTTGTCCGCAGAAAGCCCCAAAAGTATGCCTAGAAGAATGAACGCCAGCCCTGCTGATTTCACCCGGGTATGATCAGATCTATGCTCGCAGAACGCAGGTATCCAAGAAGTCATGTCGTAAATTTTGCGTAAATTGGGAATGTGGAAAGGCGACTAGTCAATCTCCATCCGTTGTGATGGCGCTGGCCCGCTCAATGACGGCATCTCGGTGGCGTATGCCTTGTCGCTGTGGACGATCTTGTCGTCGTTTACATGGGGCTTCAGACCCTTGTTGAAGTTGTGGGTGCACAGGCATGCAGTGACAATGGTCAAGACGAGGAGTAGGATGGTGAGGATGGCAAAGGCAGTCAACGACTTGCGGGCGGGTTTGTAGTCCTCCTGGCGATGGGCGTCGGCGACGTACATGCGGATGAGCTTGAAGAGGAAGTAGCCCAGTGATAAGAAATAGATGATGATGATGCCAATCATTCCGGCAACAGACTCGCGGCGGACCCACCAGGCGGCGAGGAACAGGAGGAAAAATGTGATGCCCAGGGCCGCTGCGGTAAGGGCCAATTCGACTGTCTTTGTGTTCTTTACGACGACAAGGAACTGGACAGTAAAGGCAAGGAAAAAGAAGAAATCGAACTTGAGAAGAGCAATGTAAATCTAAGCTGGTTAGTAGGGCAGCGATGAGTAGGACGTGTGTAAACCGTACCTGGTAAGTCAGATAGCGCCTCTTCAGGCGGGTGTCGGCACTAATGCGCTTGTAGATGGTCCATGCAAATTCGTCATAGAGCTTCCAGGCCTCAAAAGCAAAGAGAACGGTCGCAACGGCCATGAGCACAGGCAGCGCGATCAACATGGGCTTTACATCTTTCCAGAAGAAGCGAGGGATAAAGGCGCTGTTGTTGAGGTCGTCGGCCGCGTCTCTGATCTGGTCGAATTGAATGCCGGCATAGACGAGAATGCCGATGTTGTAGATGACAATGCCAATGACCTGAATGGTGTTCTTGAGACGCAGGGCATCCCACACGAGTACCAGCTGGTAGATGTAGCCGAACATGAAGACGGCAAGAAAGGTGGGAATGGTGCGGGTTTCGCTTGCTCCTGCACCCTCTGCGGCAAAGTGTATTTGTCCCTGGAATTTACCAAAGACATATCTGAAGTCTGTTAGTCAGGTGCGACATTTGAGGTAGCAGTCTTGGCACACGTACGATTCTAGGGCGAGACCGACGGCGACCTGGAAGATGGCCGTGAGCATAAAAGCCCAGGTCCAGCGCGTGTTGGGGATATACATCCTGGGAGGACGTCGGACTGGTGGCGGCAAGGTGGTAGGAAAGCCTTCGCGATGGTGATACCCGCCGGGCTGGGTGTCGACGGCGGGATTCACTGGGTAGGGGGACTGATAAGCCGTGTTTGCGTATTGGGGGTAGTTGCGATTGAGCGGTTGGCCTCCTAGGAGGGATGCGCGTGCCTCGTGTGGTGAAATTTTGGCTATGATGGCAGCCGCGAGCGGCGGCTGAAGCGTGGGGATATGGATATAGCGAAGGTTTGGTGGAGTGAGCTTGGTTTTGGGGCTGGGCAGTGTGCGACCAGTGGGTGTCACGACAAAGCGGTTTGCAGAGCAGCCGGGATCAAGGTGAGACGATGGATGCGCGCTTCAAAAAGGACTGAAACCCGGCACGTCGTTTTGATCGGGGATGTCTGGACACTTGTTGAAAGGGCGCGCGGCTCTGAAACTAGGGACGGCTTGGCTGGTGCGGAGAGGCCGATGATGCAGCTGGGCGTGGGCGGAAGAGCGAACGGCGGCGGGATAGTGGTCGCGGGTGCAATGTGGGGGGTTAGTAGTGAGTGAGCGAGCGAGCGACGATTCAGAAAGAGGGCAGTGTTTTGGAGGAGAGAAGACTTTAGGCGCAGTTTGATGGTAGCGGTAGTGTGGTGGATGGTAGCGCTGGTTGCCGGTCAGCCCCCCCCCCCCCCAGGCCCTTGTCTTGTGCCTTGTGGGGACGACAGCTGGGAAGGCTCTGGGCTGAAGGTGGAAGGGGGCCGTCGCCGTGGGACCCGCTCGCTGCTCCGTGTTTACACGCTACAAGTGCAAGCATAGAGAGAAAGCTATAGGAGCTGACAGCAAACGCGTTGTGCGATATTGCTTGCACTTGCTTACGCGCAACATGTCCATGCTCAAATCCGCTTCACGGCAGACGGCCTCCCCGTGCCTGCAGCGGCGCAGCCTGGGAAAGACTGCGCCCCCCCACAAGCCTCTGTCCATCAGCCGGCACGCAAGTTCGCCTTAGTGGTCAGATGCTCGCAAGCCACACTTGATATGCGGCTGCGGCTGCCTCTCATCATTCATCATCTTATGTGGCGCAGCTTCGGTCGCGCTGCGGAGCCCCAAGCAACGACTGACCGACCGTCATCTTGGGCCTTCAACTGCCTGTCACCCAACGAGGAAGCCGACCAATAGCACCACAGTTGGGCATATTTGAGGGACGCGCAGCACAGAGCAGCCCCGTTCAACGTCCACACCACACAGGTAGACCTGACATCCCGCCGTCCGCCCACGGTCGCGCTATCGTCGCGCACTCAGCCAGAAGCCAACGCGCCCCGGCCATGGCGTCTGGTAAGTCAATGGATCACTCACGTTCATGCACGAACTGACTGACACGTCCCGGCAGCAGAGTCCATCCTTGCCACGGCTGCCGAGCATGGCTCGCTCGACTCGTACGTGCTCACCCGCAACAGACATGCCGGCACAGCTAACACGCCTCACTACAGCGCAGACTGGCCCCGGACCCTCGAATACATGCTTGACCGCCTAGATGAGGTACCGGTATATGATTCAATGCACCAACCCACGTCTAACCCCACGCCCTAGATTGTTGCCGACTTTCCCAAGCCGCCCGCTGATTTCAACCCCAACCCGAGCCCCACGCAGCAGACTACCGACCTCCCCTCACGCCCAAATACGTCCAATGCCCTGTCGAGTCAAGACTCACATGTCACTGACAAAGAAAACGCCCCGCCTGCCACTCCACCGCGTCCACCCGTGCCTTCCTTCTCTGCCGCAACCGAGTCACAGAAAGTCCCACAGGAGATTACCACCTTCTACGCGTCCATACGGGCCACGCTCTCCAAGAACTTTGCCAAACACCCGCCACACACCATCCAGAGACTAGCCGAACTCGTGCTGGAGCCCAAGAAACGCTACCAATACCTCCCACCCTACCTTCGCGCTCTCGACCGTGTCGTGTCCGTCTCTTCCCCCCTCACCGTCTTTCCTCTTCCGCAAGCTGTACTGCCTACGGCTGGCGGGCTGCTCAATGGCACAGCATCCACCACTCCCCAGACGGTACCGCTGGGCTCTGACGAATCCTTAGGCGGCGCTCTGCTTACACCAATTCCATGGCTGCAGAACCGAGGTCAGAATGAGCTGATATCAGAAAGCACAGAGATGGTCGACGGGCCGAATGGTGCAGGCAGGATTGAGACTGTGACCGTGGGCATGCTGAGCGGTGGCCAGCGGCCCGAGTCTCCCACTTCGGTCGCCCAGATTGCTTCGTCGCATCCCGACGGTGAAACCCTTCCCTCTACCGGACCAGTCACCCAGGGTGAGCTCTTACGCCAGGAACAAGAAGCTGGAATTGTGCTCAACAATCCACACACCATGACAACTAGCCCGACAAGGACAACATTCGGCGAGATTGAAGGTGCAAGTAAAATCATGGAAACAATCGAGGGAGAGGAAGAAGTGCCCCATGCGCGCGGTCCCGAGATCATAGGCATGGAAGACACAGGTCCGCAAAAGCAAGGCAAGTTGAACATTGAAGGCGCCATCGGCAGGCCGAGTCTCCACAAGAGCCCGGAGCCTGTAGAACCAGCAGAGACGGATGCCAAGGACCAGGCGACCAAGGAAGGAGCATCCGGGAAAGTCGATGAGGCAACTAAGAAGGCGAAAGAGGGACAAGACGTGGAGATGAAGTCGGATGATTAGGCACATCCGTACTCTTCTCACTATCGAGCACACGTCATCTCAAACGCAGACGGAGCTAACATTCTGAGCATGCTGAAGGATTACATGCGTTCTTAGTGACGTCCGTCCTATTGCCGTACCACCCAGCCAACCTCGGGGCGCCTGTGTACAGATGCACAGCTTGCCATCAAGTACAATATACTTGACTGCGAATGGCATCATTACGGCGAACATGTTCTTCATACAGAGACGCCCGTGGAACATCATGTCCATGCCGCAGGAGCATGTAACTAGCTCAGTAAAACATGACTGCAAGAAAAAGGCCACGATCCAAGCTGCCCACGGTAATTGTTACCGACATCTTGATCGGGCATATCAAATAGAGCAATTAACACCAAATCTCTCGCCTAATTTGTCTATGGACTTTGCATATTGATACCTATATGTCGCTGAATCTGTCAACGGGCGCCCTCTGCCCGCTCCCATCACATATGCAACCCGCTGATCAAACCCAACATCTCACGATCTCCGCGAGCCGTATTGTAATCCACCAGTTTGATCGTCGCGCAACTGGGCATCTTCAGTCAGATCAGCCCGTTCACGGCTGTCGGGACGAGGCGAAACACGTCGTTGTCACAGCCTCCAGACTCTGGTTTCATATCGCTGCCCATGGTCTTTTGTGAACACGCAGGCAACAGCATGAACTCTCGTCACATGCGGCTGCATGAATTCGAGTTGATCTCATGGGGTTTGATTGCTCCGTCGGAACATCTGCGGGATTCGCGCAATGTTATGTGATTGGCACGTGACAAAGGTACGTAGTGAATTATGCACACCCGATGACGGGCCATACGGCTTCAATGACATGTCGCTGTCATCCGATGTATGGCTCGTCACCTTTGGACCTGAAGTTTCTTGTATCAAACTCCCATCTGAACCACTCTAGGTTTTGACAACAGTGTTAAGCCACGCCTGATTCGGTTCGTGGAAAGGTCCAAACAAGCGACCTTCCTAATCCCGGGTCCGAGGTATGCACCTGCCATTTTCGCCTACTTTTGGTTTGGTCTCAAGTACCTAGGGCCACCGCGCATTCACATCGGCCAAGTCAAGATCGCCTTCCTTCAGTATATGTAAAATCTCTCAAAACCAAACACGCTAGGTGTCATTGGCTATTTATGCCCCCGAGTATTCCAATGAGGGAAGTGCACGGGTTTTGTTTTACCGCAACGGGTTAGTCTGGCCCGAGAAGGTAAATGAAATGTTTCCGCAGGAAGGTCCAACGAAAGAACGTAAGCAAACGAAAAAAAAAGGGAAAAACAAAAGAGATACGAACCGCTAGAATCGAGAACTGGTGATTCCCATGTTTGCATAAATGACTGGCTGGCAGCGAAACATGGTGGATCTCAGTAAAACACTGACATGTAAGAAACACACTGCATCTCGTTCATGCCATGGATGAACGTTTCTGCTCCAGTCCATCGATACATCGTCTTTTCAACTTCCCTCCTCACCTAATCTATCTTCTTCCACCAAAGGAAGCCTCTGTTGCCACCTCCCCTCTCACTCCCAATCCTCAGATACTTCACCACCTTGCCCTCCTCCATGCGGTCTATAACCGTATAATTCCTGCGCTGCCTGTCTCCAACCATTGTCGGTACGTTCGCTACAGTCAATGGCCCATGGAAGACCTGTCCACTTGTCCCATTGGCCGGTAGTTCCATGTTGACGCTCAAAGGACCTGCATAGCCGATGCTGTGTCTGCCGACCTGCGCCCACTGGGCATCCGTCTCGTTTGGTTTGAAGGGAAAACTGACGTTGGGCCTGAACTCAGGCTCTGTAGCGGTGATTGTAGCGCTCATGAAGCCAGCGGCAGTGTAGATGAGGAGGCCGACGGGGTTTTTGCCATATGTCGAGTCTGGAACGGGGACATTGTTGAAAGTGGAGGAGGTGTTCATAAGAGAGTATGTTCCAGCCAAGGTAGCGAGAATGGTGCTTTCTTGGCTCGACTGCTTGGCAGCAGCAGAGCATGATACGGCTGAGGCCAGAGAGGTTAGGGCGACGATGGGCGTGGTCATGTGCATGGTAGCGAGATGGTGTGGAGTTACAAAGACCCGTTATTAAAAGAGGAGATTATGTGTAGCGTCTGATCTGGGTCTATACGGACCAGCAGCCTCACCTCTTTATACACTCAACGTTGCTGTTGCCAGGACGGCCATCACTGCGCATTTGGGATAGGCCTCGTGGCAAGGCTGTAGGGCATAAAGTCTATATCTCCGATATGGAGCCGTTGAGGCTTGCAGGCAGCCATTTGGTCCGAGGTGTTAGTAGCACTCGTGGGCAAATCGTGGATGGGTGGCCATTCGGTGGCCGTTTTAATCTTGCTGCGGCACCTGTCATAATACTCCGGCAAGGAAACACTGGTTTCCGACATTAGCGATAACCTTGCGGCTTACGATCACCGGGATAGTTGCCGCCTGAGGCTACCCTAACTTAAGCAACGAGCACATATTGTACGCTTGCGCCTCAAACTTCCTCTTGGTTTCAATCGGCGGTGTCTTGGTCGCTGCAATTCTCGGTTTGGCTTCGGTGCGCTCCAGGGCTGCTTTACAGACGCTACGACATGGGTGACATAAAAACATTGGCAGTGCGGGGAAGCACCTAATAGGCAGGTCTGGCGCCTACACTGGCCTCCTTACACTCGTATGTCAAGTATTTTATGTTACACAGGTAGCTACATATATTAGTTTGGTTTGCTTTTGCAACCTTATCGGCGCACTGTCACATCTTTAGGTTCCCCCACCGGCAGCCGATTGTCCGCAACATTCGCATTGGTATTATTCAACCATGGCTATTCCGCCCTGAAACTTCCGATTGGGTGTCTTGGAAATAAAAGCATTAAATATTACTGTGGTTTGGATAGATCTTCCTTTCGGAAACAACACTCCGTAATCCCAATAGAAGACCAACTTATTACATCGTGCACCCAGCATTATCACACCCATCTCGTAGAAAAGCATCTCATCGAGTCCTCCATCCACTAGTGTCGACAAACTCCCACCCTGCTCGCATAGTCCATTTCCCAGGCTGATGCCCTACTCTGAATCGACGTTTGAGCTTTTGTGGAGCTCCGTCATGAGTCTTTAGTGGAATAACCTGGCGAAAGGGGCGAGGCTTCTCTATCAAACCAGGCAGCAAGTCGAGAATATCATGGGTCTTGAGGTTTTCGGTCGTAAGTGTAAGATGGGTGATGCCAGTCGAGCGATAAGGCTGTAAAATGGCGTTCCTGGAGAGAGCTTCTACGTCTGCTTCGGTGCGGACGGAGACGGCGTTTTCAAAGCGGACGCCTACGTTTTTACAACGGCGCTTGCGCTTCGGCTGCAAGTTGTCGGCGTCGTCGTCGTCGTTGTCGTGGGATGTTGAAGCAGTGGATGTAACTTGAAAGTCATTTTGTTGATCGGGTTCAGTAGCCACCGTTGAGCTGGATCCATGACGCCGCTTTCGATCGCAGATTGCACCGGCACGCTCCATTCGACCCATGAACCCACCATCTGCGTTATCGTAGTATTCATGAAGCGCACTAGTCGCGCTGTACAGCTTTCTCAACCGGACATTCTCAAACCGAATGTCTCTGTCGGATGGACCCTGCTTCTCTTCCCAAGCCAGCTCCATTTCAGAGAGTGCCTCGAGTTCAATGACCAAGTTGGCCAACAACCGCTTCCTATGGCGGTAGCTGAAATCTGTTGTATCGCAATGGATGCGGCCGGACATCGTCATCCGGTATGTTTTATAATCATCTGTCCCATGGGTGGCAAGCTTCCATGCAAGTGAGCCGCCATTGGCAAAGGCGATGTCCTGATTGGTCTTTAGGCTTGACATGGCAGTCTCCACAAGACACATTGGACAGTTGGACTTGATGTAGCGGTCACGGTAGGCTGGGTGAGTAGGATGTCCACATAGCACGGGGGGAACTGGGCTTGGCGGCTCGTCCGACAGGCTATCTCGCTCCTGAGTCCGCTACTTCTTCGTCTCTAGGCTGGCTTGCTCCTTGTCCTCGGACGCTGTGGTGTCGTCCTCATGACGCTTTCGTTTGCCCAAAGTAGTAGAGCTCTTGGTCCATGAGGCGTGTACCCTTGCGATAATTTTCGCTATACTCAAGCTGGAGAGTGTGATTGATGAAGTCATGTTGGAAAAGTGGGCCTGAAAGGTGTTCAATTTAAATTGAAAATTCATTTTAAGGAACCTTGTGGTGTAGAGAGAACGTCGGTTTGGAGCAGGGTTGCAGTGGAGGGGTTGCGATAGAGATAGCGATGAGCAGAGGAAGTAAACTGTTTGTACAAACGGGTGCGTTGGTAAGGCTTTTGATAAGCTAGTGACTGACCCACGGAGAGGAATTTCGTGCTGAGTCGCGCGTGACATAGTCACTTGCACGTATTGTACTAAATCCTGCGATTACAGTGAAAGTGAAAGGCACAACCACCTCGCTTGCAAATCTCCAGGCCTGCGTAGACAACTTGCTCCGTGACAGGCTGAACTATACGACATCTCCAGGGCTTCTCTCTCTCTTTTCTGCTACTCGGTACCGCAAAACTGCGATCCTATTGGATAAAATGATTGTAATGAAGCGTCTATGAGGAGGAGAAGAGTCGGCTTACAGTGGCCGGTTAGTATTACCATCTGTTTGCTCCTACACATTCCGGCAATCACGCGGCGAAGCTGCCGTTCGTCGAGGATCACACACAGCGATGTCGTCAATAGAGACTAGTGAATATGCCTTATCAATAATGGTCAGATTCCAGGGTCTTCCGGTACTCCAAATGCTTATTGTTGTCATTGAATTCCCCCAAACTACCACGGGGCATCTCTAGACAATGGCCGACGCTTGCAACTACTACACATGTACTATCAAAAGGAAACTTCTACCATGCCGCCCAGAGCTTTTTGATAATCTATGACCGAATATTGAAAGGCAAACCGAGTAACATTATTCTATGCGACGCCCAACCGTAAACTTACAGCGCGACGGTGGGCCTCTAGTTCTTCGACACGCGCGAGCTCCATCACAGCTGCGCCCACATTTTCCAGACCTTGTCTAGTGAGATGGGAACTGGTGATGTGCTTGACATAAGATGCCAAGTTTACACCTGAGTATTGCTTTGCGTATCCGTATGTTGCTGCATTTTGTTAGCGAATTTCAAACTTGACGTATGGGTTGGCACTTACGCAACGCATGGTTGACACCGGCGGAGTAGTCACCAACACTTTCCGGTGTCCATTCGCCGATGAACACGCTTCCAGCATTCTCAACCATTTCTGCAACCTTCTCCGCCTCGTTGACTTGGAGGATAAGATGTTCTGGCGCGTACTGGTTGCTTAGCTCCATGGCTTCATCCATCGTGCTTACGGCGAGTGTAAGCGAGTGCTCGATCGCGCCGCGGACGATGTCCACGCGCGGTAGAGCAATTGCCTGTTTGTGTAACTCATCCTCGATTGCCCCGAGCTGGGATTCATTCAGTCCAACTGCGATCAAGATGACCTGAGAGTCCACGCCATGCTCGGCTTGACTGAGTAGATCCGATGCGACAAACGCGGGATTGGCAAATGCATCAGCAATCACAAGGACCTCACTGGGTCCCGCCGGCATGTCGATGCTTACTCCGGCATTTGTGTCGTTGGAAACGTGCATTTTAGCTGCTGTAACAAATTGGTTGCCAGGGCCCAAAATCTTATCAACCTTGGTCACGCTTTCAGTACCGTATGCCATGGCCGCAACAGCTTGTGCACCTCCAGCAAGTACGATAGACTCTGCGCCAACTTTATGAGCAACGTAGACGACTTCTGGGGTTACTTGACCGTTGGATCGTGGTGGCGTAGCCAGAACAATCTTCTTGCAGCCAGCAACCATGGCTGGCACACCAAGCATGAGCGCGGTGGAGGGAAGTACAGCTGTACCGCCAGGTATATACAAACCTACCCTTTCGATGGGTCGAGCAAAGCGCGAACATACAATTCCAGGCATAGTCTCCACCCTAAGTGGCTTGTCTTCTTTCTGCGCAGCGTGGAATTTACGAATGTTCTCAAACGAAACATCGATGGCTTTGGCGGTCTCAGGGGCCAGTTGCATAAGTTCTGGTGGGAAAGGTGCTCTCAAGACGGGCGAGGTCAACGATGTAGCTTTCTCAAACTTGTGCGTATACTCGAGTAACGCAGCATCTCCGCGCGTCCTGACAGCCTCGATTATGGGTCGGCATATACCCAGAATCTTTTCGGATGAACGTTGTGAAGGTCTTTGCAATGCAGCGCTGATGGTCTCTGGGCTCTCGTTTGCGGTTACGTATCGCCTCATAGTGATGCGGCCATTCTTTGTACCTGCCGGGTCGTCTTTGCTCTTGGGTACCGATGCAGCCTCCTTGACCATCTCCTTGGTACTTGAATCACTAGTAGTTCCCTGTGTTGTCGTTGCTGCCTGTGCGGCAAATGCGGGCTTTGCATCGCCCTGCCGCCTTTTGACCTTGATACTCTTCGCATCCAAGTTTCGCTCAACATCTTCTAATGATACACCAGCAGCTATGCATTTGGTCAGGGCAAAGTAGAAGAGATCAGCTGCTTCGAATGCAACGTCCTCTTTCGTGTTGGCGTCGCAGAGCTCGGTAGCCTCCTCTAGTATCTTTGCGCGCAAAAGCTGCTCATCATTGAAGAGGCGCGCAGTATACGAGCCTTCCGGGGCTGAGGCCTTGCGACTCTGCAGTGTCTTTTGCAGTTTTGACAAGCCACTGTACTCGCCGAAACATGTAGGTGTTGCCAGATGGCAAAAGCCTCTGCCTTGTTGTCGCACCACAAACTGAAGGCAATCGCTATCACAGTCGAGCGACAAAGATACCAGCTCCTGTACGTCGCCGCTGCTTTCGCCCTTGTACCACAATCCCCGCTTTCGACTCTGGTATACCCCACGTCCTGTTCTCAGACTTTCGGCGACACTCTCTTCACTGCTGTATACGAGTCCTAGCGCGATACCCCGCTCGTCAGTCACGAGTGTGGTAAAAAGGCCGTCGGGCCGGTCGCTCGTTGCGTTGGCCATGATGAGCTTCGCGACACTCAATGCGCCTCCTTGCTTCGAAGGGTCGATGGTGAGATTTTCAGCGGATACGATGGGGATTGCTGACAGTTTCGCTAGTCTTGATACAGTGTCCACATTAGGTTGCGCAAAGGAGACGAAGAATCCGGGGCGGTCTGTCCCATAGTCCTTCAGCCATGCCTCGACAAAATCAACATCCTGCACCTGGTGGGCGTAAATATCCACATGTGTCCCTGCTATAGCCTCTATGATTTCTTCCTTTGTGTTTCCAGGCAAGCATAGGACGATCCTGTCCTGGTCTATCTTCCGCACCTTGAGCTCGTCTAGTTGCTGGCGAGTAACGAAGACCTTAGCGGCGCCGGCATCGAGAAGTGAGAGAACATCGTCCATGGAGGTGATTGAAGTGACGCCTAGGTAGTTGGCAAAACGGCCTACCGATCGCTTCAGGTGATCAAGGGCCTGATCGATAGTCGCGTCCGTGACTTGGATAAAGACATTGCCGACGTATGATAATGCCTGCGCATCAAGACCCTGGGTAGATTGTGTGTACGTAGCCAGGTCAATTGCAGCCACCAGTGTCGGAGCCATGTTGTGTATTCGTGTTGTGACGACCTGGTATGATTAACGATTTCCCACCAAGTAGCAAAGGTGAGTTGTGAGTCGACAGTAGAAAAGTTCTAGACTAGCAGCTGCCAAATCGCGGGGCCTATTCCGATCTGCCCCTCTGATGACGCCACCACCATGGCCCCCCGACCCACCTCACGCCTCGAGCCTCAGCATATTGCTACTTGGCTGGCTTGTCGAGCTCATAGGAACCATTTTGATCAAGGGATCCAGTGGTACCTCTTATGCATGGCGTCCTTTGCTATAGATTGTAATAATCGCCCCGCCTTTCATTACTGGTCGAGTTTCTCCCTCAATCGTCAACTTGATGCTATCAATGCAGCAAATGCGCCAGGATATGCAAAGGTCTAGTCTAAGCTTGCAAATTAGCTCACTGGATTAATGATCATGAAGCGGAGTTTCTTTACATTTCAGATAGCCTTTACATACCTGCATACACCAGCTCGGCCATAACGATCCCTACCATCCGGTGCTTCCGGTACCGTTTGTCACAACACCACTCAAGTACTTCCAGCTACAGATAAAAAGCTCCATTTCCGAGTTCCAAATCACAGACTTACTCCTCTTCTCATACCTCGGATACGCGGCCGCTAAGTTAGCCTCTGTTGCAACCATGTCGTACTCCCCTCCAGCCTCAGCCAAGCCCTTTACGCTAAACATCTCGGACCAAGCAATCTCGGAATGGCGTCAACTACTCCAGCTCTCCAAGCTCGCACCCGATACTTTCGAAACTCAACAGGAGGACCGCCGCTTCGGTGTGACGCACAAATGGCTGTCCGAAACCAAGGACTACTGGCTGAACAAATACGACTGGCGGGCGCAAGAAAAGCACATCAACTCTGTGCCGCATTACAAGATGCAAATTGAATTTGTCCATCTGCACTTTACTGCTCTCTTTTCTGAAAACAAGGATGCCGTTCCCATTCTCTTCATGCATGGTTGGCCTGGAAGTTTCCTCGAGTTCCTGCCAATGCTGCAGTTGATCAAGACGAAGTACTCAACCAAACATCTTCCGTACCATATCATAGTACCTTCGCTACCCGGATTCACTCTTAGCACCATACAGTCCAACAGTGACTGGACCAATAAGGACACTGGCCGCATCTTGAACCAGCTGATGTTGACTCTTGGCTTCAACAAGTACCTCGTTCAAGGAGGAGATGTTGGTAGTTTCGTAGCACAGGTCATGAGCGCAACTTACGATGGTTGTGTTGGTATGCACCGTAAGACATTCTCCCTACCTCATATGCTGTAACGCTGAGATTCGTACTAGTCAACATGCTCCCTACGGCCGGCAAGCCAGACGAGAACACTCCTTTATCCAACTTGGAAAAGGAGGCATTAGCGCGGACCCAGGCGTGGGAGCCTCTTGGGATGGGCTATGCTATAGAGCACGGTTCGAGGCCGAGCACCATCGCCAATGTACTCTCTTCCAACCCGCTCGCAATTCTTGCATGGTAAAAGCCCTGCTACCTACTGAGAAACATCTGTGGTAACATTAATCAGGATCGGAGAGAAGTTTCTGGAATGGACGGACGAGGATCCCTCCATCGATGAAATTCTCACCAATGTTTCCCTTTACTGGTTTACCAACTGTATCACTCGATCCATTTATACATACCGCGAACTATTCAGGGGTGGCGTCGTCAACATAGATGAACCAGCCAAGTCTGACAAGCCATTGGGCATTTCCTGGTTCCAATTTGAATTCAGGCCGATTTTCGAGAGTGTTGCGGCAAAGAATCACAATTTGGTCTTTTACAAGCAACACGAGCGCGGTGGCCACTTTGCGGCTTTGGAACGTCCGAACGAGCTGTTTGAAGATGTTGAGGCGTTTGTTAGCAAGGCCTGGAAGGTATGAAATGGGTCTAGTTCCGAGTAGCTCTGCACGCGCAGCAAATGGCTGACGTGTCCAAGACATGGTCGTCTCATGAGCCCGCGAAGCTGTAGGGACATCCGATATACAGTACACAGGCGGCAAACAAGGGTAGCACGGATGCGATACTATAGCCAAGGACGTGCATAGGCAGATACCTAAGGAATAAAATATTATCCCGCTTTGACCACCCTAAACTAGCTTAACGTCCGTCAAATGCACCTCTAGGGCAATTCACACGACAACTGCATGGAACCCATAGACCCGCCTTTCATGGGCACGCTAAGCGGCGTTTCTCCACACATTGGGGTCGTTTCGCCGAAAATGACGCACTCCCGACCCCATGATATCCCCCGTTCCCCGACTGCGACCTCGAGTGGTCGGGGTCATTGCGAGGCGCCTGCATATGTGGTCCTCCTCCCCGCTTTCCTGAGTCCATCAATCTTAGTGGTTTGCCAGATGCGCACCATGACTTTTCGGCAGTTGCGTGCGGCCGAATTGATGCTCGACTGGCTCTAGCAACGAACTTTTTTGTATTCGCCTCGGTACATTTGCTTGTGCCCCAGTTTTTGGTGGCTTTTTGGCGTGGTTTGGCGCTGAGATCTAAGGCAGGTCCCCCGGTTTGTACTATTCATTTAACCGCGCTTGCGATGGACCATGATTGGGGTGCCAAAATGGTGCAAATAAAAGGAAGACTAAATCCGAGAACATGGTGACGAGCCAGTCTTGTTACTACTCACCATCAATCTACTGTCAAGATGAGACTCCGACAATCACTACAGACTGCACTGCTATGTGCGTCTTCTGCGCTCGCAGCTCCTCATGGACCAAGTTGCTCAGCACCAATTGGTTTCTCCAAGAAGTGTGCCGACTTCGCCTCTGATCTCGTTATTGAGGGTGGTGTTGTCAACGGTTCTTCCTTCGTTCCTGCTGGCACAAACTTCAGTGTACCCATATACGACCCAACATGCAACACTGGTCCGCCCCAATCAGTCCCCATCACAAGGGACATGTGCCGAATTGTGCTCGAGGTCTCGACTTCTGCGCGATCGGGCTTCAAGATGGAGGCGTGGCTTCCGACCAACTGGACTGGCCGGTTTCTCTCCGTTGGCAACGGTGGACTGAATGGCTGCATCTCTTTCGACGACATGGGCTACACAGCTGGCCTCGGGTTTGCCTCCGTTGGAACCAACAATGGCCACGACGGAGGCGGGGGTTTGCCGTTCTACAACAACGCCGATGTCGTAGAGGACTTTGCATATAGAGCGTAAGTAGCTAAAGATTCCACATGGAACTTGTCTAACCATTTCAGCCTACATACTGGTGTCGTAGTCGGAAAACAAATCACCCAGGACTTTTACGGCAAGCCACACGACAAGTCGTTTTATCTCGGCTGCTCAACAGGAGGACGACAGGGTTTCAAGTCCGCACAAGACTTTCCGGACGACTTTGATGGCATCATTGCTGGAGCGCCTGCTGTCGCTTTCAACAACCTCACTTCCTGGAGTGGACACTTCTACCCCATTACCGGTCCTTCGAATTCTTCAACGTTCATTCCGCTGCCATTATGGTCGGTTATTCACGACGATGTGATGAAGCAATGCGATGGACTTGATGGCCTTGTAGACGGCATCCTCGAAGATCCTTTGATGTGCCACTACGACCCATCAGGCCTGGTTTGTGCCGAAGGCAGCAACTCTTCCGCGTGCCTTACACCAACGCAAGTCCAGACCGTGAAGAAATTCTTCGCGCCACTAGTCAACGATCAAGGAGACCTGGTTTACCCGCCTATCCAATATGGAGTTGAGACGGAAGTAGCTGCCTTCCTCGCAAATGGACAGCCATTCCCTTACACAACTGATTGGTTCCGCTATGCCATTTACAACGACCCCAACTGGGATCCAGCGACTCTAGGCCCCAAAGACTACGACTACGCTGCGAAGCTCGATCCCTTTGGTATCCAGTCTTGGAAGGGCGATCTTAGCGCTGTGAGGGACCGCGGCGCAAAGGTGCTACATTGGCATGGCCTAGCCGACGCCATCATCTCGAGCGACAACAGCCCTCGCTACTATAATCACGTCCGCTCTACCATGAACGCAACAAGTGACGAGTTGGACAAATTCTACCGCTTTTTCCGTGTCAGTGGAACTGGCCACTGCCGTGGAGGTAATGGTGCTCATGCCATCGGACAAGGCGGTGGGGAGATTAACGGCTATGAGCCCAGTAACAATATCCTCATGGCACTGGTGGACTGGGTTGAAAAAGGCAATGCTCCCGACTATATCATGGGTACCAAGTTCGTAAATGATACCGAGTCTCTTGGTATCGAGCTCCAGCGTGCGCACTGTAGATTCCCGAGGCGCAACCAGTACAAGGGCGAGGGCGACCCCAACCTCCCCGAGAGCTGGGAGTGCGTGAACACCGACGAGGCTGTTTCTTGGGAGGTGGCCCAACAGTAGATTGGTGGTAGACGACAAGAATATACTATAGTTAGTCGTTTAATATTACACGTAATATGTAATCCTGCAAAATCAGTATCTTGTGCGTCATCTTTTGAGTTCTATACTAATCTTTAGTTCTTCAATCTCAACGGTAGACCTAATAGTCTAACTTCGTGATAACTGCAGAGAAGGATGACCGCTCGTACTACAGTGCGTGTGTAGAGGGGCCAAAAGGGGTTGGAAGTATCTATAATGCTTATCAGATAGACTTGGAACTAAATTTCCGGCAAACAACCGGCTTACCGCCTGACAAATTTACAGGCCAAGAATGATGCCTCTACATCACATGCAAAATAATCATCACGAAGAGCAGCAATTCCGGCTTCTTGATTCAAGGATCAATTGAATAAAAATGTGAGGCGGTCTAACCATCTCAAGAAAGATATGTAAGTGAAAAATATATACTCTAGAACAATCATCTTCGTCTCTCTCCACCTAGACGGAAAAAACTTCTAACATCTAAGCAAGCGCGGAGCAAAGCTCGTTGTAAGCAGGCTTAGCCGAGAAGTTACCGTCGAACAACAACGGGGTAGCGGCAGCGCCAATCCACGAGTTCTTGTCGCTGACACCCCAAACGGTAACACCAACACAGTTCTTCTGGTTCAGGCAAGCGTCAAAGGCAGTCTTGTAGTCGCTTGAAGCTCCACCCTTGATGTCGAGCTCAGTCATTGCGCACTCAGGGGCGGAACCGCAGAGAAGCTCCATAGCAGCAGGGACATCAGACATGGGCCAGACACCAGAAAGATGGGACTGGGAGCCGATACCGTCGATGGGAACACCGGCGGCGATCCACTTCTTGACGTGCGAAGCCATGGCCTTTGTCTTTGCGTAGCCGGGGCTGTCGAGGTTGTAGTCGTTGATGTAGAGCTTAGCGGCTGGGTCGGCGGCTTTGGCAGCGGCGAAGGCGGTAGCGACGAAGTCTTCACCGAGAACGTTGTAGAAGACGGAAGAGCGGAAACCACCGTCTTCGGCAAAGATCTCGTTGACTACGTCCCAGGCGTAGACCTTGCCGGCATAGGTGGTCATCATCTTCTTGATATGGGCGACCATGACCTCAGTGAGCTTGGTCTTGTCGGTGATAGAGGAGACCCAGGTAGGAAGTTGCGAGTGCCAGACAGTGGTGTGGCCACGGACAAGCTTGTCGTTCTTGGTAGCAAAGTCGACAAGGAAGTTGGCACCGGAGAGGGTGAATTGGCCCTGGGTGCCTTCGGTGGCATCCCACTTCATGCTGTTCTCAGGGGTGACGCAACCGAAGTTGGCCTTGACGATGTCGGCGTTCTTGCCGGTGCCGAGAAGACCTTGGTCAGTGGCGACACCGAGGTACTTCTTGCCCTTGGCCTTCATGGCAGCATCGAGGTTGCACTTGGCGCCGTTGGCACCGTTGCCGGCGACGTTGGGCGCGGGGGCGGAGTTATTGGCGGGAGAAGCAGCAGGAGTGGGTGAGACAACCGCAGCAGGCTCGGCGATTGGCAGAGTGGCGTTGAAGGTAGGAGTAGGGGCAGCCGGGGCACCGGTGCCAATAGGAGGGACTGGGCCGGCTCCACCACCAGCAACACACTGGCTGTACCAATCGTTCATCTTGACACAAGACCAGCCCTCGGCACAGCTGCTCTCACCCTGGAAGGTCTTGCCACCGCATTGTCCGTAGGGCAGGACAGCTGCAAGGACAGCAGACGAGGATGACAAGCCAACGACGGCGAAGTAGAGAGGGGAGCTAGTGAAATGCATGATTGAGATGTTTCAATCGGTTCGGTTTGGTTCGGTTCAAAGGGGTTGGTTGGAGATGGACGAAGTAGAGAAGCAAGCTTCTGTATGGATATGTTCAAGAAAAGAATGTCAGGAAGCAAGCTCCCAGTAATAGACAGAAAAGAATAGAGATGGTACGAGAGGTGTCTGAAGGAACGACTGAACGGATGAGTGATGAAGAAAAGTGAGTTGAGTCGGGCGTCCAATCCATCTTATACTATCGTAACATTGCGGGAGCAGACAGCCCTGCCCGGTGGGTCGCAATTTGTGGTGGGCGGATACACCCTTCGAGTTGTTGTTTCATCGCATGTCAATCCAACGAAACACTATCCCTGGTCCTGATTATTCCGTCTCTACCTCGGGAAAACACCCACTTTTACCGCTCTGTTTCATACAAACAAGAAAACAAGCAAAAGGTGTGGAGACGGGTTGACAGAACCATTACGTTCCTGCGTGTATAGCCACCCTATGCGTTCATGCGATACTCTATCTTACGCACGTCCAGGTGGATTGTGGACAATCAAAGCTGAGCGGCTGGCCAGGAACTTCATGCAGTGCGTGTTCACGCTCGAACCCGCGCGCGCTTGCGTCTGCCAAGACGCTGCCGAGTCGCAGATAAATGACAGGCCAACTACTTCTGGACCGAACACCATGCGAACGGACGTTCGTTTTGTTAGCCACCGGGCCTTCTGTGCTTCATCATGTTCCGGATTCCTGGAAAATCACGCGTCATGAGCAGATGTCAGGATGGTTAAGCATCGTAAGCTGATCTTATTTCAACTAAGATATGGCCGCTCTTCTTCTTGTTTCATCATGACTCGCGAATCTACGACTTGTACACGTGAATGACGCGGGCGTTGCAGTACGCAAGCAGACCCGTTGTGCCCCACTCTCCACCGATTCCAGACTCCTTGTGTCCACCAAAGATAGCCTGGGGTGTTGGCTTCTCAAATGAGTTGACAAAGACTGAACCGGCTTCTAATCGTCGCGCAACTTGGCTCGCCTTCTCTACGTCAGCGCCCCATACACATGCGCCAAGGCCGGTGTTGGTGTCGTTAGCGCGTGCAATAACCTCCTCAAGATCCGACCATGGCTGTGTAGGCACAATGGGTCCAAATGGCTCTTCCTGGATGATGCGGGAGTCGCTGGGTGGGTTGTCGATGATTGTTGGCTGGATGAAGAATCCCTTGCCAGACTCGACGTCTGGTGCTCCGGCGGCGAATCTGTAGCCCTTGGCTTTGCTGTCTTCAAAGAACCCCTTGACGCGTTCGTATTGCATTTGATTTTGCACGGGCCCAAGCATAGTGGTATCATCTAGTAATGTTAGCGGCCTGTCATTTGAGTGATACCATCAAATTTACCTTCTGCGTTTCCGACCTTCATGTTCTTAGTAAAGTTGGTCATTTCCTCCAGGAATTCTTTGTAGATAGTCTCGTGGATGTAGATGCGCTTGGTGGCTACGCAAACCTGGCCGGAGTTCTGGAAAGCGCCCATGACAACTTGTGGTGCAACCTTCTTGATGTCGACATCGGGCATAATGATGGAGGCGTCGTTTCCACCCAGCTCGAGAGTGACGCGCTTAAGAGTCTTTGAGCATGTTGCCATAACCTTCTTTCCTGTCGCGATGGATCCAGTGAAGGAGATCTTGTGAACTGAAGATCTGTTAGTTACTGCTCATACGAAGACGGAGACTGATGGAACTTACTATCAGGGTGCTCACACATTCCAACACCGAGCTCATTGTTGCCACCAACTACCTGGAGGACACCGGGTGGGAGGATCTCCTGGGCCAGCTCAACAAACTTGAGAGAAGTGTATGGGGTGAATGGGGAAGGCTTGACAATCATGCAGTTACCAGTCAAGAGGCAGGGTGCCATCTTGCCGGCAGATAGGATGAGGGGAAAGTTCCATGGGCAGATGGCACCGCAGACACCCAGGGGCGTGTACTCTGTGTACAAGGTCTTCTCGGCGTCTTCGATCGTCTCTGAAGGAATGTCAAGGCTGGCGTGGTACAAAAAGTAGTCGCCAGCTCCCTTGACTTCCATGTTTGCGATTTGGCTCTGTTGGTACGTCAGTATGCGATGACTGTGAAGTGGATAGAATACTACATACCGGCTTTCCATTCTCCTTGCGAAGTAGGGTGAGAAATTCTTCGTGGTGTTGCTGGTATAACTCGGCTATCTTGACGAGGGCCTCCTTCCTCTTCGCAAGTGGGGTATCTCTCCACGCAGGGTATGCTTTCTTTGCTGCTGCGACGGCATCGTTGAGATCTTGCTCACTGGCGATAGGCACATCCCAAAGCTCCTGGCCGGTTGAGGGGTTGATACCGTGGTGAATCTGGTCGGATCCGCGCTGCTTGCCGTCTACAATGTTGTAGAACTTTTCAAAGTCGAGGGATGAAATCTTTCCTGGAGACATATTTGCGGTTTGTAGAGTTCGATGATGTAGGGTTTTAGAGTTTGGTCGGCTAACGGGCTGACAGGCGATGGCGCCTTTAAGCGTCTCGAGGAAAGACCCGGTGTTGTTGCCACCCAGGGGCATCCCAACGCTCCTTCGATATCCTCGGCAACAAAACTTGCTGTGAGTGGACTGCGGCAGTGGGTTTGTAATGGTAGGCGCTTTCAAAATCCTTGGCTACGACCCTTGACCCCACTTGAGTAGCAGGATCGCGGGGCTCTGAGGAGTAACTACACCTTGTATCAAGCTAGCCTCGTATTATCCCGTCCCTTAGTAAAGTCCCTACTCGGCAACTTGCCAACTACTGACTCGCCCCAGTTTCCTAGGGCTGGAAGCTACCATAGGCCTGCCACGTGTGTGCCGCGACCACGAGCCGGTCATCTGTTGCCATCTCGGACCGGTAACCTGGGGTCTCAGCTACTCTTCTGTGTTTGATCAACCTCGTGCGGACTTTTTCGTCCTAATAGTGAGGCCCCACCCGGTCAACCTCGGGCATACTGGGAAGTGGATTACCCTCCGTACTAAGATATGTAAACGTCGCTAGATAGGGCAAATACCCAGCCTAGCGCTTGGCGAGTCGACATGAGGAATAGTCGTCGCAACACGGACGTTTGTGAATAGTAAGGCGTGTACCTTTGACCCTGAAGACCCTCACGGTGGACCTGTGAGACTCGTCTCGCCCTGTATCAACCGCGTTAGCGCAGCGGGTGGACACGGCATATGCATCTAGTGGCCTTCATATCTGTCTTCTTGAAAGATGGCGAGTACATGGTAAAGAAAAGGGTCAGAGTAATAGGTCGACGTCCGGAGATTTGTTACATGTTCTGCAATGCGCACGTGTGTCAGCATGTGCCCCACACGCAGGGTGCACGTTGAACCAGCCTCATCGGGCAAAGCGAAGTGGTTTTATTTCTACAGAATTCCAAATATCTACTCTCACCGCCTAGCTTAGCACTTCTTCCATCGAACATACAGATTCGACGTGAATCTCCCGGCTTCTCTCGTCGAAGCAAGCACTCCGTTGGCAGGCGTAGCCAAAGGCGTCAAGGCAACCTCGCTGTTGACATTGAACATTGCATCCCCACCGCAGGGGGACCAGACTGCTGCTGCAACGTTATCCTGCTTGTAGTATCCCCCATGGAAGGGACCGCTGAGGCTCAGCGCTGATGAAGTTTGGTCCTGCGATCCAGAGAAGTAGTATGTGGATTTCACAACACCTGTGACGCCGGTGTCAAGATCACCCCAACCTGAGTAGTCGGCGCTGAAGACAGCGAATGAGAAGCCTGGACTGAATTGTAGGGCCAGGTTGATTTGGCAGTTCTTTCGCGACTCGTCGGCAGTTTTGTCAACACCGACGCGAGCAGTGAATTGCTTGTTGAAGTCTGAGGGTTATAGTTAGTATAGACACAAGGTAGGACCTGGAGAAGAGAGCTTACAGATGGGTAGTGTGCCGTTCTCGTTCCATTCGATATCGATACTGCCTTGTGGACAGCCGGATCCAGCAGAGACAACGTTCTTGATGCTGAATGAATCTGGCGCCTGGTATGTTGGAGCGGCAACCGCTACTGCCGCAAGGGCAAGTGTAGCAAACGTGTATTTCATCTTGGAGACGTAACGATATAAAGACCTTGGTAAGGTTAGGATGGATCAAGTATCTCAAGGCAATGATGTCGATGCTCAATGCTGACACAAGTGCAATTCGGTATAGACCTCCAACGAGCGGGTGACCGTGACTTTATATCTCGACGTAATCATTGGAGTAGGAGAGCTAGAACATTGGCACCAGAAGGGTTCAACAAACCTCACTATAGATATGGCTTCACACTAATCATCCGGTCTTGCGAACAGCAAAGAACACATTCTCATTGGTAGTGTTTTTATGGCGGATGGCGAGAATTCAGCCACTCGCTACCAACCGAGAACCTTGCCTTTATCTACCCTATCTCTCTCTCGGACATTGCGACGAACCTGGTATGGTTGCCACGAGCGCGATATGAGATCTGTCCACCGATATTGCTCGTAGACATAGCCGGGACGCAAACGATACGACAGCCCTTGAACGCAGGGTATTGTTGCTCTAGAACCTCCAAAGTCTGGGGTAAAATGCAAGCGCTAACGAGACTGCAAGCCTAATTATAGGTGGTTCTTGGACTGAAGCACAAACGTGGCGGAAATTGTATAAAATATATTGAGAGACCTGGTCGAGGGCACGAACCAGAACTGTAGCGGTTGATTGTAAGCTGGGCTCTCCGGGAACGCTTGCTTACTTTAGCGAGCGAGCTGGATCATTAGACCTTTTGTGTCAGCAACTACTGAAAAGAATTTGTTAGCGTTCGTATACTTCATCAACGATCATCTCGGTCGTAGACTAGCCCTGTGCACATGTGTTCGTGCTATATGATTGTTGGGCTGGAGTGTGCTAACAGTCCACCCTTGAATATGGTGCTTTCGAGACAGAGGTTGTGCGAGGAGAAGTGGGGTTACCGGTAGGGCTTCGAGTTGCGGTAGATATAGGCAGGGGCTGGATAAATACGTTGGAAGCTGCGACGGGTGAGATACATATACGCGTCCCTTTGTAGAACAATTAAACTCCGAAGTATGCGCGGCATTGCTCCTGATGGAACTGGGGTTGTAAAAATAACGAGTATACACAGGGATAATCTGTGTAAGGAAGTCGTGAGCATATGGGTAGTCTTGACTGAATGCGACTCGCTTGCGAGATATGCTGTATAACTGTATGAATATTGCATACATCTGAAGTAGACCGTGTACTGGTTAATGATATCGTGTGACCAACCCGCCATCTAACGCCTGATCCGTTTGCCTAATGTCCGTTTGCAACCTCCGAAGTTGCATGGAATACCGGTACCTCATAATGGACCACAAACGCCAACACATGCCAGGCAGAAGACCATGGCCACCAGGCCAAAAACACATGATAACCACACCGATTTCATGGCAGAGTGATGCCTATGGCGCTTATCAACTAAACGCCGTCTACTGCTAACCTTGATCATCACTAGATTTGCTAGGAACTTGAGCCCTGATTGCCCTGATTGCTTCAGAGTTCTATTCTTCGGCTTCTGTGTTCCAAATCTCCACCTCTCTGTTCTCCAATTCCTTCATCTTCTCCTCTCCGAATATCGTCTCAGTCGGTAAACCGGTCTTGCCGAAATTGACAACAGGTCCGATGGTGTTGATCCATTGTTGTCTCCTTTCCATGAGTGTGCGAATGGGCTCGCCAACGCCCGGTCTTGATATGCCAGCGTTTGCCACAGGATGGCTCCCACCTCCAGCACCACCAGGCCGCTTGTTTTGTTTCTTGCCTTTGCCGATGTTGCGGTTGCGCTTGAGGTAGGCGGCGTTGAGTTGGTTGTCGAGATCGTCTGCTATCGTGTTGTACTCCTGCTGAGCTATGCGCTCTTCGGTGAGCTCGAGGAGACGTTGTTTCCGCGCGCCGTTGATGATGGATTGTTTGCGCAATTCTTCTTGCAGGAATCGAAGTCGTGCCGCAACCTCGTCATCAAAATGGGCGTCGAAGGATTGTGATTCTGCATCTGCATCTGAGATTAAGCCATAGTGCTTGAGCTCCATGAGCACACGGTCTTCCATGCCCGCGTAATCGGTACGCGCATTTTGCGAAGAAGCCTTCCAGCCAGGCTGTACGAGGTCTGGAAGTTGAGCTGCCGCGGGGAGCGAGTTCGTATTGGTCGCGTCTGCCTGTGTTCCTGCTCCTTCGTCGATGTCCATAGCATCTCCGTTTACTCCATTCTGCTCGTTGTGACTGTTTTGATTGCCGCGTCCTTCTGGTCGTAACGTAGACAACAAGCGCGACAGTAGGGGGCCCGCAGAGACCTGGTCTGTCTCGAGATTATCATCCGTTATGTCTTCTGCTGCACCCCGAGGGACGTTGGGTGGTGGGTGTTGGTCGTTGGAGTCAATGTGCATGGCCCCGTCTTCTTCAGCCCATATCTCTTTGTAGTGTCGCTGGCCGCGCCTAGGCAGCACAAACGGCCCTACGCGATCTCCGCGCTCCTTCAAAAAGGCAACATCCTCCTCGGTGAGCGGGCGAATGTACGGCTCGACGTAGTTGGCAAAGACGGTGGCATTGACCTGCGATGGCGGCTTTGCGTTTGAAAAGTCCTTGTCTGGCGGAGAGCCAGCGATTTTGTCGCGGAGATCCTCCTGGGGGAACTCGGCGACGCAATATATCTCCTTCCTCTCCTCGATTGACATGCCCGGGGTGACTTCGCGAATGTGGTATATGGTCGGGTCATCGAACTTTGCGGGGTCAGGCCCGAAGGTCTGGAATTGTGGTACGGCGGGCGCAGGCGCAGGCTGGTGGGAGACATCGGAACCGCTAGGTGATGGGGCGTCGGCTGGGCCAGTACCGGTAGCAGAGGGCGGGGCTTGGGATATCGGGGACGAGATGGCCGACGAGTTGTCTGCGGGCTGAGTCAGAAATGTGTCGAAGCCTCTGACCTTGAGCTTGACTATCAAGCTGCGGCGTCTGCGAGGCATTGTGACAAGTGTGGTGGAGGCGGTGGTGAGAGTGGTAGCAGTAGGCTCTTGCACAAAGGCAGACAGGAACAGAATAGCAATCGCTTAGTGGTGACTTACCTTTTGCGTCGCCTCCATCCTGCCTGGCGACGCCATGGGCGCCTATGACGGGTGGGTGCTTACTGTCGTCGTCTTGCTTTGTATTCACTTTCTTGAGCTTGTGCTTGCGATCGCGATCCTCGCCAGCCTTGTCCCTGTCTCTTTCGCGCGGCGCCCTGTTCTTCTTCAGGCTCATGAGCTCTCGCAGTGCGCCCTCGGACTGAGTACAGCGAGCCTCTGCGTTCTTCATGACCGTCTTCTCGACGTGGTCGCGCATGACGAGAAGCTGCTTGCCCGAGGGAATCTGGGAGCCATTGCCGCCACTCTCCAGCACCTCTTCGACAGTCGTCTCCGACTTCTTCAGATAGGAGCTCAGGCGGTTGCCAAAGTATGCCGAGGCCGACGACGACGACGATGTCGACGAAGCTTCGACCGAAGCGCGTACATGAGGCAGCGGCGTCGTATTGCGGCTGCGTGGCGTCTGCGAGGGCTTGGAGCCGGGCTTCGTTGCCTTTCCCTTGCTACTCAGGCCGGTAGGCGCCATGTTGGTTTGTCCCGGCGACTATGGAATGTTGGGGTATGCGGGGAAGACAAAGACACGCCCACGGTGTACGCAAATGACTGGCGGGAATGGGCGCGGGAGGCGGTGCAGCAGTAAGTTACAGCGGTGCGACGGCGCTCAATCGTCGTCGTTGGTTCAAGACACCATTACAAAGTGAACAATGCATACAAGAGCGATGTTTGTCGTCACATGGCAGACGGAGTGAATGTGGGCATGTACGAGAGTGATACGAAGACGTCGTTTCGCATATACGCTTTCATGGGCAAACCAGCCCGCCCGTGAGTAAACAACTGGCTGGGCACTCGCAGGCCGGGGCATACTAACCTATTAGGTGCGCCAAGTCGCGCTCCATGCCCACCACCCACCGAACTCTCTCAAGACGTCATTTCCTCCAAGACAATATCATATCATCTAATGCCCTGCCCTGCAGAGACATGTGTGACTGCTGAGATGATGGTTTGTTCGCCTCACACCCACCATAAGTGGCGCAGACATGAGTTGTTAGATGCGCCACCGGGATCAAGCTTTTTGCTAAGCTGTGGCACTGGCACAACCCGGCGCTTTCACAATTGAGCCGGGAGGGGCGGCTGTTAGTACCAGCCTCTACACCTAGCCACCCCATACTTGATCCATCGTCTATCGTCCATCGCCGCCGTTATCGTCTGTCTCTCCATCCTCACTTTGTGCATCTGTAGACGTTTTTTTTGACCACCGCCACTCCCGTTTCACAACCCTCTGCTAGTATGAACTGACATAGTCGCGCAACCACACGGCCCCTGAGCATCCGACCATTCGTCGTCCAGTTCGCGCGCCAATATGTGTACGTCACACAACTTTTGTCGCATCGCTACCACACACTGACGGTCCTACACAGCTGCCCAACGCATCGGTATCTTTACCATCGACTTCCCGGACCCCCGGGTTATCGACTACAACAACAACCAGTTCATCACGCTCAACGATTCCGTCTCGTTTCAGTACCGCATCCTCAATAATATCCAAACCCTGTCCACCAAAGGCGTTGATTCCGACCAGGATCCTTATGGCATTCTCTTTGTTCCCGACCTCCAATCGACCGCGTGCAAGGAACAAGAAGCTCAGCATGTTCCTGCGAATGCGACGCGCAGGGCAAATCTGCCCCAAGATAAAGATTATGCCCTGATAGCGGTTGCGCCATGGTTCTCCGCAGATTGTACCAAAGAATACTTCGCCGCTGCCCGAGCACACACCACCAAAGCCTTCTTCACATACCAACCCGGCGAGAGTAATGCGAAACCACCCGTATTGAACGACGCCACATGGGACCTGCAGGATGGCGGCAGCTGGCAGTCAGCCAATCAATTCCCAACATATGCCCTGTCTTCGATAACTGGAAACAATGTCATGGACCAGCTGGGTCTTTACTCGGGAAACCTAACCGATGCGCCATACGGCGATCAATTAGCCAAGGTCTACGATCGTACTGACTACGTGCGCCTGTGGGCGACCGTTGGTACTGGTGAGCGGACCACGACTCTTTGCCTCGAATCAATCTAACAATCCTATTAGACTCCAGTGGCCAACTCCCAAGTCTGTGGGTATTTCTTGTCATCGTCCTAGCCATCCTCCTCGTCGCTGTCAGCATCACTTCCCTCGTCATGCACATCATCCAACGAAGACGCCGAAACGACCTCCGTGAACGCGTTCTCAACGGCCAAGTCGATCTCGAAGCATTGGGTGTAAAGCGACTTACGGTTTCGCAACATATACTTGACAAGCTGCCCATACACATATATACTGCCGGAGCTGCGGGTGAGCCAGAAAAGGCCATCGATTCGCATGCCCAGGCTCCACATCTTGGTGCTCCGTCCACATCCGTAGATGCCGAGACTGGTAGGAAGGCACCACCGCTGTCCCGCCACTCGTCCGCGCCCACAGTTCCTACTACTGGCATGTCCGGCTCTTGGTCACAGCCTACTTGTCCTATCTGCATGGACGACTTCGAGGCCAACGAAACACAAGTTCGCGAGCTCCCATGTCATCACGTCTTCCATCCCGAATGTATCGACACTTTCCTCCTCAACCACTCATCACTATGTCCAATGTGCAAGCAAAGCGTATTACCAAAAGGTGCATGTCCAGTTAAGATCACAAACGTCATGGTACGGCGTGAGCGGCATATTAATCGTATGCGAGCCCGTAGCGCACGTAATGCAACTTCACAAGCAGCTTCACAAGCAACTTCAGTGCCTGGTACCGCTCCTGTATCATTACCACTACCGAGCCGGCCCGCCATAGCTCTCGGGTCGCTTTCTAGTCGAATAGGCGGAGCGATAACAGGGCGACGCATCTTTAGTGCACCGGAGCGGGCCCAGTCGCGTCCACGAGACATTGAAATGGGAACTACACCGCCACCGGAAGCTCTGTTAGAACATCAGTCGGCAGGAATGCCACCTGCCCAACCACCATCACCCAATAATCAGGCCTGCTCACCCACTCAAAACCGGAGAGAATGGGCACGTCAAAGAGCCTTAGCCATGCTCGGACCTCGTCATGCACCGATCAGCGATGCAGAAGAAGAAGAAAGAGTTCCAAAATGGCGCCGTCTAGTCCGCAAAGTCTTCCCTATTGCTTAATTTCACGACATAGATTATTGCCTCTTGTTTATATCCCCGTTACGATACCTCAGCATAGCTTGGCGCAAACCACTTCCGTTAAATTTTACATACAGTACGGTGTTATCGGCGACTTTAGGGGTCACCCCTTGTTACATTATCTTCTTGCTCATCATTCGGGATGTATAGGAACTACTTGGGAGATTGTTGGACACTCTCGTTACCCAACTCTTCGCAGTCCATAGCGCAGTGGGTTTCTCGTTTCTGGAACTAGCTCAGACATATTTATTGCCTTGTCAATGCTCTTGGATATTCAATCTCTTATTCTTATTCGTATTCAAATGCTAATCAAGTCTAAGTGTTCTTATTTCCTATCCTTACAAAAATAACCAACATACGTAGGAGGGGCATCAAAAAGACGTTAACAAAGCCGATTACTTCCTTGACTAGTCAGAATCCACCAAAAATGGCAAAAACATACAACAGCGGGGATTCGCTAGTGGTCACCCACCTAACTACTAATCCGCCGGTATCTTGCTTAAATAGGGCTGAGCGAACGGGAAGCCTTGTTGTCACTCTGTTTGCGGTATCGCAGAAGACGTAAACTCGTTTCGCAAGAAAGGAAGGGCCCCTAATTAATGCCAGGGTCAAGGACGCCTCTTTCTCGGCAAGTAGAATGATTAGTGTCCTAGCCGCGTCTGGTTTTGCTGCTAAATTAGTACAGCGCTTATTTACTACCGCATAAACTGGAAAAATGGAGGTTTACTAGGCTCATTTGGGAAGTGCGCGGGGAGCCGATTAGATAGATAGGAAGGCTTAGTTTATCTCTATTTATACCCACATCTTCCTCTCCTCTTATTCGGGGTGGCAGAATACATAGAGGTGACGGGAGAGAAGTGATCTAATCAAACCCCTGTCGCCGCCTCTAGAAGGAGCCTAGTAAACCTCTTTTTTTCAGTTTTTGCGGTAGAGGCTATTGGAGCAATCTTAGCCCCTAACTGCCGCTACTAATACCATGTGCGCCTTTGTCTAAGTGCTTGCAAACAGAATCGAGCCATCGGCTAGAGTGCGTCCCCTATTAAGTACGTGAACTGTCCACACTTGCCCTATACACCTTGGTTGCTATCGTGAGCTATGGAGACATTTTCCTCTTCCTTCGAAGACCTCTCATTCAGCGTTTCTAGCTACGCAATCGTATCTAATCTATTTCAGCGCTTAGGCATTCATATAAGACTGCTTGCTTTAATCTCCTTCTTCGCTGTATACCAATCAGGCCAGTTTTTAAATATGGCTTTATGACATTACCTTTATCTACCCAGAATACCCTACAGCTCCTATGGCAACAGCCACCATAGCTCATACTCTGTCGTGCAGCATCTAATGAAGCCGTAATGTGATGAATACATGTAACTGCGTGAGCAGTGTCGGGTGGAGGCTGTGGATCAACGATTGTATTGCTATCTGTTGTCGTGTTGTGATGTATGTGTACAAGAGCTCTCGGCTCAGAGGTAAGTGCACTTGCCCACCGGGCAGTGGCTGTTATAATAGGATATCATGTGACTCTAGTCACGTGGTTACAACACACAGTTCAATTCAATCCCAACGCATATGTCAAGATTGTCTCATTCACTAATGACGCGGCTGGCCGACCTTTCTGCTATGTTAACCACCCGTAAAGCTAATGTCGAGTGTTATTCCGTATCCTCCGCTCCAATCTAATTGCCGTCTGTCTGATGTTCTTCCGCGTATAATAAAGCGTCACCAGCGCCACTATCAGTGCCGCTAGGGGAATTCCAATGCCAACACCGAGCGTAATTCCATTGCTCTCCTTCTGGTCGTTTCCCCCGGTGGGATTTGGAGAAGGAGATTCTGTCGCCTTCGGTACTACCGTATTGGACTGTGAACTTAGATCCGCCACCCTGACGCTGGTAGTGAAGGACTCTAGGGTAGCGGATGCGGTTTCGGATGCCGTTACGAAATATGTGGAGGTCAGCGTAGAGATGGTGTTTGAGAAGCCGGAGCCACATTTAAACACTAGGTAATCATTTGCAGCGATACCAGTCTCGGACCATGCGAAACATTGCGGGGTAGGGTCGTCGGTGTAAAACTCGTGGTTCAAGGTACCGTCTAAACAGTTAGAGGAGCGGGAGGGGTAGATCTGGTCTACGGAGATTGTACCAATTAGTCGATGAGTGAATGAGTTAAACGCTAGACGACAACCCGATTTGTGGAGCTTCTAAGCTTGACAGCAGGATAAGCACAAAAGGGAAGACGGATACTAGAAAAGTCCCAACATACACGCCTCTGATCCCGATTCGAGATAGACTTTAAACACGGAACGAAGATAGCTTGAAGGAAGAATCAAACAAGTGCTCGTTTTCAGAGTGCTACTATCCCAGTGCTGCATTGCATTGGCGCTATTGGGACAAGACTGAGGACTGCCATCGCCAGGCGAATAGGGAAATTGGCGCAGGGAGCAGCCAGCTTGAGTTTGGGGAAAAGAGATAACAAGAGCGAGTAAAGCCGCTGCCCTTGAGAGTGGAAGTCTTGGGCGAGAGGAGGTTCCGCGCATAATCAGTAATCGCGAGAGGGTCGGGTATCGTTACTTAGATATGGAGCCTTCCCGAGGTTTTTTGGATCACCGCATTCATTTATCGGTACCAAGTATGCACCTTTATCCATTTTTACATTCTATTCTAGGCGTCGATGGCGCTCTGGGGGCCATTATATTTCCGTCGAATAGATGTTGCTACAGCGTCGCGTAGAACATAGCCACCGCCCATTTCTTGGACACCTGTAAGCAGAGACACATCGAAGAGCAAGAAACCAATCATAAAAACGCTAGCAATGCAATTGTGGCTTCACTCTTTCAGGCACTAACCTTCTATCCGTTTCCTTATTAGGTACTATTAGTGCGGATACCTCGAAAACCGGTGTAGCGAAAGCTGCTATATCAGTGTACCTATTGATTATCATTACAGTAGTGCTGATGCATTGAAAACTGGTGTAGCGAAAGCGCTTCTATTCGTACCTCTATTGGGTGTTATCGGTGCTGATACTAGGGTAACGAGATTCAGACACTATCAGCTGCAGGGTAATCAATCGATTGAAGCTATCTATCGCTACACTGAGGTCACGCCATGTATGCAGTGTATGGACACGGTAACAAAAAGCATAAACTCTTAAGGTCTACATTTGTGAATACATTAGAGTATGTTCGTGACGTAAGAATATCAAATTCATTACACACAGTACAGGCTGCATCTAAGAGCATAAGCGTCATCACCGTAGCCACCAATAGTGTCGCACTGAAAAAGTGTTGAGGCAGGGAGCAGGTAAACAATCCGCATTCGGCGGAGGAGAAGGTAGTTCATGTTGTAGAGAGAGAAGTCGACTACCTATCAGTAAACGTTCTAAGCTATTAAATACTTACTCTAGGCCTACTAACTAACTCCATTATTACGTGCCTAGTTACTACACTGTATCTTCCTCCCTAACACTCTAGCTTGGTCCCTTCAAGCTGCCGACTTCCCTTCGAGTGCCTGTCACAGCCGCTCTGCCAGTCTTACCTCTCTAACCCTCATCTTTTGCTAGGAGTAAGAGATGAGGCTTACTACGAATCGCTGTCGCTCTCAATCACCGGCTCCCCTCTCCAGTTAGTCTTAAGAATGTTCTCCTTTGTGACTGCATCAATAGCTCGTCGTGGCGCATTATTAGAAGTTCTGTTAGGTATGTAGGTCTTGCTTAACCCATCTCCTTTGTAAGTCCCGCCAATCAGTCAGTCTAGCTTATCTTCTTCCTTAGTTAGAATTTCTTAGGGTGCTAGAGCTGAAGATGGCGCTTTAATAGCTATCAGCTGGAGATCAGATGGCGGGGCATCGGCATGTGATTATGGGGCTACCATCCTAATTTTAGGCGAGTAGTGTAACGGGCTAAGTCCTAGGTCACATGACTAGGCCAGGCCTAGTCGCTTCCTTCCTTCTATCACTCCTTCCCCCAGCAGACCGTACGCCGTGCGCCAACCCAAAAAAAGCGGGATGGCCGCCCACTTTCCTCTTCTCCTCTTCATCTCGACTGTGAATAGCATCTGGATTAGGTAGCTGGAATACAGTACCTACAGACCGTTCACAGGTAGAGCTTCAACCTCCCTCTCAGGATCTCGTGAGCGACAGTGCTCGCTAGTATTTTGAATCTCTTCAGCCGATCAACCATTACTGTGCTGGCAAAGGGCGCTCCATGCAAGTCCTTAAGGCGATAATACCCCTTCTCAGCGTTTGCTTCTCGCACCTTGTAAGGCCCCACCCATCGCTGCTTCCACTTCATGTCTGAACTCATATCAACAGCCTTCTGTGCGTCCCAGATTAGTACTAAATCGCCCACTACAAACGCTTTATCGGCTTCCTTTGCCTCATTCCTAGCTTCCACTACTTCTCGCCGAAGCCTCCTCGTCCGGTAAACCGCTTCTTCTAAGTTCTCCCTGCGGAATTAGAGCTGTGTTGCGCGCACCGCAAGCAAATCGTCCAGAGTTCAATCGGAAGTAAGATTTTGCCCAAGGACAAGCTGAGCTGGAGAGTAGCCGATAGGCCGTCGCAGCGTGACGCGCTCTGCCCAAAGGATAGCAGACAGATTCTCTACCCATAAGTCGCCCATCTTCGTCAGACCATAGATAAAGCTTTAATGTCCTCGTTCAATAAGGCCTTAGCCTCTAGAGTTATAAGCTAAAGCCTAGACTCGGTGGATGCTAAATAACTCTGCCAGTGCTTCAACCACCAACTTGTTCTCGGATCCTCCATCCACAGAAAGCTTGACTGGCACGCCCCAGCGACAGCAGATCTCTTCGAAAATAAATCGGGCCACTACTTCTGCAGTGTAACCTCTCACCGCCCTAGCTTCTGCCTACCCCAAGAGATATTCGCGAGCTACAATCAGGTAGTTTCTGCCATGGTCTTTTGGCATGTAGGTGATGTCAACGGTCCACCAAGCCCATAATGTAAGAGAGTATGTTGTATTTAGCTCAGCTTCCTTTCTGCTTCCCTTTATTTACTAACACACTTTGCAGGGACTAAGTTTACATTATAGAGAGAGAAGCTAACTAGCTATTAGTAAACGCTCTAAGCTATTAAATACTTACTCTAGGCCTACTAACTAACTCTATTATTACATGCCTAGTTACTACACTATAATAGCTTGGTAATGCACTACGCGTAGTAGTTAGGCAGGAGTGTCAGTGTGATGGGCTAGACCCATGTATGCCTACTTGTAGGCTGAGAGAGAGCAGCGCAGTCATGCCTCCTACATAAATATCAAC